AAAAAAAAAAAAAAAAAAAAAAGGCCTCCCACCCAACACCACCCCACCTAATAACCACCCAACCACACCCTCTGCATACCCATACCAGAGCCTTGTATCCCGTCGGCCCAATGCGTCCGTTACTACTACAAAAAACAAGAACCACCTACTCACCCACTCCGCCCCCAACCAACTGCGCCTCACCGCCGAAGCACCGCGCAACCAACAAACCGCTGGTGCCGCCCCACGAGACCCTTCCCCACATGCACTTCTCCTCTCCACTAGAACAGGGGGCAGCTAACAATAGACGCGGCCCCCATACCCAGAAGCCAGGCTACCAGTAGTACGCAGTACACAGTCCAGTCCCGCTCACTTCAGCTCCCAAGGCAACTGTACAGCCGCGCGCGCAGTCGCGCACCGCCCTCCAACAGCGTCGCACGGCGCGCCAGCCTAGCTAGGCAGCCAGGTATGTAGGTATGTATGCTTGCTAGGAATCTCACGCGCGCGCCGAACCGAGGGTAAGTAGAGCAGCACCAGCACCAGCATGTGAAACAGCAGACGTATCCGTATCCGTATCTACCTACATGCCGCGCCACACTCACACGCACGTCACGCCTGCACCGCCGCACCCCCACCCCCAACACCCAGCAAGCACCAGCCACGCGCCCAGGACGCGCAGCGACTCCATTCCTTCCATCCGTGCCACCACTCTGATAAACCACCCGCCCGCCGTATTCGTATTGCACATGCAATCTATGCAATACCTATGCAATCTGCACAATGCCTACCGCACCGATACCGATCGGCTCCCAGCCGAGCACCGAGCAAGCAAGCAAGCATCCGGCCCCGACCTCGATACGCTGTGATGTGATTCGCTTCGACGCGTAGAGCAGGTGCGTACGTGGATACCTAGGCGCGCGCTCAAACAGGCGCAGTCGCAAGTCGCACCACTCACGCAACACAACACAACGCAACGCAACGCAGCGCAGCGCAACCGGCCAGGCACACTGCGACTGTAGTAAGGCTCGCCCGTGGCTTAGCATGACTGTCCGAGCAAGCAGGCAGGCAGACAGTGGAGAAAGCAAGACAGAGGGAAAGAGGAGAGACAAGAGTGGTGCCCGCTCACGCCTTTCTCATCTCGCCTCGCTTCATCGCCATCCATCTCATCCATCTCATCGACCCATCCCCGTTTCACTTAAGGCTATAGCAGTAGCAGAAAACAAATAGCAACAATAACAGCAACAACAATAGCAATGGCAATAGCAGTTGCAAAGTCAAAGCCCCAATTTTACACACATCGTAGGCTTTGTGATTGGTAGTATTAGGCATTAAGTGTTAAAACTGCGCGAGCAGGGCAAAGGCCAAAGCAGGCGCCAGTAGGTAGCCGACGTGCTCTCGCCTCGTCTTGCTCTCTTTCCCTCGCCTCGCTCGATCCCATCACATCAATCATGCAACAGTCCCCACACCCTTGTGTGCGTGCGCCAGGAACCCAGTAACCAAGGCAAGCAAGCAAGCAATCAATGCGAGAATGGTCTCCTCCCACTTCCATCAAGTCATCATCAGCAGACCCTCTTCCTCCTCCTTCAGATCCGCTGCATTACCGGCGTCGGAGAGCCCGTCCCCATCCGCTCTCTTTCTCTCTCCTCATCTCGTCCGGAAACGTGCAACATCCTCGCCACTCTCCATGAAATAGACGCAGCAGCAGGGCATCAGCTACAAAACCAATCCCTCTATATCCTGTGCTCAAACAACAACCGTCGTCCCCTGGCTTCGTTGACAAGCCAGGGCAGATTTCAATGCCCATGCCATGTTCGAAGAAGAAAAAATACGCGCTCCCCCAGAGATATTATTGCCGCGCAGCTCCAGCATACCCACCAAAATGGTCCAGGCAGCCGTCGGAGTGAATGCGGGCAAAGGTTGGAGCGAACGTCAGGAGTCTACGTTGAAACTCTTTAGGTGTTTTGTACAGAAGCGACCGGATGGGGGTATAATTCGCTCGAGAACAATGAGAAAAACCATGTCGCTTTCTTTCACAAAAAGACGGCAATCAATCCGGCGGTCTATAGCGTGCGAGAAAAAAGCAAGGTGGAATCAAGGCGCGTCTCGGACAAGCTTTGGTCTGTTTCGTTGGCAGGAAGACTGCTTGAATCGGCGGCGCTTGCAATCGAAGAATGGTCCTAATTGGTTTTCGCCGGATGAGTATGAAAGAATTGTAAAACCAAGGTCGGCCAGGTTCAATCGCGAAAGAAACGTGGCCCGTGTCAAAACAGGCCACAAAAATGCAGGATAAACTCCGTCCATGCAAATGATCGTTAAGGGCGTGAATGGAATCCTTCAAGACCCAGTTCAGGTCTTGACATGATTAGAGGTGAGAGTATTGGTGGTGTTGATAAAACCGGCAAATGATGGCCGCGAAAAGCCTCCTGTGGGTTGCCATTACCGATGATCGCGTTCGTGGTCTGAGGCTGAAGCAAGAGTGTCTCCCTCCCAAAGGTTTCCTTCAGAGTCCACTGGGCTACGAGGTCCGTTCGAGGGGCTCCTGGCACCGGACGAGAAGGACGAGGAAGAGCCAATAGTCCATTCATCGCTGTCAGAAGTGGGGTGGAACTCCTCGTAGAACTCGGTCAAGGCGTATCCATTTCCGTCTTGGGGATCGCCGATCTCGATGAAGTCATAGTCCCAGCGCGTCATCTTGTCGGTCTGCAGACGGGGCAGGAACTTGCCCTTGGCAATGAAGAAAATAGTACCCGCCACTTGGTCCGTTAGCTAAATCTGTACTTTGCGGTAATTTGGAAAGAAACTTACGCAGACTGCCCGCAACAAGGTCGACCGCATAGTGGTGCGAGAGGTACATGGTAGACCACCACAGCCACAGCGTGTAGAAAGTGAACAGCGGCCAGAGACGCGGGAAGACGTAGCTCAGGAAGAGCGCGTGCATGGTCGCCCAGCCTGAGTGCAGAGACGGGAAAGCTCCGAAAACCATCGGCGAAGCGGTGAAAGTCGAAGTGTAGAGGTCAAGGCCAAGGAGCTTGTCAATGGCCGCCAGACCAGCCGGAGAACCCGACATGCCGTAATTGGCCGGTGCAAGGCCGTAGATGTTCTCATACCAGGGTGGAGAGCACGGGAAGATGAGCTGAATCATGACGCCAATCGTGTTCATGTACCCGAAAGACCGAGCGTAGACGGGGAGAGAGCCCGGCGGACCAAAGATGAAGAGGAGCGCAGAGGCGAGGAACGGAGACCCAAAGTGGGTGATTCCGTAGGGGATCCAAGCCAACACATCCAGGACCACGTGCTTGTGCGCCGAGAGGATGTTGCTGAGGTTTGCACCGTACATGATGTTCTCCAAAGCGGGAAGGACGCGGACCCAGATCGGGGGGCGGTACTCGCCAGAGATGAACCTGCAGACGGCTCGTGTTACCATCGCCGCCCAACCACCACAATAACCCAATGGACGTTAGGATTCGACTTACTTGCACGAGTAGAACAGAACCAACCAGGTGATGGCGGGGAGAAAAGGCAAAAAGAACTGCCTCGTGGCCGGCAGGAGCATAGACCCCATCAGGAGCGTCGCCACAAACGTCTTGAGCATTGGCCCGGGCTCCTCGATGACGGAGAGGGCAAAAATGCCAACGATGGCCAGGAAAATGTACTGTCCGTCATAGTAGGACCACTTGTGCTTGCGCAGCGAACGCAGCGTGTCGGTGACGGAGAAGGAGGTATTGAGCGATGTCACCGACGAGGCGGGCGATTGCCTGCTGTGGATCCTCGACTTTGTTGCGCGCCACTTCCTGCGGACCTTGTGCGGGACAAGGACTGGCAGCGAAGGCCAGGCGGGTAGCATGGCCTTGCGCGGCAGGAAGTCCTGGTACGAAGGCACGCGGGTGTGCATTTTCGCCATCGTGAGAAGGCGGCGGATGGCGGATGAAGGCGGACGGGCCTGCGGCGGCGGCGGGAGTGGGCGGCTGGGTCAGGACGGCGTCAGGCGCATGCGAGGACGGCGGCGAGGGCAGCAGGGCTCGGGATCAAGGCAGCACTCGTGGTGGGCCAGAGGGAGAAGGGGTTTGGGAGGGAAGAGAGAAGTATGTTTTGTGGTTGGAAGAAAGAAGATGGGGCTTGAGTATTGTACAAGGCGGTGCGGCCGGGAGAGTCGGGCCCTAGTGGCTGGGACAGCGCCGGCTCTGGTTGCTGAGCCCGTAAGATTAAAATTACTCTGCACGCGACCGCCCGCGCCCACGAGCGCGATTATTGCCCGAGAAACGGGCCTCGCGACACCCTGTGCGGGTGCTTCTTTGTGCGCCGGCCAGCAGATCAGGCAGACCGAGCCAGACCGGGCCCCTATGACGCCCTCGACCAGCTAGCTGTAAGGAATAAGGTCAGCGCTACGCTATGCACCATCATTGACAACTGTCCCGCTGGATGCGCGAGGTGAAACCCAACGCCCTCCAGACTGCCGTGCTACAATACAATACATACATAGGCAGTGCGACAGTCACACAGTCCACGCTCCAAAGTCGGCCCTCCGAGGCTTCCATGGCGACAATCTCTTGGCACCATGCCCTCCCAGCGCACCCGGCTGCCGTTGGGAGTTGGAATCTTTATGCGCTCTCGTACCGCCCTGCTGGCCATTGGCCCAGAGCCGTCTCTTCCCCGCACCCGCCCCATTGACGTCGATGTTGTTGTGTTGGTTCACGGTTAACTTCATCTGCACACTTTGTGCTGTTTCACTTCCACTCGCGTCTGCCGCTGCAGGTCCGCTGTCCGCTCCCGTCGTGCTCCCTACTCAACACCTCTCAATCTCTCATCCTGTGACGCCTCTCTGAGATTGCCAATTCCCCTACTCCCCCATCGCCAATCGTATGATCACCGGCGCCTATCACTAAGCGGACGGGACGGATATGTGAAAAGTCCCGTTGCTCCAGCTCCTCCTCCGACGTGGCAAGGGTCCGTTCGCACAAAATCGCCAGAGAATCGCGCCGTAGCCAGGTGCGCCCCCAAAAAAATTCCCTTCCGCTCCGCCGCACAGATGCTGCCGCTGCCGCTGCCGCTGCAATATCCACGCCGCACGCGAAGACGAAAACGCAAAAGCAAGAGCGAGCGATCGGCGCTTGCCCCATCCGCGCACCCTCTCTAGACTCTCAGACTCTCTCTCAGACTCTCCCACGCGTGCGCACGCGACCCGTGCCTCGCCTGCCCCCGACTGACTCGCCCCCAATCGCCCATCGGCCATCGTCGTCGTCGTCCATGTGCAATTCCATTCGCATCGTCGCCGTCGGCCATCGGCCCTCGGCAACCACTGCGTCCCGGGGCCGGGCACGACAGGGTTCCCACGCGTTGCCTCCGCGAGTCACACATGCACCCACTTCTCCCAGCGCCAAAAGCTGGTGCCGCCCTGCCGCAGCCGCAGCCCTCCACCGCCAACCAAGTGGGCCGTACCACCATTGTTGAGGCTCATCAGGGTCCATCCATCGCAATGGCGCAATCCACGGAGCCGGCGGGACCCAACTGTCCGTCGAGAAGGTCGTTCCACCCAACCTAACTAAAAAAGCCGACTGTCGTGCGAGCGACCGACCGAATGAGCGGGAGGGAAAAAATTTAAGAGAAAAATTTGTCCAGTGCGCCTTACCGGCCGTTTTCACCGGTCGGTCCATGGGCGTTCGGCGGCCGCCGCCCGGCACCGCGACGGAGGGTAAAGTAAAATGTCGCGCGCTCTTGTCCTCGTGGTAGGCTCTAGGATGCACAGGCACGGACTCTGAGGCTGCAGTTGGACAGCGAATTGGGAATTAGGTAAGGTTTTTGTCGGTCTACGATTAGTACACCGATTTAGAAGACAAGCTCTACGCAATGATATCAACCCTAGGCAAGCTATTACCCTTTTGAGTTGGCAGTGAATTCATGTTCTGCGGGTGAGGTTACAAACCGTAGCTTCCACCAATCATTGTTCTGATGTTGCCAAGCCCTGCCGGCCATCGTCACGAGTCAGAGCTTCAAACAACCTGGATTCACATGTCACCACAACAACTTCATCAGCATGTCACGAGTGTCGGCCTCGTACAAGAAGCAAGATGGCCTCCTCTCCATCAATTCTGATCGTCTCACAGTCCACTGGGCGCCAGCCGCACCTCCGGGTACTCCGCCGACACTCACCATAGCCGTCTCCGACATCACCAGTACGTCGACTTGCCCTGTGACCACAATTACAGACTAACTCCCCCAGACCTGCAGCAGACCCCTGCCACGAGTGCCAAGGTCTCGATCAAGATCGTCGCGACCGACAACTACGTCTTCGCCTTTAGCTCACCAACCGCCCGCGATGACCAGGCTGCCATTACCAACACGCTGCGACAAGCCATCGAGGCGCACAAGGCCCGGGGCCAGCCGCCCCCCGCGACCTCAGCCACGAACACGCCGACCCCCAACGCTGATGGACAGGCCCAGTCGGCGGCTATGACATTCGCAAAGGCGGCTTCTGGGGCCAGTGGCGCGGCAGCAAAGCCGGAAGACGAGCTGTTCAACGACGCACGGCTGCTGGCAGATGTGGACCTGCAGCGCTCGTTGCTCAGCAAGGACTTGGCCACGAGAAAGAGATTCGACGAGGCGCTGCGCGGGAAGCCGGAGAGCATCAGCGTGGGCATGTTCTCGCAGCAGTTTTGGAGCACAAGGGTGCATCTGCTGCGCGCGCATGCCGTCGAGCTGAGTCAGCACCACGGTCCGTACAACGCGCTATCGGCCATCAAGTTCAAGTATGATGATGAGGGCAAGCCGACGACGATCTTGACGCGGGGTCAAATTGCGACCATCTTCAGCCAGCATCCGCTGGTGAGGCGCGCATACAATGACCTGGTTCCTCCAATGAAGGATACGGAGTTCTTCAGCTCATTCTTTGCCAGTCGGCTGTATAAGAGGCTCAAGGGCGAGAAGATCACAGATATGGACCCCATGAACCCCAAGCTGGACAAATACCTGGACGACAGTGAAGAAAACGAGCGAGCAAAAGGTCTGAACGTAGAGCATTTCCCGCACTTTTTGGACATTGAGGGCAACGAGCAAAATCACAGCCAACGCCGCGGAAACAGGCCGGACATGACGATGCGGCCGTCGGGATACGACAAGGTGCCTATCCTCAAGAGTCTCAACCGCGTGTCGGAGCACATGATGGCGGATGTGCTGCCAGCGGACGTGTACGACCCGCACGCGCCGGTTGGCGTCGACGAGATTACATTCGAGCAGCTGCGACTCCAAGATCTTCAGCGAAATAACGAGGACAACCGCATCATGCTCAACATCCGCGATCAGCAGCAGTTCTTCTCGCGCGACGTTCAGGCATCCACCGAGGCCAAAGTGTACGCAAAGCAATCCCCTAAGGATGTCATTTCTACGCTCAAAAACGAGCTTCAACCCGGCGGGGCTCAGGGCCTGAATCTGCCGGCTGCTATCGGCGTTGACGACAACAGCGATAGTGAAGAGGATGCGCGAGCCACCAAAGCGGGTAAGGTCCGCATTGGCACCAAGGCGAGCCGTAATTCGGCGACGCGCCAGATCCTCAACGCAGTGAAGCAGCGGTGGGCACAGACGAACGACTTCTCGACGCCGCTGGGGACGTTTGCGCCCGTGTCGTCGGTGAGCAACAGCACGGGGCTGTCGAGCAACGCGGTCGACGGGCTGACGCTGGCGCACAACACGACGATCGAGTTCCTGCACTATTTCTACGCCGTGTACCACTCGGGCGACGCGGAGCGGGCGGGCGAGCTGGGCACGCTGGCCGAGACGCTGGACAAGTCGCTGGAGCGACTGAATGCCATTGCGGCGGACGCTGAGGCGGAGCGCGCCGCCCTCGTCGCCGACGCCCGCCGCAGGAATGACGAGTACACGGCGCGCACGGGCAAGCGGCGCCGCTTCGACGAGAGCGCCATCAAGGGCGGCCGCGAGGGCGTGCTCGCTGTCGTCAAGCCCACGGTGCGTGCCGTCACGGAGGCGACGTCGCGGTATCGTCGCGAGCTGGCGGCGCAGTTGGCTGCGGTCCAACAGCAGCAGCAACAACAGCAGCAGGCAGCTATGGCGGGGGCGGGGACGCCCGTTGCCGCGTAGGGCGTCCCGGGCCCGGGCGCAAGGTTATGACGATGTATGCAAGCAGCATGCACGGGTGGTGGTAGTGGTGGTGGTGCACGCACGCTGCGCTCGGTCCGTCCATCCCTGTGACTCTTTCTCTCCATAGGTCCATATGTCCTCTCCTCCGTCATCCAACATCCGGCATCCGGCATCCGGCATCCGGCATCCGGCATCCGTAGGGTAGTCCGCGCGCTCGCCTCTGTTCAATCTTCATCCGGGCGCGGCGCCCGAGGTGTTTCCGTGCCGTGGGCCGTGGGCGATTTGGGCGATTGCCATGCCAATGTCGATGTCGATGCCCGATGGGCGATTTGATTGATTGATTGATGCGCGGGAAAATAGGGGGATGTGCGGCGCGAACCAATCCAATCCACCACCCAACACGTTATTATGTAGTATCATCGTGCGCGAGAGGGCGTGCGCGCACACATCTGTGTGCTTCTGCTTCTGCTGCTGCTGCTTCATCATCACGAGTCTCCCCCCCTCCCGGCCCGCTGCTTACTCGCTCGCTCTCTCTTTTATAGTGATGCGCCGTCCCCGTCATGCATGCATGCGGCTCTGCCGCCTCATCTCATACCTTACTTTTCCTACCTTAATCCTACCCTACCCGAAAGTCTGATGAACCTTAATTATTCGCTTCGCTTCATTTCATTTCCAACCTTTGCCCAACTCTGCAACTCTGCAACTTCAATTTGCCACCCACCCCATCATCATCGTCCGTCTTGCGTCCGTCCATCGATCCTTCATCTGTCCTCCGTCTCACCTTTCCCGCCTTGGCTTGCTTCATCGCCGCCGCCGCGGATATTTGCTTTTATTTCGCTGCCCTCGCTCGCTCGTATTCGCCTGTTCTGTACTGTACTTGGCGAGCGTCGTCGTCGTCGTCGTCATCGTCATCATCGGTTGTTGATTGACTTGATTGCCCCTGCCTGCCCAATGGTCAGTTACACTCAAAGGAAAAAAGGAACCCAGGTATGCTACTAATGGCGTTGCTGTATACTACGTATCACTAAGTTACACCTTCCCTTCCTCCCCTTTAAACCTTTCCACCGCCCCATCCCCCCATGCCATGGCATAACATGCCATCCATCCATCCCCATCCCCATCCCCATCCCCATCTCTCATTTCCCCCTCCCTCTCGAAAAAAAAGGAAAAAGAAAAAAAGAGGCTCGGCAGAAATCCAAGGCTGTAAAGACAGTATAAGCTCAAAAGGTATCTCCGCGATCGAAACAGAAGAATAAAAAAAGGCTCGTCCCCACGAAAAAGAAGACAACGTCAAAAGAACAAAGAAGCGAAGAAGGTCCAGAATCCCAAGACAGGATCCAACAGCAAAAAACCATGTATCCCATCGAATAAAGGAATAACGGAAAAAACAATAAAAAGCAATAGCAAAAACCAAAGGCAAACAGACTCGACAATCTCTACGAAGGTCGTCAAATGTCCTCCACCTTTCCCAAAAAAGGAGACCAGAAAAAGCCACTTTACACAAATCGCTCCATAGCTCCCAAAGCCGACGCCAGGTACCCATTCTCCTAAGAGCCAAGATAAAAAGAAAAGGTCACTTATTCAATCCATTCGTTCGTCGTTTCTCTCGTACAGCCCTCGTTGCAATTCGTCAGGTCGTCAGATCGTCAGAATTGGCGAAAGGTCATAAAGAAGACGAAACTTAATCAAAAGCACGTCACATGTCCTCAGTATAGAGCGAGGAAGCCTCCCTTGCGGCAGGTCGTTCTTGCTGCTATATGGGGTCCATCCAGGCCATGGACTTCATCGTGTCGTCAGGGAACAGGTCGTTGGACTGATCGAACATGCTAAAGTCGGGGATGGCATCAAGCTCGGGCACACCGAACATTGACTGGGGCCCGCACTTGGGCGAAGCCGGCGGCGTAGAGAAGGGGTTGGAGACGGTACGGCCGGACGCGCTGCGCTTGGGGTTCTTCGGCGAACCGTTGCGCTTGGGGCCCTTGGGGACGATGAGTCTGTCGTCGTCGTCGCCCGCGTTGGAGGGCGCCGGCGACATGGGAGGAGTCGCGGCGAAAGTCTCAGCCGTCATGCGGAACAACGTCTCGCCGGAATTGAAGTTCTCCTCGTCATCGTCGTCCTTGTTGGTAGGTGGCGGCGGGTTGTTCTTGGGCGTGTTGCGCGCCGAGTTGGCCCTCTCGAAAGCCTTCTCAAACGGACTCGTGGTGGGCTCCTCGGGAATCCTACGGAGGGTTAGCGGATGGCTCTATGAGGAGGTAGTTGCTCGGAAAACTTACTTGAAGGCAGTTGCCGTCGATTCTTGAGAAGACTGCGAGTGCAGGCTTGCCAGACCGGCGAATTGCGGTTGGTGGATCTCGACCTCCTGCATGGGAGACTGCGAGGATTCGGGCGAGGAGCTGGAGGAGAGAGAAGAGGCGTAGGCCAAGGCCTTGCGAGTCTTGTTCGCCTTCTCGACGCGCTCATCCATCTCAGGGCGCGGCTTGCGAGGACGACCGCGGCGAGCCTGCTTCCTAACGGCATTGGGGAAGGCGCCGTCGCACATACCGCGTTGGCGATGCCTAGTGAGGGCATCCTGCCTAGCGAAGCCCGCGCCGCAGGGGCACTTGTACGGCTTGTCACCGGTGTGGATCTTAGCGTGGCGCTTCAGGTCGTGCTGACGCACGAAGCACTTGCTGCAGTGGTTGCACCGGTACTGGCGGTCGCCAAGGTGAGTCTGCACATGGGCCCGGATGTTCTCGCGACGACCGAAAGTCTTGTCGCATTCAGGGAACAGGCAGGTCCACCGGTTGGTCGCAGGGTCCTGCTCACTGATGTAGGTTTGGATTTCCTCCGACGAGATGCCGGTGTCCTCAATGGTAGCGTCGAGGTTGAGCTCGGCGATGGACATGGCGCGCGGAGAGAGAACGGGCCGGCTAGGGTTGGGAGAGAGGAAGCCCTCGGCGTCGCTCATGCTCCGTGACAGCGGGGGAAACAGCGAGGGTCCGAGCTGAGGAGTGGGGGCCAGGCGGTTGGAATCCACAAAGGTGGGGAAGGACTGAGACTGCGGCGAGAGCGAGGGCGACCGGCTAGGAGAAGGAGCACCGGAAGAGTAGAAGGATGACTCATAGCCATTGTCGCTGTCGGCGGCGGTGTCGAGGTTGAAGCTGAAGGCCGGAGGGTCGTCCGCGGGAGGCTCGACGTTGATCTTGCACGGCTCCTCAAAGCTGGTCGGCATGGGAGCGAGGTCCATGTGGTCGACCGGGGTAACGGGCGACGCCTTGAGCGGGGCGGGGCTGGGGCTCGGCAAGATGCTCACTTGCACGGTGGCGTGAGCGCCGTACACGGCCTTGATGTGCTCCTCGAGCTCCTTGAGCTGCTGCGGCGACGGCTGGCGAGGCACCAAGGAAGAGTCGGGGTAGGACTGGAACTGCGGCATGGAGGCGTGCTGCTGGGCGAGTTGCATCGGGTGCTGGAGCTGGCGGTGTTCCATCGATATACTTACCATGCCGTCGGGCTGCGAAGGATAGGCAAAGGGGTTTTGGAACGATGGGCGTCCCTGGTCCAAGCTCATGCCTCGCCGGTGGTGGTGGGCGCTGTGTCGCTGGGGCATGGTCGGCAGAGGGTGTGCCGCGGAGGGCGCCTCGAAGAAGCCGGGCGTGGAATTTTGACGGCGGTGCAGAGCACGCCGCTGGTGGAGACTTGGCGACGGAGTGGACAGCATTTGGGGAGTCCGGCAGAGGATTGGGGTTTCAAAAAGGGTATATGGTACACCTTTTGGTCCGAAACTGGCCAAGGAGAAGGCGGTGGTCAGCTTATAATGCGGAGCGACGTGTTGTTTATCACGACGCGAACGGACCCACCTCTCACGCAGGTGCAAGCCGCGCTCGCCGGGCGGAGACGAAACGGCCTAATTTGCACAGAAGCTGTCTTGATATATGACGTCGCGCGGAGCTGGCAGAACAGGCTCTCGGCGCCGAAGATGCTTCTCGTGCGGGCGGTAGGTAGGTACGTGCTTCGAGAGGCGCAGCTAACCGTGATAGTCGCGTGTGCTATGCTGGCAGAAAGAGGGGCAGACGAGGGGGGTTTGCCGGAGAAAGAGACGGAGAGAGGAAAGGGATTTGCACCTAATGTACGATTGCGATTGCGATTGCGGAGGAAATGAAGTTGGAGAAGATGATGGGCGCGAGGGGGGGTAAAGAGAGGGACGTGTGGTGTCTGTGGGAGAGCTGAGACTTGGAGCACAACAGGTGCGCGTCTCTCGGGTAACAGGCGTGAGGCGCCCACCGGGTGACGACGGCACAGGAGTGCTTTGTGCCAAGGCAGCGCTTACCGCCTGTTTCGACAAGAGCCGGCCTGGGCCTATCGTCCCCTAAGCCCGACGCCCGAATCAGACGCTCGCTGACTCAGCCCGTGCACTTCTCGCTTAGCCCACTGGCGCCACGCAAAAATATCCCACGCCCACCCGCCTGTCCTTCTTTTCGAGCCGCCATCGACGACGACTGAGGAAGACATCTGTTGTCTAGGTGCGCATGCCACACCAATATACCATGCCGATGATGTCTAGCTAACATCTTCCAGGTCGCCATGCAGATCTTCGTCAAGACCCTCACGGGCAAGACTATCACCCTTGAGGTGGAGTCGTCCGACACCATTGACAATGTCAAGTCCAAGATCCAGGGTATGCGCCTCACATGATGAAAAGCTCTCTTGTGTCGACTGAGCGCTAACACCTCCCAGACAAGGAGGGCATCCCCCCCGACCAACAGCGCTTGATCTTCGCCGGCAAGCAGCTCGAGGACGGCCGCACTCTGTCCGACTACAACATCCAGAAGGAGTCGACCCTTCACCTCGTGCTCCGCCTGCGTGGTGGTGCCAAGAAGAGGAAGAAGAAGGTCTACACCACCCCCAAGAAGATCAAGCACAAGAGGAAGAAGACCAAGCTCGCCGTCCTCAAGTACTACAAGGTCGACGGCGACGGCAAGATCGAGCGCCTCAGGAGGGAGTGCCCGCAGGAGCAGGTCAGTTTTTTGACATTTCCCCCCTTTTTTTCAATCCGGAAATACTAACATGTAGATTTAGTGCGGTGCTGGTGTCTTCATGGCCGCCATGCACAACCGCCAGTACTGCGGCAAGTGCCACCTGACCTACGTCTTCGACGAGTCCAAATAAGCGCTCGACCTTGAGCCTCTCTGTGCGCGACTGGAGGGTACGATGCCCCGGTTCAACGGCATGTGCTGGTAGTCACGACGACAATATGTAGCTGGAGCTAAATTCAAAAATGAAAAAAGCGCAATCTAAGCTACAAAAACCCAAAAAACGCCACCTTATCTTACTTGTCTGCTGTGTGATCCATGTCAACGCTCATGTCCACAATCCGCAATCCACAATCCACAAGGCGTGATCTGCAATCTTGTGTTAAAATGAGCCGCAAGCCGAACGAATCCTCCACACGGACGTTCGGCCCCGACTCGACCTAGGTCCTAGGTAGGAACTGACGAACGACTCGATAAGTCGCCGGGGCGGAGGAGGGGCCCGCCCGCAACCTAATTAACCCACCAACCAACCCTGCCGGCGCATCGTATCGCATGCATTCTGGCCAGACATCATACATCATACATCATACTCGTATGTACGTGACGCTAGGTAAGGTAGCCCGGGAAAGCCTCCGCCCTACGCCTAGGCTACGTACATAGGCTAGGTTCCTTCCACGGACGGGCGTCCATCCTTCCTTCCTCGTCGGAGAAACCTCTCCTTTTCGACAATGCAGATGGAATCCTTCCTTCCACTTCCATCCGGGCGTCAACCTTGGAATCCGGGCATCCATCGTCCCTCCGATCCTCCGAGCCGACGAGTCTCCGGGTCCTTGGCCTTGCCTTACCTTACCCGCCGTGCCGCCGGCCAGACAGACAGCGCAGCCCCCAACCTACCAATGCCCCGCAAGTCGCAACTGCCCAAACGGCACACCACCCACCACTCGTATTTAGTGACGCGCAATGAGCTATGAGCTATGAGCAATGAACACTAATACTATAAGTGAGACAATTATAAAGTAAAAAGAGAGAGAGAAAAACAAAAGTTCTCACTTGACTACTGCCAATCGTCAATCGTCAATCCCACCGCGGTACCAATCCAATCCATCCCCACAAGCAAGCGAGCGAGCGCGCAAGCAAGCAAAGAGCCGCGGCAACATGCAACATGCAACAAGCACGCACGCCAGCCCAACACGCCCCCAAACCAAAACCTCCATCCATCCATGCATGATCCACCTACCCAGTACCCACCCACTTCCCCCAGGCCCCCATCCATCCACCCAGCATCCACTTCAGCCGCAGGTCTTGGGCCCGCAAAGAAGCAAGACTTAGACAAGCCTAAACGAAAAAATTTACCTATCTTCTGCCCACGAAAAAAAAAAAAAAAAAAAAAACCTCCACTTCGCGCCGACGACGCTGACCGGTGCCCCGCGCGGCTGGAGCCCTAATCCGTAAGGCAACTCACTCGCTCACTCGCTCGATGCTTGACTTGCTTGGGTCTTTGGGACCTTGTTCCTTGTCCCTGGGCCCGGTGAAGAGGGTCAACGGCGTCGGGGCGTGGTGGAAAGTTAGCCCAACGGTTGCTGGACAGTCGTCAGTGGTCAACGGGCGAGGGTCCCCGCCTGCCCGCCTGCCACTGCTTGGCCGCGCGTGGATGTGCGTGTCTGTGTGCCCGTGTGTCCGTGTCCGTGTGTCTATCGATCTACGGATTACGCACCCAACAGCAGCAGCACAGCCTGAGCTTTGAGCATTGAGCTGTGAGCCCAAGCAATGGCACCACCGCCGCCGCCGCCGACTGTGGAGTACGTGATAGGTGGTTTGTACCTATAGACAGAAGAGTCTAGAGGCCAGACAGCCAGCCGCGGCACAGGCACCAGGCACAAGCACAGTAGGTACGGCACAGCCACAGCCACAGCCAGTCCAGCCCAGTCACCGGTCCCGAAACTCGCGCATTCAGGTCCTCTCCTCACCGGCGCCCGTCTGCAATCGCAATCGCAATCGCAACCCACGATACTCCCAGGGCACACTCAACTCACGCCTCGCGCACCCAATCCAACCCAACCCACACTCCTACCGCACCTCCCCCTCCCCCTTCCCACCAGCACCAGTACCACCCTCCAAAACAGCGCAAGCGCGCTCCGCCCTCTCGAGCTTCGCCACCGTCCCCGTCAACCCGCCCTTCAGCTCCACCAGCCCACTCGCGCCGCGCTCCCACATAGCCAAGACGTCGTCCCAGCGCGCAAAAGCCGGGACATCGCCCAAGCCCACTGCTGCACCCTCTGTTGTCGCAGTCGCAGTCGCACCACTAGCAACAGCAGCGACAACAGCATCTCGCTGCGCAAACGCCAGCTCCAGCGCCTCCCTCTCCGCCTCCATCGCCGCTTGCTGCGCCGCTGCCGCGCGCGCCGGCGCCGTCCGTCGCAGGTCCGCGACTTTGCCTGTGAGGAGCTCTTTCTGGGCTTCGAGGGCGCGGATGCGGTCCGCGAGGCGCGAGTCTATGGGCTCGTATTCTGGGGCGCGCGGAAGCGCGGGGGGATTAGCTTCTTGTTTGCGTGTTTGTGTGCGGGTGCGGGTGCGGTAGGCTTACCCTCGGCCGAAGCCTGCAGCTCCTCCTCGCCCAGCAGCTCCTGGGGCGGCATGCCATTAATCTCGATATTGTGTCTCGCGCTCGCAAACGTCGCCTTGATGTACTGCCACCAACATTACCGCGCATTAGCACCATCTCTCACACATATCTCCCCTCCTCCACGAACACACACACTCACCTCATCAACCAACTCCTCGACCCTCCGCCTCAACACGTCCTCCCCGCCCTCGGGCGCCGCGCTCGGCGGCAAATGCAGGTCGATCTTCTGGCGGGCGGCGCGCTTCGCGTTCGCGACGAGGTAGGCCAGGTCGGCGGGCGCTTGGAGTTCGATGCGCCGGTGCGCGGCGTCCATTGTTTTTGCTTTTGTTGTTATTGTTGTTTGGTTGGTTGGTTGGTTGGGCGTTTGTGTGTGCGCGCGTGCGCGTGCGCGTGTTGTGGCGTGTGTTTCGCGCGCGTGTGTTTGGATGTGTGTGTGTGCTTGTGTCGGGTGGTCGGTCTGTCGCGTGCGTAGGTCTTGTTCGGAGGGAGGTATTATAGCAGGTGGCGCGCGTTTTTGTTGTTGTTGGCGGCAACGAAGCGAGAGACAGCGGTGGAAGTATGCGGACGGGTGGGTGGGCTGGTGGTGGTGGTGGTGGTTGCGATGGCCGTGGTCGCGGTTGCGGTGGTGTTTGTTGTTTTTGTTGATGCGGTTGCGCCGAGGCCGAGGCCACCCGCGCGATAAGGGCTTGTCACTTATCAGGGCACCCCCAGACATCATAGTGTCACATGTCGCGTGGGCTCCCCTTGCTCGTGACGCGCTCCCCAGCCACCGACGTTTGCTCAAGAGGCAAGAGGGGAAACCATCCTGTCTTTGGTCGACTACAACTACCTAGAATCCCACGCCTCAATTGCGAGCGGAGATGTCCTGCGCCCCAATCATCCAATCATCCAATCAATCAATCAATCAATCAATCAATCCCCATTGCGAAGAAAGCAATAAACAATCTACATCCAACATGGTAGAAAGCAAAAACTCCGGTGCTCCCTGCACCTCCGTCGCTAAAATACTAGCAGCAAACCCAAAAGAGCTGGAGAGAGAGAGAGGGGACGAAAGGGACCAGCCAAACAAAACCCCCAACGCAGCCTCCCTGTATCGTACCGTCATATGCCTCGCGTGCGTGCAATAATCCCCATTGCGCCGTGCCCCATGCTCCCAAAGCCCCGTCTAAGAGATCTAGGTGGCAGCCTGGTTGTCGTCGTGGTGATGTCGTCTTCCTTACTGAGGGAAAATGCTGGCCGCTTCCTCGTCCGTCAGGACAATGTCCTGCACGGGGTCCTGGCGGCGCTCCAGGTCGCTCGAGTCGTAGTCGGCGTACGAGGGGAGGAAGATGTCTGCAGAGAGAGCGCGCGAGCGCTTACGGTTAGCCAGAGTGCCGATAGTAGCAGTAGCTAAAGTAGTGACGCCGAGGCGCAGTCTGAGCCGAGGGACGGAGCTTGCCTTGGTTCCAGTCGAAGCCCTGCGAGGCCTTGACGCATGTGATCTGCAAGCCGCTGGCGTTAGCGGCGGATTCGAAGTTGGCGGGGAAAGGGAGGGGAAGTGGAAGGGAGGCGAGAATCGCTGGCTGCCTTACCAACCGTGGAGCATCCGGGTGGCCGACGTTAATGACGATGTGCTCAGACTTGGAGATCGAGGAGCCTGCGCCCAGCTGATCAGCATCCCATCCTCTCTGTCGGTGTAAACGCTCGTGGCCGGAGATCCTCCTGGTTCAGCCCTCCCGAGGGGGGGCACCTACTGAGCAGCGATGGCCGGCGGGCCAGGTGGTGCGGGGAGGACACCGAGGACGAGGGCGACGCGATCAGCGGGTGCCCGGCGCTCGACGACGAGGCCGACGAGAAGGACGAGCTGGCCGTGCTGTGCTGGCCGGTCCGGCGGCGCATGGGAATGGCAATCGAGGACGACATTGTGAGGTGGCTGGCGCGGGTGGACGGGGATATCTCGAGGCAAGCAACACGACGATGGATGGGGAGCAATCAACAGGCAGTAGGATTTGTTGGATCGAAACGGATTGTTGTCAGATAGAGAGAAAAAAAAAAAGAGAGGGTGGAAGGAGTGAGTCAAGGGAAACTAGGTATGAGTTGTCCTGCCGGTGGTGATCGGAAGCTCGGAGGGAGGAGGGAGGAGGGAGCAGCGGGCAGCAAGCACGACAACGTGTGATGCCGCTTCGGGGTTGACTCAGGCAACCAAGCCGACCCCGTGATTGACGTACGCCTCGCAGCTCGGGACGCTAAGGTACACTCGCAGCCTCGGCGCGCATGCATGGGGAGAGGCATGACGCGCCCTTTGCGGCTCTGCACAACACCACGGCACGAGCATCGAGCATCCGCCAGCTGACCGAGCCTGGTGCACCAGACGGCCTTGCTCGTTCAAACCCACCCTGAACATCCTCCCATTTCCCCCCCACCCTATCCATGTCCTATTGAAGCCGCAGCAGAAGAAAGAAAGAGATCAAAGGGTAGCCCATCCTCCACCCGCGCCAAGTCCTCTCAAAGGAAACCAGTGGTGCCATCGGACAAGGCAACAGCGCCATCACAACCTAGCACAGATGGATGGTGAACATGAGTCGTTGTTGATGACGATCAAACTGCTAATCGAGCCTCAATCGTCCCATCGTTTCCGTCAAGCAACCCAGATCTGCCCTCGTTCTTTCCTTCCTTGCCCCATCTCAATCGTACAAACCCGCTCAACGCGCAATCAGCCTCTGGGTATCCCAAATATCCAAACCGTGTACAATTCCCTGGCAGCAAGAAAAACAAAACAGAAAACACCAAAAAAGGAAAGAAAAGGAGGAAAAAACCGTCTGTCTCCGCCAAATTCTCTTGAAACCGAGGCCGGTAGCCCTGGTCTTGTGGCGTGATTTTGTGGAAAATTATGACAAACATCAAACAGTGGACTGGGTATCGCTGGCGATGTCGAAGAAGCAGCCGAGTCACCAGCCCTTGTTCTTGCGAGCAAAGCGCTTGTTGAGCAGGTTCAGCACCTTGCTCACGTTGAACTGGACGTACTCCAGGTCAAGGTCTTCCTGGCTGTCCTTTTGCATCTCCAGAAGATCGTCCAGCTTAAGGTCGAGTTCTAGAAGGCCACGGTTCCGCCCTAGAGCATCCTCCTTAGATTCTTCACGTTCCTTAGACGATTTGCCTGAGGGTGTGGGGACGATACCTTTGTAGTGTAGCGAGATGACAAAAGTACCCGGCAGCGGGCTGGTGAAGTTGAAGTAGATGTTTGCCCGTCGGTTCTCGGGGACATTGCTCTTCTGGATGACGCCCTCCTTCTCCAGCTGCTGGTGGGTGAACTTGTAAGGCCCCAGTACTTGCTGCTTTTGCTGCTTCCTGGTCTTGCCTTCGGACTGGCTGCGGACGTTATGCAGATATGATTTGTAAGTCTCGAGTTGGCCAACCAGGTAGGCGTTGTGGTCGCGAATCGTGCGGTAAACCTCGTCAAGCTTGCGGGTCTCCTCAACGACCTTGTCTTTCATTGAGCCAAGGTGGACCAGTTCCTGCTCGATTTCGTCCCGAAGCAGGGCAAAGCCGTCCTCTCTGTCGATGACACCGCCTTCCTGGAGCTGGTTCAGAAGTTCCATGGCCCGGATGCCCTTCTTCACCATGACGGAGTCATTCTTGGTGGTTGCTGCCGCTTCAGCTATCCGTTCCAGACGCAGGGGTCTCCGGGTAATCGAAGTGTTTGGTGGCAGTGAACGGAGGATCATCACCATGGTCGACTTGGCCTCCATGAAGAAAACCTCTTCCTGGGTGATGTCGAGAGCTGCTGTCAAATCATCAATAGGCGTCTCCCATTTGCTGAAGAGCGGAAGGTTGATGGCTCGGTTTTCCTTTCTTGGTAGTTGGGCCGGCGCGGGACCCAGTTCTTGGAGTAATATGCCGAGATGCGAGCTCTCATCTCTAGTCTGTGCTTTTATTAGCACACGATCAGTTCAGTATCGCATGAGCTAACTTACCAGTTCTGCAGTGTGACGGTCGAGTAACGCGTGTGTTGCGTAAACCTCGTTGAGGGTGATGGAGAGCTCCAAATCCTTCTTCGACAAAGCGACGTAGTTGTCCATCTCCAAGCTTTCGTAGAAGTCTTGAACTTCGCAAAGATCGAGCATGAACTTGTTGATGCGCTCCTTGTTCGACTGAATGAATGGCTGCAATTTGACCATGTATGGCTCCTTTGCATAAGAAGGCTTGTTAGCCAAGTTTTGCAGCATCTTTGCAATGTACGTGAGCGTCCGCTTCGGGTTCTCTGCTGGTGTTGCATCGATCAACATGTACGACCTTGGCGTGACTATCGCGGGGTTGATGAAACGCAAGAAGAAGAAACCTCCGATCAATGTACAAATCGTGTGGTCGGAAGCATCCGGGTACTTTCTCTTTGAAAGACTGCGGATTTGCTTGCAGATCCACCGAATACCGTAAGGCGTCTCTTCGAGGCCATCAATGATTGTGGTCAGGAAGGAGTTGGCAATCTCCATCAGCATCGTCAGTCGCGGCGCAATAATCTGCTGCACCGTCTCGTTCTCTGCTGCTTGCTCGGCCGTAACACCGCGCGGAAGGTGAGCAGGCAGATTGCCTTCGCTGTCTTCAATTTCTTGAATCATCTTCTCGTAGACCTTCAGAGGGTTGATCTCCAGGTCGAGATCTCTGAGCTCAATCAAAGAGTTGATACGCTCTGCCAACACCATCTTGAGGTAACTTTGACCAGGTCCCCGGCGGGTATATGTCGTCATCATCCGGGATACGGGAGTGTTTGCGCGCAAAAGAGAGGAATAATCTTGGGTGTTTTCGAATTGATAGGTGAGGACAGACTTATTGAGGTCAGCAACGACGTCGACGGCGAATCGGCGACACTTACCTGAAACATGGTGAGCAGAAGGTGCTCTTCTCTGCTCTCGTACTGGTTTCCGTAGATGGTGAACATAACCGTCTGCAGCAGAGAATCGATCTCGGCCATGGTGACAAGGCGACACAGGTGGGCGATATGTCGGGGCTCCGACTGGAGAAGGAACAGCAGGTTGCCATACTTCTGGGTCTTTTCGTCATTGGGGAAGAAGCCTTCCTGCAACTCCGTTTCTTCTAGGTGGCTGGCGACTTCGTTTTGCTGCATACAATGTCAGCTACCGCTGCAAACACGACAGGGCTTTAGATTGGCCGCACCTCTTCAAGAGCCATCCGGTTCTGGATCAGAAGCGCAATCCGGGAGTCGAGATATCTGACATCCTTTTCAAGCACGAAGTTCTTCTTCGACTGCGAGGAGATGCGCGCCTTGAGTTCACGCAGGACTTTTTGGGCTATAAGTCATTAGCACCCTAGGGGAAGAGTCATGGCTGGAGTACAACGATACCTTTGGCCAGCTCATCTTCGATTTCCAAGTCCTTCTCCTTTGCGGACATGGAAAGATACAGCGCGGTAACCGAGTAGCGCTTCGACTGGCGCGTCGAGCGGGATCCATCGTGCGAAGACATGGTGTTCTGACGGGAGACGGGTATGAAGGAAGAGGAAGATGAAGTCGAGGCCCTGGAGGGAGCTTGCAGCATCGCAATCGACATGTCTAGGTTGCGCGCAACAACTCACGCGGCGTGCGCGACTCGCAGCAGGCAGACTCGACGACGACTCGGGGGAAGTCGAGGGTCCGCCGCGGCGAAATTACTGGGATCGGAGTGGTGGGTGCGTCAGGAACAAGAGTAGCTGTGCCTTAAACAAAGGGACTCGGGATGGTGGTACACCCAAGGTACCGGTGCGACGGGAGCAATTGCAGCTTGCTTAGCCCCGTTCCAAGCCCCAAGCTTTGTTTTTTGGGGTTATCCTTTTATTTTTCTCTCGCTCGCCTTTTTTTTTTCTTGGGAGGCGCCGATCAGGTCATGTATGCCAAGCGGAAAGCGTGTCTTTGTCGGTCGCGCGCGGCGGCTGGCGTGGGTGCTATCTGGCGGGCGGCGTGCAGTAGGCAGCAGCAGCAGCAGCAGCGCAATTTGCCGGGCGTATAAGATTGCTCGCACAAGAATGCTTCGGTCGGCGGGCTGAAACTCGAGGGTTGAGTCGTGGCCGCAATTGGCAAACGTGGACTTGGACGTGGACTTTGGGGCGTGGGATGTGGGACGTGGGACGTGGGTGTGTTGTTGGCAAGCAGGCGCGGGCGCGGGCGGGGGCTTTGGCCGGGTGGTCGCGGGCTAAAAAGGCAGCAAGAGGAGGAGAGGTAAGGAGTGTTGTTGTTGTTGCGTGTAGTGTGGTAGGGAGCGACAGGCGGGTTGATGGAGGAGTCGGCGGAGGGGGAGGGGAGAGGGAGAAGAAGACAGGCAGGTGTTTCAGCGCGCGCACCACGACGGTTTGAGGCAGAGAAACGGGCAAGCGATCGCCCGGCAGGCGACGCTTTGGCAAAATTGCATCCGCTTTTCAGGGGCACCCGGCAGAGCGAGCACTTGACGAGCACGCACCGACGGGGCCCTGGCCATCCACCCGCCGCCCTGACTCGCCGCGCCGCAAAGGGCCCAATTTAGGCCGCATATGCACGCGGGCGCATATTAAATTATTTGATATCGCGATAAGGCCCGGCCACTCGACGAACGACGCGCGTATTAGCCCCCCGCAGTCAGGTGGCCGCTGTGAAACACTTGCTTGTCTCGACGCCCTGGGGGCGGCCGGCGGCTCGCCCGGAACGCTCGAGCCGATCGAGCTACTACCTAGGTACCTACACCACCCACACTACTATAGCTATTTTTGCCCCCGACCCCGTGCCACACAAACGCCCTACCTACTTATCGCACCACGCCCGCGATGATCACCATCAGAACAAAGTATCTGCCTGCAAGTCAGCCCATGTTTCGAGCGCCACCCATGTTTCGGACACGCTTACGCGGCGGCACAGACTCCCCATTCCCGGACCGTCATGATCTGGTAGAACCGCGTCGATGCCACCATCGTCGCCTCGCTTATCCCCAGGATCGCGAGCACGAACATCCGCGCCCCAAAGCCCGGGATTATCGAGTATGCAATCAGCGGCAAAAGTAAAAACACCGGCAGCGCTAGCGTAGCCGCCTGGATCGTGTCGAGTCCATGCACCCCGAAGATTCGAAGCTGTTGCTGTTCTTGTAGTAGTAGCTGATGCTCCCGCTGTTGCTGTTCTTGTTGCCGTTGCTGCGCTTCACGTCGCCGTGGCAACACCATCAGGTCGGCCCCGCGTTTCAGGAAGCGCGATTCTGCTTCAGAGATGGGCGCGTGCAAGTGGAGCCAGGCTTGGTATCGAGAAATATCCTCGGCCTTGGCAGGCTCGAGGACTTTCATCATCTTGCCGTATGAGGACATGGCGCTATCTGTTTGGGCCCGTCAACAACCGTCTGCGCCAGAGGTGAGGTTACGATAAACTCACTGTACTGTCCAAGCTTGACGTAGATATTGCCGAGCAGCAATGTTCGTCTCGAGTGGAGATCTCCGCCATAGCGCCTCTCGAGCCGACGCGAAGCGGGTTGTGCGTCCTCGTCATCACCGACGGCGGTGGTCTGAGCAATATACTCATCGACCAAGCGCAACTCTTCTTCCATTTCCGCAAGCTCATCTTGGATATGGAGCAAGATCCGGTGATTAAGATATTCGAATCTGCGGTACACTGGTTTTATTCCCCGATTTGTCTCATCCCTGGCCTCGTCGGTACTTTCAGCCAACTCGGTGGCCAATTTCTCGTATCCCGCAATAGTAGTTTTCGTTAAGTCCGGTGCATCATGCTGGATGAATTGGCTGACGAAGGACGTTTGCGGAGGGTATTGCCCGTACGGAGAAGTAAGATGACCCGGATCTGGTATGGGTACGTGAGGGGGGGATGGTGATGCGTCGATAGGATCCCAATACGGCCCTTGCTGTGGCTGGGGTGCATAATAGGGGAATGAAGAATCATCTCGATGAGATCCGTCGTCATAATGCCGTCGTCCCCGCGGCTGTTGCGGTGTCTGCAAAATATGCTGACGGAGACTTTCTTCCTGGGCGAGGAGACGTCGTAGTAGAGGGTCCTCGGCCTCGGCAACCAGGCCGGCGTAAGATTCCTGAGAAAGCTCCCGGTACAGCCGCTCAATTTCCAACTGTCGCTCAATAATCTCTTCGTCCGCAGAGCCGTCGCTCTGGGGCGTCGGAAGGTCTTGAGCCATCCGGTTCCGTTCACTCGCTTCCGGACTGCTGTCCCGAACGGATATGCCAGAATCGGAGTTCACCCTGTCCCGATCTACGGTGGAAGCCTTGGTGGAGCCCGGATAGTCCCGTGAAGGCGGTGGGGTTGCTAATTCCCCAGCGCTTGCCGGTCCCTTGGACGCCTGAGAATGGGTAGAGCGAGTTGACCCACGGCGTCGGCGCTCGGCACGTTCGTAATTTGAGGAGACCTGACTGTCGGAATGCTTGGATCGGTCCTTTGGGCGCCTGCGCTTAGTTATGTTGGACCTTTCATAAGACTTTTGCGTGACGGTAGAGTTGCTTCCGCTGGACGTTCCGGACGAGTGCGTAAGACTGGAGAAGACGGAGAGCAAGGAGGGACTAGACAGATTCGACAAGGCATCCGCCCTTCGAAGCAAGGAACTATGCTTTTGTCTTACACTTCGTCGAGCAGAGCTCACACCAAGCTCGAGGCCAGACCCGCTGCGTCGAGCATGAGAGCTGCCGCGGTCTCGAGGTGGGGTGCTTTTGAAGGAAGTGTGGTCGGCGGCGTCCCCTCCTTCCGATATCCTCGACAGCTCCGGGTAGTAGCCAGTCGAGCTTCGATTGGAGGCGGCAGTGGAGCTGCGCGAGCTTCTGGACGAGCTGGCGGAGGTTGTTGTCGCCTTTCGAGCGCTCCGTTTCCTGACTCGCGTTGGGCGTGCGTCTTCAACGTCTTCCCACGTCGGCGACTCTGGCTGCCGATCGTCATTCGCATCGTACGGAGATTTCAACCTCACAGTCGAGTGCTTGCGCAGCCGGCGCGAGGAGAGCCTCTCGTCCGCGCTGCCCCGCGGCCTCGCATCGCTTTCAGCGTCGAGATCGGGACACTGGGGACGGCAGCGCGGCGTGGCGGCTGCTACTGGAGACCCGCGCCCTTCAGCCTGTGCATGCCAGATGAATACAGGTCAGCAACCATGCTCTAACTGGTCCACGTAGGTGACAGCGTTGGCGAAGCATACCATGGATATCAGAGGGACAGATAAGCCTTCACCTCTCTTGACGCCTGAAGCGCAGTCTGAAGTCGACCTCTCCGCGAGAACAGCTGGGCCTGCAGCTAGCCGGAACCGAGCTAAGACATGCGGGCACGATGAAAGACGACGGGAGGCCGATCTGGGGGAAAAGGCGCGAACTACTGTCCGATACAGGGCTTTTTCGTGTCACAAAAGGCGTGCATGCTGACCCAATGTCAGGGATGACCGCAGCGTTGGCGCCCCACGAACGGTAAGCCGAGGGTGTTTCACTTGTCCACATGCCTCAGCCTCTTCTGCGACTGCGACAACAATAGCCTCACCATCATCATGATGTTGTAAAAGCAAAACACGCCCGCATGCTTCGTTGTGCTGCAGGACTCGTGTCAAGACGCGATCGATAGAGTGGGTATTAGTCTGCGAGTGTCACCCCGCCGTTCTATATACAGAATATGCGAAGAGACGTGGTTTGGTCTCTCCGCTCTATTTCATGTGCATGCCATTCCTCCCTGTTACGCCACATTACGCCCCCTAGTTCGCTTCTCGTCGCCGTCATGCCGCTTGCTGCTTACCACCGCGCCGTCGATGTGCTGCAAAGGAACCAATGTCAGTCATACATGCATCATGGTATCTTCTACAATCTCGGACAACAGACTAGAACCGGCTGATATCCCGCCCGAAGATCCAGTTGATAAACCTAATGTCCAGTCAGTCTCCGCCTACTCGAGCCAGCGTAAAGGAATGCACCCACCAGTACATCGGGATCAGGATCTTGTTCCTCAAGCTCACACTCTTGGTGAGGTACGCTCCACGCCATATCAACCACGCGGCGCGACCAGAGATGTTCCCACCACCACCGCTCTGCATGATGGCATTCCAGTTACCAAGGTACGCCATGACGCCCATGTTCTTCCAGGTAAAGCCGTGTTGTTCGATGTCGGACTTGTTGAGTCTTTGGGCAAGCCACTCCGCCTTCTGGCTCGCGACCTGCGCGGTAGCCGGGTACATGGTACCCTCCAGGGTCGCACAGTCGCCCAACGCATACACGTCTTCCATGACGGCCCGTGCCTTGCCGTCTTCGCCCTGTCCCTTCGGTTCCAGGATGACGCGAAGCTGATCGTTGGTGATGACAGCGCCAGTCTTCGGGTGCTTCTTGACCACCCACTCGTCGGCCTCTGGTTTCTCGCCATTTGGCGCTTGGAGACGCATTTGGTTCGGCAAAAGCTGGGTCCTTGAAAGCGCATTCTGTATGAATGGGTTCATCATGAGACCTGTGCTCCAGACAACCATGCCAACGCCAATTTCGCCCTCCTCCTTCACCTTCAAGGTGTAGCAGGACTTGGGATCCTTGACCTGAGAAGTTCCTTCTTCCTTACTGGGCACACCGGGGCGCAGCCACTCAACATGGTGGGAAGTCTTGATCTGGATGCCTTCTCTCGAGAAAGTCTTCAGGGCGTACTTGCTCAGGTTCTCGTCAAACATTGAAAGGACCCTGGGAGCCACGTCGTACACCGTAATACGGTAGTGGTGCATGAGGTCGGGGTAAAGCTTGGAGAGATCTTCCCTGATGATGTCATGCAATTCCGCAGAGAACTCAATGCCCGTGGGACCACCGCCAACAATGGCAAAGTTAAGCAGATGTTTGCGCATCTCTTCGGTAGTCGTGGGCAGAGCAGCTGTTTCAAAGCCTGTAACTACAGTTAGCATCATTGACCGTTTATAGGAAGCCATAATAAGATACGCACATTGAAGAAGGCGGTTACGAATCTTTCTCGCATCACCGACATCTTTCAGGAAGAAAGCGTTTTCCTTGACACCCGGGGTACCGAAAGTCTGGCTGTAGCAACCGACCGTAACAATGAGCTTGTCGTACGGAAGGCCGAACAACTGGCCCTTCTTTGCTTCTTCGACTTTCTCCATGGCCCTCTCTTCTCGAGACTCGCCAGCGTGACGATCAGCGGCCAAGGCAACGCCCTGTTCCGCGTCTTCTACACCCTCTTCGACCGTGATGCGCTTGTTCTTGAAGTCAACATCATCGGCCCAGCCTTGGAAGTAGGAGACGTTGGTTCTCTTGCTGCGGACAGGTTCCAGGGCAGTCCGGAACTCGAGGGTACCGACGGAGGTGGAAGCCAGAAGAGGAGTAAAGGCGAAATACGAGCGCGGCGAGACAACAACGGCTTGGTACTTTTTAGGGTCGAGCCTACGGGCAACGGTGTAGCCGGCCCATCCCGAGCCTAGAATGACGACTCTTTCCCTCCCTAGAAAGCGTCAACCAATGTTCCGCGGCGCAATGTTAAATGGTGGACCATACTGTCACGCTGGGCGTCAAGGGCCTCGACTGTCAAAGAACGGCGTTGCAGAAGGTGGGAAGCAGTGGCTCCCCTTGGAGCTGAGAGCGGGTGGTGGTGGGAAACAACATCTAGCAAGCCATTGGGAAGCTTGCCCAAGCGCTGGCGCTGAATTGCGAGAGACATGGAGGAACTGTAACTCTACACCAGTACTGTGCTCAGGAGTAACTGGAAACAGCAGCTGTCAAGACGACTTACGAACGTTGGAGTTCCAGGCTGGAGACGTACTTTCTATTTCAATATGACGTATGAAGGAGTGCCGATCCCGACGCGAGTCAGGAGCCGTATCGGGAGCCGGAGGAAAAAGTCAGACACAAAGCGAACAAAGGAGCAAACAGAGAGACAAGGGAACGACAATGGACGAGAACACTGGGAATTCTGGAGGGAATTTCTCTGCCCTTAAAAATGTGCACTGCGCTCCCGTACCTCGGAGTGGGCTTCTTCTAAAAACGGACACCGACCAAGCCCTATGAATATCTTGAGCGGCTTTTTCTAGAATCCCGCTTGCACAGGGCATACAGAGCCCCCATTCCACTCCCAAGGCCCTATTGCAGCAGCAACAATAATCGAGAGTAATCCGAATCACGTCCGCAGAGAGCCTTTGTAGGACAAATTTCGTCTCAACCTGATTCCATAGCGATCCGAGCCCGGTATCGGACATAGATAGGATCTTGCTCGGTGGCTAAAAAAGGGCAGCAGATGACGTGGTTGGATGCACAAACGGAGGGGCTGCGTGAACTGTGCTTTGCTTCTCCCAAGGAATCAAATGTGTTGAAAAAACTTGTCTATCTTAGCAGAGGTTTGCTGTCTAAGTATCATCCTTTCGTCCGGCAGTGAGGCGCTCCACTGCGCATGCTGCTGAACCCGACAACACCCGAGGGACCGTAAAAGAAATATTTGAACGCTAAAGGGGGGATCTAAATGGCAAGAATCGTGATCTACAGCAGCGTGTCGCCCAGTGCGCAGCGCACGATGGAGCAACCCGCACGAACGGTCTCGGAAGCGCCCTGCGGATCTAGTCAGATAGGCGAACTCAAATGGGCAGAACCTAGACTTACATGGGCTTCGAGGCTGGGGTTGACCTCGACAAGGTCCATAGCAACGAGGTTGCCGGTCTCAGCCACGCTCTCGGCGATGTAGTCACCCTCACGGAGGGTGAGGCCTCCACGGACAGGGGTACCAGTGCTGGGAGCCCACTGAGGGTCCAGGCTGTCAATGTCAAAGGACAAATGGATGGGAGTGTCGCTGCCGATCCAGCCAAGGGCCATGTCCGTGACCTTTCCGATGCCGTACCTGGGGAGCCGACGTCAGTCTCGGGTTCCATAAGGGTGAGAGGGTCCACCTTACTTGTCAACGTCACGCATGGAGAAGGCCTTGATACCGTTCTCCCTCAGAATCTTCTTCTCTCCAATGTCAATGTCCCTCAGGCCAATGTAGACCAGCTTGGTCACGCTGATCTTCTGGTCATCCTTGATCCAACCAAACATCTCCTCGTTGTCGCCCTTAGCCAGGCCCGTCAAGAAGGCCACGGGCATGCCGTGAATGTTGCCGCTGTCCGAGGTCTCAGGGGTGTTGATGTCAGCGTGGGCGTCAACCCAGATGACGGCAATTTCACGACCAATCCTCTCCCGGGTAGCCTTCGCGACACCGGCGATGGAACCGATGGCGATGGAGTGGTCACCGCCGAGGGTGAGGACGCAGCGGCCCTTGGAGGCGTGCTCGTAGACCTGCTCGCTCAGCTTCCTCGTCACGGCGCTGACAGTCCTCGGCATCTTCATGTTGCGGTGGTCGGGGTCCTCCTTGGGGATAACGTCGGTGTACGAGTGGACCTGGCCATCGTAGGTGACCTTGAAGTCGAGCTCGTCCCGAAGCTGGTCGAGCAGGCCGGCCTCAATCAGGGCCATGGGAGCCGCATCGACACCGGACTTCCTCTGCGCACCAACAACAACATCAGCATGGGAGACGGCAGCCCGGGGCTGCTGGGCAACGCACCTGTCCGTTAGAGAAGCCGACGGCGACGACGCCCAGGTCGTCGCGGCGAGGCAGGAACTTCGGCTGGATGGTAGGGGCGTGCGTCATTTTGCGAGCGGGGGAGCTGAGAGCGTGGAGAAGGGGTGGTGGTGGGCGCGAGAGCGGAGATGAGGGATAAGGCCTATGGAGCGCAGCTTTCTTTGTAGCGGCGCTGGAAGGGTCGGGAAAGCGTATTTATGTTGTTATCGTCGTGCGGTGAAAGAGCCATCGTGTCCTCCTTTCCTTCTCCTTTACGTAAATAGGCAAGATTGATTTTTCGCATCCGAGTGTTCAATCGCTTCTGACTGCGCTTAACGGTCGCGATGCGTTTATACTTGCGCTTAGGGTGTAGTAGGTGTTGGAAAGAGCCGACACTCGGCCTAGGCGTAGGCGGTGCGCTATGTGGTCCCTCCGATCCGACGACCCCATGTCGTTGCATGCGGACTTGTCACGCGTATCCCGCGCCCGCCGTCGTCCAACCTCACTTGCCCGCTGCGGCAAGGTGCGGCTGTAGCCGGCGACTGTCTGATAACGACTTCAAGGCCAAATGACAGCTCTCATCTTCCCGGAGCCCGGTGTAGAGTACAAAGTCGTGGCCGATCGCCAGGGGGCCGTCACATGCAATGCAATGCACAAACATTCCGGTAACCAAACTTCGCGTAGGTACATTCCCGTGGGCATGGCTATCAAAGTGGAGAGCAAGTGCAAAACTCTATTGTGGGACGCAGGTCCTCTATGGATATTTATTGTATACCTGAGACTGTTTGTTTTGCGGGGGCACAAATACTCTCATATCCTTATGGTAAGTGCTCGGACTTGACGGGTACAGACTGCTTCTTATAGGTGCAAAAAAAGTCATCATCAAGATATACCGGCCCGCTTTAGCATCGTTGAGTTACCAATGACAGCAAAGGCATAGTGCCTTTTCAGACAATAAGCACCGGCCCTGATCAACGAGGATACACGGACACCTCTTCCTTTACAAAAGGGCCATCGTCTCGTATGAACATGGTCAGCTTCACCGCAAAGTGAGACGAACCGTCCGGAGCCGGCAAGGCCAAGTTCAGCGGAGAGCGTCGTACTACGTGGTACGCTGTGTCTCGAAAGGCTGGAGAAGCTGATGTGAGCGGCGCAATCCTGAAAATCAGGGGTGAGAAAGGTAAGCAACGATCTTCTGCGCCTCGTCTTCGACTTGGACAAAGCCTTGGGCGGCTTCTGGGGCATGACCCACTCGGTTATGGTCCGTGGCGCACTGTCGACCAGCTGGCAGTGTCATATGACGCAAAGTGGTCGAGAAATCCCACTGTTCTTATATGATCAAACGTACAGTAGAATGCGGTGCCTGCTGTACATGCCTTGATTTCATAAAAGCTAGTACTCTTCTATAGAGTAAGGAGCTTCTGGGGAGCAGTCTTGGTCTTCCTTGTATGCCTCCCGGATTCTCTCAAATTCATGGTTGTACTGAAAGTTAACAAAATCTATTCATCGTAATTTAGTCCTTCGAGTTTATTTTTATTCTGCTAAAGTCGTTGCCATTTCATGGCAGGGTACATCTGAGTATGGTCTGAATGAGACACAATGCATCATTTATATTAATGGTAAAGTACTCCTACTGGCAGTCTACGCTATTGGCTTCTTTAATAAATGTTCAGTATTTGAATTTCTTGTTATGTAGTAGTTATAATATCTACTACTGGCAAGCTCCGCAGCTTGATGTTTCTATTACTGTCGGCTTAAATATTTAGGTAACGATTTTAATTGATTGAGATAATCCGCAGTGTAAAAGTAACCAAGTAGCAATCCGATCTTATTTAAGCTGCTACGACTTCGAATCTTAAACATCTTAGTACCGTTAATCGTGCTAATATGCTGATATATAGTAGTGGTACGGGTTAGGATTATCCTGCGATTTACTACCTTAGCCAGACTATAGGGTTCTCTATAAAGCCTTATCAAGTAGACCACGAGCCTCATCTACTACATTATATCCCTAGAGTATTAGTCATATTTATTTTATATTTTTATATATATTGGGGATTTTAGTATTTGCTAACAGTTAAATGTATAATTTTCTATGAACTTTTATAACGTCGGTCGAATTACCCAAGTAGTAGTAGTACGAGTAACAACAAAAAAGATATTAAGATAACAGCAACAGAAAGTAGCCCTATATTAGAATCTAATACTTCGAAGTCTTTAATCACCGGATATAATCAATTCGCAGAGACATGCCACCTAAGCTAATCCCCAGAATCTCGTTGTTGGCACACTTGCAGCTGCAGCAGTGGCAGTAGAGATGATAGTAGTAAGAGGACTATAGGTCGAAATGGTATATATAGAAGTAACATATAGTAATTTCTTTTTCCATCCCTTGCTCCTCTGGCCCTATCGCTGTGACTGCAGCGGTATCTACATATCGAGAGTGGAATCCAGACCATTATGCAATACCAAGATAGAAGTTAGTATCGATTGTAGAGCGAATTATACTGCTATAAGCTCGTTTGTATAGAGCTAAAATAATAGAGCTCATTGGAAACATTTTCGAGGTGGGAAAACTAGAACCACGGTGTCCAATCCAACTCACTACATGCCGTCGATCCAAAGTGAAGTCCGCAGGCCTTCCCTTGGCCCAAACTATAAGTGATTTCAACGTTGGTGTGTGTGGGTTAAAGGATCAGTGGTTAAGATAAACAAAAAAAGCGCGAAATTACCCAGGAAGATGTAACATGATGATTGTTTAAAACACTGATCATTCGTGCGCGATAACCTCGAGCTACAAGGGTCGAGATATCTTTACAGACTAGAAAGCTTATTTACCTTGCATAAGCATATAAACTTAACCAATATAGCACCGAGTGGGCACATTGCGTCAGAGAATCTGGCACCGAAAGATATTTTTAGGCATCATCGGAGCGCTACCCGGTGCATTTAAAAAGGTCAAATGACTGATGGAGAAATCGGTACTAGAACACTATGGAATAAAAACTGTCAGTATGCTCTATAAGTCCTTCGTAATGATATACCTTTCTTTTTCGCCCTTGGCATGGGGAAATTTTGGTATCTCTTCGTGAACAAAAGCCCAAGATGATGTGGTGGTGTTTACATTTGCCCAGGTCAGAAAGAGGATCAATGAAAATATGAATAGGCTCGGGATCAGTCAATGTAAAGGTAATAAGAGACGGAAATATACAAAATTCCTTTTCGAATTGATTTCATCGTCAAACACTTTTGTGTCAAGCACCATCACCGACACCATTGCACAAAGACATCTCCATGACGGGCGAGGACGCCTCACTTTATCGAATTTGGGACAATTCATCTTGAGGCATGCCAGGTTGGGGAATTAACTGACTGCACTGAGATCTCGGATGCACTGGGAGGTTGGATAGCGTTACTGCTGGACTAGCAGCCCCGATATCATAAAAATCAATCGCACCTACTCGCACATAAACTTGTCCACGCCCGAAAGCTTCCGATCTGCTATCCGACTTCTCAGCTTATCAGCGATCCCACTGTGGAGGTGTAACAAAAATAGCTTCGAAGCGTGGCTTGTAAGTGACGTACAGCCAGCCCACGGAGGAGCCGAATATTGACCTCCGCTCATGCGCATGAACGGCTTTGTACAACACCGTCACGAGGATGTGTAGGGAGGCCGGACCGCGAGGCCAGCAAACGAAAATGGTGTTGCGCGAGACGGCACGGTGCTCCTAGAGTTCATTCCCAAGAAAGTAAGAACGCCTAAAAAGGGTCATAGAAAGCCCAATGGAGAAAGCGAAGGTCAGGAGAGATAAGACGCGAGGATGTGAGCTGACGTCAACTATGAAGCACCCCTGGAGATTATTCCCGTTCTTCTAAGCATGACAGATGTGATGCAACATGTAGTTTAGCATAGAAGATAAGGGAAACGGAAGAAGCATGCGACAGTAGAATACGATAAATATTGTCACCCCACGGATTCCGGTTGCGCAAAGACAAGGAATATTTGCCAGCAGACTTCAAGACAAAATACGAAGAGACATGAACTGACGTAGCTAGAAAGAGAAATAATCACCAAAAAAAGAAACTCACCCCGTCTGCCACCTCCACAATCTTGGGGTTGCATCGGAGGCTGGCTCCGCTTACTGCTTACTGGAGCCACGCGCACGCAGCTGAGCCGCATTGTACCGTGGTACATACATACACCCCATGGGAATCAATATCAGCAAGAACGGATATTGACGGCAGACGGAGCTCTACTTCCAGACGAAAGGAGAATGGCCCTTCGTATTTCTGCCGTCCCATGTGCGCGCTCGTGACAACGGCAACGTCATGGTCGCACACGGTTGTCCATCCGTGGAGCAAAGACATGATCTGAGAGGATTGCTCGAGGGAGGTGCGTTAACTCGGAGATCATAAGAGGGGAATGGAGGCAGTGCAGCTCAAGGTGCAGCCCTTACTCGGATGAGCAAAAAAGGCTTCCAGGCAAGGCGATTGTTCTGTCTCTCAGGCAACCAGACACGCTCCCTAAATCTCTTGGGCGCAGGTGAAGCAGCGGAGGTGGAGGGGAGATTGGCATCGTCGAGAGCGTCGCAAGCCGACAGGGTGAGGGAGTGAACAGTGCGGGGGGCCAGGGTGCGTCAACAATAATTTGCGACGTCGTCTTGCCCGCCCGCGTCAAACGGCCCCGCCAATCTCCAATCTCTCGCACCAGCTCCCGCTGCTTCAACGGCTCGTATCCGGCACTCCCGCGTGCGGGGAGACGTCATGGCGAGCTCTGCTGCCGTCCGTTTCATCGCCGCAAAAGGCGCAAAGGGCTCCTTGGGCTCCATCTCCCTCTCCTGCCATGTCAAGCCCGGCGCTAGCGCCAAGCGCGAGGGCATCAACGACCTCACCCCCGACTGCATCGAGCTGTGTGTCTCTGCCCAGGCCAAGGAGGGTGAGGCGAACAAGGCGGTGCAGAAGCTGATCGCCGAGGTATGTCGTTCTCGAGGCGTACGATGCCCAAACTCCCTGCTCAAAGCGCCATGTGTAGGTTTTGGGTGTGCCCAAGTCAGATGTCGAGGTAGCCAAGGGCATGAAGTCAAGAGACAAGACCGTCATGGTCTACAACATGAGCAAAAACAAAAGCCCAGAGGAACATGTTTTATTTACTAGAAACGCCTTACAGGCAGCGATACAAGATTAAGACAATCATTAATGCTCCTCGCTAAAAGTGCTGTACAAAAAACTCATGTGGTATGTAGCGAGGTTGTCGTTAAATCCCAGTCATAGTAGGAGTAAATGCTCATTACCAAAGCAAATCTGTTAGGATAGTCGTTCGAGATGTCTTCTTCGAAGCGTTTAAGTTTAAGCGTACTGCCAAGCAGCGGCGCCAGTGCCGGTGTAGTTGGAGGTCAGAAAGTCGAAGCCAAGGCAGTCAGTGCGCTTGAGGCCGTCGACCGAAGCGTAGATCTGGTAGGGGTAGCCGTCGGTGCTGTTGGCAGCGGGGCAGGCGAGGAAGCCGTTGGTCCAGTGCAGGAAGCCGAGGCTGTTGCTCTCAGACTTGTGGAAGCCATCCTGGATAGAGCCCTCGGGCATCGAAGCCGAGTGGGCCTGAGTGACCTTCAGCTCACCAGTGGGAGCAATGTAGACTGAAATCAAGTTAGCTTGGATCCGTCCATTGTCTCGATATCAATTGAAACATACCCTGCTGGCCGCCGGGAACCTCAACGTCCATGGAAAGGGTACCCTCGCCGCCAACGAAAGCGGTAACATTGCCAGGAGGGCAGTCGATGGGCACAGAGGCCTCAGGGCAGTAGGACTCGGTATCCTTGCCAACCCAGAAGGAAAGACCAGCCTGGGTGATGGTGGCGTACTGGAAGTCGGATCCAGAGCGGACAGTGAGACCCTCGAAGGGCTTGTTCTGACCCAGGACGGCGGGGACAGCAGCGAGGAGAGTGGCGGCGGCGGCGGTCTTCATGGTGATTGAATTGGTTGTGGAGGTTGCTTTGAGAATGAATTGACTGCTGTTGAAGGCTGCGTGTGTTGGTGGTCCTGAGCACTGAGGACTTAAGACCCTTTATATCAACCCCTGGGCCAGCTTCGGGCTAGTTCGAGAGCTAACGCAATGACGATGGAGAGGGCGCTCGGATACCTAGTCGTCCACCTCCTGGGGCTGTTTGGAAAACATTGCTCCGCAAGCGCATCCAGCGATCCACGCCAAGAACGACACTCGGAGCGCGTATTAGGGCGCACCGTGGCAGCGGTCTTGCTCTCGCCCCCTCCCTTCATGCGACTGTAGCACTAGATGGCGCAGGGATGTAACCGACATTGGCAAAGAGGCCGCGGCAAAACAGGGGTCCATAATTGAAATCCCGCGGCTCTGGACTAGAGGTTGACAGCCGCCAAATGCCGACGTCATTTCGATAGCGAGACGAGAGGTGAAGAGAGCAGTACCGGCTCGCTACCTTCGCCGAGGGAGTCCTAGCAAACAACTTCGGAACCTTTGCACGGCCCAGGCGGCCCAAAAGCCGGCCATGCATCTGTAACAGGGCATGCAGGGCTCCGCTCTGGTGGCTCCTTGGCATTTCGTGACGGATGTGGCGGCCTAGGGTGCGATAAGCTTAAGGCGCCTCCAAAAATAAATCAAGGAAAAGCCGCGGAATCATGTCAACCGCTATCGTCGTGTCCGCCTGACGTCGTGTGGTTTTGCATCAATACCTACCGTCGGCCGTACTGACCGCCATCCACTCAAGCACTGCCGTTTCTCCCCAAGCTACGGTTCCCTCGGACGCCGATCCCCGCACCACTAAATCCTTACGGGAATGGCCCCTTTCGCTTCGAGCCTAAGAAGGTTCTGGCAGCATCATCCCCTATCCTCTTGACACCAGTGGCGTGACATCGAGAAGCCACCAGCTCGATTTGCTGAGGCTGAACATAATCGTTGTACGAGTCAATGGCTTCTCCGCCCGCTTTATGGTTGACGCAACGATTTGCCTTTATTCGAAATTGAACATTCGCGATCGTAGCGCGAAAGCAAGCCTCCTAACTTTATATCAGCAAATTCAACAATAGTGATGGGCGTGGCCATCTGTTCTGCTTAGAGATTCGCTGGCAAACACCCAAAGGATAGGCAGGAAAAGCTAAGCGAGCTGCTTCTACCACTTCAAACGGAATATTGATCTGCATGTTGGTGAATCCTCGGACCAACTGCCGGTAGCACAAGCGAAGTAGGAAATGGCATCGGAGAGAACGTAGTTTCGCCTCTAGCAGACACGGAAAAGCCCCCAAAATGGTAATTCGCAACGCTGGATTTGAAAGAAATTGCAAGCATAGCGTAAGTTAAAAAGGGGTGATAAGCTATGGCGAGAATTTGGATTCGAATGTGAAAAAGGTAAGTTTGCTGCCTCCGCAGGTTGTTTCTCTTTGGAACGTAGATGGTCGAAATCTTTATGTACGCAAAACAATGTTGTATATCAAATAAGTTAGGTTGGGCCTATTGCCAAAAACAGAGCTTACCGCTAGCAGTGCCAGCTGCTATCCAATTTTTTGTAGGATGGAACTGCGCAACGGCCGGAACTGCAGTGATGCCCTCTCCACCAAGCTGAGCCAATTGCTCACCTTTACTTGTATAGATATCGACGAAGCGGTTCATGTTTCCAATGCAGAAACGTTGTACACCGTCCTGGGGCATGGCTTGCCACTGAGCGCGTAGACTAAAAACTGGTTAATACAACACCACTTGTAGCACGACTGATAGAGCTTACATAGTCACCCATCTCCCCGTTTGGTTGTTGTGAGGAATGATGGCAGTAGGTTCCATTTGCTCCTCCGTCAGCTCGGTGCCAACCTTCCAGTCACCGCAATCATTAAAGTCGTAAATCTTGATGGTATCATCATAAGATGCCGTTGCAACTTGTCCGGCGGAGTTCCAAGCCGCGTGAGACACGGACAATCTGCTGGTATGCTCCCCGACGAGATGAGGATTACGTTCATCTTTCTTTCCGGTTGTTTTCCGCAGATCCCAAATTTTCACAGTCCGATCCAGCGATGCCGTCGCGAGGAGATGCTGGTTCACCGGGTTCATGCTGAAACCTCCTATCTTTTTCTCCGAGAGCTGGAAGATCTGCGTCCCGTTGCTCTTACCTGACGGTGCTCTTACATCGTGAATGCCGAATGCACCGTCAAGCGTTGTGAAGTAAATCACGTTTGGGGTGGCAACGTCAACTCCAGATAAAGGTGCATCCTCTGACTTGTCTGCAGGAGCATATACTTCCACAGCTACTCCTTTATTCAAGTCCAGTTTTCGGATGGAGGAGTCGTACGAGGCGGAGAAGAGAGCATTTGGCTCCGAGGGGCTGAATTGAAATGCGGATATCGTTCGCGTATGGATCTTGAACGTGGTTACAGCAGGGTCTGCTTCGTCGACTTCTTCGTCATCCTCCGCTTTGACTTCAGGGACACTTTGCGAGCCATCGAACAGTCCAAGATTTCCGAGTTTGTCTCCAGCAAATATGAGAGCCTTGTCCTCGGTCGGATGAAAGCCCATTGAGTATACGCGCTCTGGCGTAAGTTTGATCCCTTGAAGTCGATCAGCAAGCTTTCTTCATAACCATAGTATCGCCAAGGGCATTTACTGTTTGGCTCAAACCCTTCCCATAACTGCAGGCCGCTCATCGCCTCTCGTAACGCCCTGAGTTCTTTGTCCGTGGTCCCCTTCACATTTTGTGCAGTAAATGTTCGTTCATATGGCTTCGCTGGTCCCACTCCGGTCAAGAAGTTACCGCTTTGATTCCAGTGCTGTCCGGCCACCACCACATCGCCGAGGTTAAGGTCATCGCTTATACGCTGACGCTTAGCTTTTTCTGCTTGTTGGACAGCCTCGTATTCTTCTTCGGCTTTTCTCTTCGCCACCTCGCTGTCGGCAACTATCCCGCGCAGTCGAGAAGAAGTGCGCCTATATGCGTATCAGTCTGCATTGTTACGCTTCAATTGAGCCGTGTGTTGGTCTTACCGCGGAACGACTTCTTCTTTCTCCTTCTTGACTGCCGGTTTCTTTTTCCGGTCCTTCGCTGGCGCAGAAGAGCGGGATTTCTGCGCTGCCGGGGCGAGGCCAGCATGTTGTGCATCTAGCTGTAAGCTCCTCAGGAGAGCTTGGTTTTTGGCAATTTGTTCCTGCCGCTTGAGCTCATATTCGCTCAGCTCATTCGTTGTCTTCGCGCCACGCGCCATTGGCCTTAATGTGAACACTCAAGAGAAGTTGTTTATCGAAGCGCGCAGGACTAAGGAGGATGGGATTTCTCGGTATGCGCCTCGGGCTCGAAGACTATGGATTAGGCAGAACTTTGGAAATGGGACAGGATGCGACGGTGAGGTCATTCAATTCACGCGACGCGTTCTCACGCGCCGGGCCTCCCGGCGCGAATCGGACCGAGGATTTAGAGAGCGGCCTGGCGGGCGATCATCGAAAGTTGCTGCTCGGAAAGCTTCTAACCAGCATCTGCGACAACCATTGAACAGCACGCGACTCCAACTACCAGACAATGACAGTACCTCATGTGGCTAGGCGCATTCTAGCGCCTTCCAACCCAACCATGCTACCCTTCCTCTACCAAACAAGGACCATCCTAGGTTACGCCGCGAATCGAACGAGAATTTCGAAACAATTTCATGTCCAACCTTCGAAACAACTTCTCCATACGAAACGTTACGATGACAGGACGGAACGGTCTAATCCAGCGCATGAAGTTCCGTTCGAGAATGAAGGCGACCTGGCTTTCCACCAGCAACGCCACACGACAATTACCGATAAGGAACGTAGAGTTTTTGAGAAGCTTTATGAGGATTTCTCGTCACAAGCAGGAGCCAGCATGGGGCTAAGCATGTTGCCGAGCGAAGATTCGGATTCAAGTTATGATAGCCTGGATTCGATTCTGAATTCTGCGATTCGACAGCAAGACACCAGTCTGGAGGAAAGCAGAGCATTTGCCGCGAACAAGAAACCAGCAGGGTACCGCGCAGAACAGGCACGGAGAGCTGTTGGGAAGCAATCCCGCTACGGAGCTGCAGTGGACCGGCCAGAAACACCACTCAGAAAAGCGCAAAAGGAGCAATTTGATCGTGTGTTCGATCAGCTGAAGTCTGCAAAGACGGACGTCGAACTGTGGAGTATCATGGAATCAGAGGTTTTCTCAGCCATCAGACGGCTCAATCTCGATGATACAGAAGATGTCAAACAAAACATTAAGGAAGCAACCTCATCCAAACGGAAAGGACCGTCTGAGATGGCTATAATTGGTCCCAACTATGCGGCCTTTTGCTTGGTTGCAATGCGCCAACTGCGTATTGAGTTTCCATCGTCGACGCTGGGGTTGGCCTTACTACCAACCATCAAGAGTCTTGGACGCGGGTCTTTCGCCTTGGGCGCCAGCACCCAATTGTACAATGAACTCATAGCCATGACATGGCTTACGTACCTTGACTTCCAGGGCGTCGACGATCTTCTACAAGAGATGGATAACAGCGGTCTAGATTTCGATGCCTCTACACTGGACCTGCTTGAATCCATAAGGAAGAGCACTTATAACGCAATGAATGGTCACCAGGGTTTTACCACGAGCATTATCTTGGAGATGCAGCGCTTCCAGCAGGGACTGAGAAGAATCACAAGGTGGAAGAATGAAACTGTAAGTCGACTGGAGAGGGAAGCCATTCGGCGTGCAAAGGAGCGCGAAGAAATGGCCATCTAGGGGAATCGATACAGCTCAGGCTTCAGACTAGAATGTACATATCTACATATATATACACATAAAAGTCCAATGGCTTGAAGTTAGAGTCATTTAACTACTCAAATTCCACGATGATATTCCTACTTTGGTCAATTAGAAGATATAGTGTATCAAGAAATAAATACATGTACTTGAGTAACGTTGCTGTTTTGTGTGACATCAGCCATTTGCGGCTGTCGTTAGGTACGGTGGACTAAGCGCATCGCAAATCACAAGCTCCATCCACCGGCACACCTCACAATGTCTTCCTCAACACGTCACGCCCGCCCACTTCTCAGAGGCCTGCAGCGGTCGGTTCCAAGGCCCAATCCATCCAGGTCAAATGGCTACCATTCCTACGAGCATGCGCAGCCGGCGCCATACCCACCCGTAGAATCGTCTATCCTGTCTTCTGCCCTCTCGCATGTTCCGACCCATGGCTTCACAGCCACTGCCCTGAAGCTAGGCGCTCGCGAAGCCGGCTATCTTGACGTCTCCACGAACCTCTTCCCGCGCGGCGCCTTCGATTTGATACAATACCATCTTGTCATGCGGCGGTTGGGGCTTAGGGATTCAGTTCAGTTCCCGCAGGAGTCCGAGGGCAAGAGAGTAGGCGTAGGTGCAAAGGTCAGATTGTTGACCTTGGAAAGGCTTCGCGCCAACAAGCCTATCATACATAAGTGGCAAGAGGTAAGCGTTCGATTGCGTTGGTGCTCGTTGGATGCAGCAGTTGTTTGGCGTGTTAGGGTGGAAGGTTGACATAATTCCTGGTCTAGGCCCTTGCTGTTATGGCCCAACCGTCCTACGTGCCGGCGTCACTCGCCGAGCTGGGGAAGCTGGCGGATGAGATTTGGTTCCTCGCTGGCGATACAAGCGTCGACAGTAGCTGGTACACCAAGCGCGCAAGCTTGTCAGCTATTTACTCCAGCGCAGAAGTCTTCATGACCCAAGACCAATCCACCGACTTCAAGGATACAGAAAGGTTTTTGGACTCTAGGTTGGAGGACCTGAGGAGGTTCGGAGGCGCAACCGGTGCGCTTTCAGAATGGCTGGACTACACGGGCCATTCGGTTGTGAATGTGCTCAGAAGCAAAGGTGTGCGCATATAGGCTCCAGGTGCCGGGACCAGTAGCACGGCGTAAATAGATTTATTCATCAAAGTGGCTCCAGCTGCCCAGGCCAAAGTGAAGTGGTGGAGCCCCGGAGCTATCAGACGGATCAGCCCTGCGGGAAGCTAGGTGTCGGCGAACTGAGCGCCGAATATCATCATCGGAATCTGGGGAAACCCATAGGCAGACGCATCCAACTGCACTCACGCCATCCCACTTCATCTTCCCACTGCACAATTCCTTTCGCCGTAGCTAACACTCGCTTGGGAAGCTACCTGAACGACTTTCTCTCCATGAGCAGCCGATAGCGCACCGCCTACAGCCGCCCCGCCTCCCAGCAGAGCTCCGCCCGTTACCATCCACCCACAACATCGCCGCGCGCTCACCCTCCACCTTCCAACATGGCGGCCGAGCTATCATTCCTCTACAGCTTTCCGCCCGACAAGAGCGCCCAGGAGCTCTCACCGGTCGAGTACGATTCTCAGATGCGCACATTCCTTCAGCGCCTGAATTCCATACCCGCGGGCATCTGGGCAAAGGGCGAGATAGACAAGCAAGACATTCTGGAGGTAAACATCCGACAACGTCTTCAGGGCTTGGCTAGGTACGGGTTGACAGCTATGCTGACGCGACTGCACAGATTCTCAACCCAGCGATAAACACGATACCCTACCTCTACCTTCTAGTCCACCAGATCTCCAGCCATATCGATCGCGCAAAGACGCCACAACAGCTCCCAGAGACCGTTCGTCCACAAGGTCAGTTGTGGGCAAGGATGACTGAATTCCTACGCCAGTTCGATCCTGTGCAGATACGCTATGTGGGCGCGGACTGGCGGAAGCTGGTAGAGTTGGTCGACAAGATTGTTCACATCACGAGCATGGTGAGCTGAAGCTGCGACCCAGAGGATGCTCCGTTATACTGATCTCTTGGTGTAGCCTGCTCTGGGAATCGTACCTATCCGGACCGCCCTATCTCGCATGGACCCGTCGCTGGGTACCTTCACCTCGTTGCATTTGCTTTACCTCCGTCTTTGTCACGAGGCTAGAGCTTACTACGAAGCTCTGCCGGTCCTTGAAAAGTACATATACAGCTTCCCCACTACCCCAGTTCAGGGCGGAGAGTACACATTCCCATGTGCGGACCACTTTGACAGCAGCAGCTACATCACAACGCGTTCCGGTCTATCTGACAAGGTCACGGCCAGCGATGTCCAAGAGTACTTTATGCTTGGTGCCAATGCCTACTTGGCTTTGCGCCAGTACAAGCAAGCGCAGCTGCTCCTAGAGTGTATTGTCACAACGCCAAGCCAAAATTTGGCCAGTGGTCTCATGGCCGAAGCTTACAAGAAATTGGTACTGGTAGGGTGTCTTGTTGATGGAGCAGTAAGTGTTTCCCTGTCACCCTGGTGAATGACTTGACCTAAAACAATTTCTCAGGTTACTCAGTCCCTCAAGGCGGCAAATTCGCAAGCACTCAAGGCTGTAAGGGCCACATCCAGAGCGTATGAAGCTGTTAGTGAGATTTTCAACTCTGCCGATGCAGCTAGACTCCATGCGGAGATAGATGCTGGCGCTCAGATCTGGGAAGAAGTAAGTCAAAGCTTCTCCGTTACAGTCGAAAAGTCAATGAGTGCACGAGCTGATCTTCTTTGAAGGATGGTAACACTGGGCTCGTGAGAGAAGTCCTCCAGCATCATTCGAGAATCTTTGTTAGGAACCTGTCGAGGACTTTTGCCGCTGCACCCATCTCGACCATCGCCAAGTGGCTAGGCCAGAAGCCCGCAGCTGCGGAGACGTACATCAAGGCCTTGATTGACGATGGGTTTTTGAATGCTACTATCGAACATGACCAGGGCACTTCAGTCTTGCGATTCCACTCGGAGCTGAGTGGACCCCGTGCTAAGACGGAGGAGCAGCAGCTGGCTGATCTGATAGCCCAGACCAAGCGGACGAACGACCTGGCGGAGCACGTCAAAGCGGTGCAGACGCGTCTGACTCTGCAGAAGGAGTACATTGACTTTGCGAAGAAGAAGTTGCGCCAGAAGGAGAGTGCGGATCAGACGATTGGGGAGACGATGGACACGACGTGGGAGACGTTTGAGCAGGACGAGGACGTGATGGGGGATCTGTGAATGGTTGCACGACCGAAAAAATTAATGCCGATGCGATGGTGGCATATGCATGGCGGTACTACGTAGCACCTATTAGGTACTGAGTGGTGACTAGCTGAGGGAGGATAGATAGGTAGCTACCTAGTACAGTACGAAGTAACACTAAATGGATGATTGAGGAAAAGGGCCGAAGCAAGATTCGTCTAGATATGGATCGGAGGCTAGCATCTCCAGAGATAGATTAGAGGCGCCTTTCGCAATCTCTCAAACACCTCGTACAGGAGCGTCGGCGGCGGCCACGTGCCCGAGCGTTCTTCACGCATTCCGGCAGGCAGAGGGCGCGCGGGGAGGGCTTTGCTCGCTCTGGCTAGAGAGAGGACCCTGTTGGCACCGTGCCACCCCGGATTCTGGGGTCTCTGGACGTTCACGGCCTGGCGGCGCACGTGTTTCAACAAGGAGGGATGTGCCTGTGCCTGAATCCGATGCGCCGCTCTCCCTCGCCCTTCCGTCTCTTGCAAGCGCTGAGGCCCGCCCCGAGCACGAGTCGACTAGCACTGCGGCGGCTCGTAAGCCACAGCGCGGCAACCAAGCACACCCCCCTGCTCGGGCACCCAGCATCCAAGGGGCCACGCCCTCCAAACTCTCGGAGGCTTCAAAGCAACAAGTCGCTCTTTCTCGCCCGCCGCACAACCCCCCCTTTCGCGCCATAGGCCCCCCGAAACACACTCCGGCACTGGTCCGGCGCGCATGCATGAACTAGCCGCATGAGCTTCGCCTTGGGGTTTCAGACCGCCAATTGGACCTCCGACCAACGATGCATTCCGCCAGCACTAGCAGCGCCGCGCCCGCCAAATCGTCCCTCTCCAACTCTAATCCCTCAGGGCCGGTGAAGCGCTCTGCCTCTGTCGCCTCGTCCGCCCCTCAGTCGCGTCCGCCCGCTGCGCCGCTCGACGCCCTCGCCGAACAGGATCTCTCGCCAAAGCTACACGGGAAGAGGGGCTCGGCTTCTAGAAGACGATCAAGCGTCGCGCATGCCGCTCTGGAAGGAGTCAACACCATCAAAGAGGGCGTTGGAAACCTCCATCGCTGGTCGCAGTCTACCACCTCCAGCGCAGCATCTGTCGAGAAGCCTGCCCAGGGTAGCTTTTCTAGGCGCTTGAGCTTTACCGGCCCTTCTCCGTTTGCGAATTTCCATGGATCCAATCTGCACTCGCCGCCACGAAGATCTCCGACTCGAACTCGATCACCGGACGTGAGCCCTCGTGGAGGACAAGGTCGTCCCTATTCCCCCCCGAACATACCGCCGCCCACGACCAGTCCACCCGCCGTTCCAATTCTTCCCGCGACCGTCTTCGACCCGCGTCCGCACTCGCCTTCGACTGCCCCGCCGTCGAACGCTGGAGGTCTGTTTACGCCGCCTGTCGCATTCGGTGGGCCTGACTACTTCAGTTCCAGACCTCCCGTCGCGTCCAACGCCTCCCCCCGAAGGCAAAGGGCCCCGTCGCAACAGCAGGGACCGTCTGTGAGATCGCCTCTCGGCTCGCCTGCGCCCCTCGAGAACAGGGCGTACAAGCCGAACAAGCCCCTTCATTCCGCCTCTGCCTCCATTTCCCAGAGGCCCAGACAAGGCTCAGTGGATACGACGAGGTTTCGCCAAGGATCAGTCGATCACAGGTCAGCGAGTGCGATAGGGAACAGGAGCAAAGAGTCTAGGGACTACAATACTAGTCGCCGGGCGAAGGAACGGAGTGACAGCGACGCGAGCCGGAAGTCTGAAGACGAGGCGACCAGGACTCAGTCGCGGAACAAGGAGCGGGGGGATAAGGATAAGAAAACAATGTTGTCAAGAGCGCTGCAGAAAGCTAACACTGCGGTGCTGCTTGACAATGCGCAGAACTTTGAAGGCGCCATGGAGGCGTATGGGGATGCGTGCAGGTTACTGCAGCAGGTTATGATCAGGAGTCACGGGGAGGATGACCGAAGAAAGCTGGAAGCTATCGTAAGCTTTTCCTTCCACGTGGGAGATGTGTGTCTAACAATTTTCAGCGCGTAACCTATACCAACCGGATACAAGAACTCAAACTCCTCGACCCCTCATGGCAGTCCGCGTCAGGGAAGACGTTGCCGGCGCGACCTCTAAGTGAACACTCACTAGGAGGCGACGCTCAGGCAGACGAGCCAGCGGAGTACGAAGAACCAATGGTGATAGAGACGGCTACAATAACAAGAATAGTAAACGACAAGTCTGTTGAGCCAGAACACCCTCAGCCCTCTTTCAAGGCGCGAGCCGGGGCTCGGGAATCCGTTATATCATCAGCTATTCGAGATGTCGAGAGCTCGATGTCCCACGCGTCTGATTCCAACTTTTTCCTACAAGCGCCGCATGGGAAGCAGGAAAATAATGCGCAAGGCTCTGAGAGAGCCGACGATGACCAAAGTTATATGCCGCCGCCATTATCACCACGAAGGACATTATCGCCGAACACGTCTGGCGATCCGTATGACGATGAGCGCTCAAACAGCCAGGCCGGTAACCATCAGCGCGACAACAGCCACGAGTCCATCTCGTGGCTCGACACGATTGACGAGTCAGGAGGCTCGTCTTGCGCCTCTTCGGTACATTCAATGTCTTATGGAGGAGTGCATCGTAGACACTTGCGTTTAGGCAGTGGTGCAACGGAGGCTGAGTTTGACGCTGCCCTTGATGCTGCTGTCGAGGCTGCATACGACGACCCCTTAGATCCCTTCGACGACGAGGATCCGATCCGGAAGGCGGAAATTGTGGCAGAGCACCGGAGAAACGTAGAGCTCGCAAGGGAGCGCGTTCGGGACGCAGAAAGAGAAGCGACAATTCAAGCGGCGGTGCAGCATGACAGGGACATGCGACTCGGAGGCGGCAGTATCGATCTTGGTCCCCAGGATGAGGAGGCTGAAGACGAAGAGCGCATGCTGGAGGAAATGACTAAGGAATACATGTTGGACGGCTTCGATTTCGACCTGAATTCGAAATCTGCTCTCCCTCGCCAATCCGATTCGAGCGGATTTTCTGGAACCAGCACCTGGCATAGTTCGACCTCGTCTGCCCGCAACACCGCCGGTACCTCTTTGTCGACAGTAGCGGAGGCCCCGACCCTGCCGCCACCTAGCGGGCCGTTACCACCTGTGACGGAACAGGAATCGCCAACAGCTGCTCCTAGGCCGCCAACAGCCGCCCACAGCGCCACGGGATCCATCGGCAGTTCGAGTGTTAGAAGCAGGAGACTCTCTGGTCAAAATGCCAAACAGCTGAAGATTGAAACCTCGGTGAACCTGCCCCCCAAGGATACGGCACCGTTGACGCAGCCGTATATGCTCAAGGTCGACGAAACCCCCGATATGCCAAAGACGGCAGCCGCTGCTTTCAAGGTGCCGAGTGCGCCAGCTTCGCAATCCAACCTCCGAGTCGCTTCAGCGCAGTCGGCTGGCGCGAGCCCGGCTGACAGCATGCCATCCATTTCGCCGGCTACGTCGCTGAACCAAATACTTTCGAACGATGGCACAGCCGTTGATCCCGGACGGTCAATGTTCCCCGGCAAAGGTGGTATCCAGCCTCCACAACTAAAGAAAAACAAGTCCTCTATGAGTCTGAGGAATCGGCAGATGTCAATTTCGAGCCCGGATGGATCTGACGGTTCCGTTGGCACTCCGCTCAGCACGACCTTCAGTACGTTTACGGGTCGTAAAGCCAGTGTTCCTCACATCGCACCCACTCCTAGCCTTCCCACCTTTACACTGGATGGAATGGGCATCCCCACGGGTGGCATGCATCTCTTTGAAAGCGATATCCATTCTCCCCACAGTCCCGGTTCACCCAATCCGCTAGCCATAAACGCGCCGATTCCATTGGAACCTTGTCCGGAGGGCTACTTGCTGCGGCCATTTTGGTTGATGCGCTGCTTCTACCAGACACTCGCACATCCTCGTGGCGGCTACCTGTCGACGAAGCTTTTCGTGCCACGGGACATGTGGAGCGTCAAGGGCGTGAAGATCAAGAACCTCGAGGAAAAGATTTCCAATTGTGACCTTCTCACTGCAGCGCTCCTCAAACTCAGCAGTGTGGATACGTTCGACGCTGATGCCGTACTGGAGGAAATGCAGGCCCTTGAGGCCGTCCTTGACCAGGTCCAGACGAATCTTGTCAAAAAGCTGGGCAGCGAGGTTGGCACCAACGGTGCAACTGCTATGTTCAAGGACGCGCATACCGTCGGCGTGACGTCGCCCGATGGATCAACCGCACCCGAGCTGCCAAGCAAGTCGGGAACGGGCAGAAGCTATCTGACGTCGTGGAAGAAGCTGAGGTCGAAGAACTCGGGCGCGAACTTGGCCAACACCTTCACTGGCGCCAAGGACATCTCCAAGGACTCACTGACGATGAACACGTTGCCGATGACGAGTCTCCCCAATGTCCGCATGGCCAAGCGCGAGATCAGCCAAGTGGATTTTACGGGCCCACATGCGAACTACATGAGCGCACTGGCCAAGCTGTTCGACGCGGTGCAGATAATAGGTAAGTGCGATCAACCAAGAGCAAATTTAAATCCGGCTCGCTCGATTTGGGGAAGGATACAGGCAGCAAAACAGACAAGCTAACTTTACGGGACACAGACCAAATTGCTCGCCAAGTCGAGGATCCAGGCCTCAAGCACTCGTCGCCGACGCACGTGGGGCTCGAGCTCAGCACACGGCACGCGGCCGAGTTCTTTGGCTTTTACGTCTGTCGCTTCGTGCTGACGGACGTGGCCATGATGTTGGACAAGTTCATTAAGCGCGGCAGCGAGTGGGTGCTGGTGTGAGACAGCAGCAGCATTGCTTGCGTGCAACAACCGTTTTACTTTTTAAAAAGAACCAATGCATTCCCCAAGCCCGCGGATGATGCCACGCCCGCTTACTCTTTTTTTATTATATTTTCGTTCGTTTTTCCTTCTTTCGTTGCTCCGTTTCTTCTTCTTCTTCTCTTGCACGCGCGCACGCACGACGAGCTCGGAACAAACCCTCATCATACCCCCGGAAGCCTCTTTTATAGTTTTCTTGTTCGCATTTTCACGATGTACGTCGCTGTCTTCTCTCGTCGTCGCCTTTTTTGCCTTTGTTGTGTCGGCCGATGGCGGCGGCGATTTGTTTTCTCTCGTTTTTTTGCTCTCTATCTCTTGCTTTTGTCTTTGGTAGTAGCAGCAGCAGCCTTTTCTGGTGGAGTGGCTGGCTGCCTGGCTGGTGGGGTTTGTGGGATGGTGCGGGATGGGACAGTGGTGGGTGGGATCGGGGGAGCGGTGTAGAACGGAAGGAAATGCGCGAGGAAGGGAAGGCGAAGGGCGAAAGGGGAAAGGAAAGGGAAAGGGAAAGGAAGGGAAAGGAAGGGAAAGGCAAGGTGGGGGCGTAATGCGGGCGGGCACAAAGTGAGAAAGAACAAGGCCGTTTTTCTGTTTTGTGCACATGATATCCCTGGTCGGTTGTTCTATCGAGTTCTAATTCTGATGGCTATCTTCTTCTTTCTCTCTCTCACTTCTCTCTTTTTTTCTCACTCTTCTATACTCTGTTGCCTGCTGTCTTTTCGTGTTTCGTCGTCTTTTTCGTCGTCGTTGTTGTCGTTGTCGTAATTTCTTGTTGTTCCCCCTCCCGCCGTTCTGGTTCGCGCTTTTCATGTGCTGCTATATGCTATGCTATGCTATGCCATGCATACGCCCTGCCCTTCTCCCAGCTCCCCGCTTTTTGGGTGGCTGGACAGTCAGTTGTGCTTACCTTGTGTTGCCTTACTGTTTCCCTGTTTACAGCTTCTTTCTCAGCCTTACCTGGGTTGAGATATTGCTGCTGCTGCTGCTGCTGCTGCTGCTGTTGTTGTTGTTGTTGTTGTTGTTGTTGTTGTTGTTGTTGTTGTTGTTGTTGTTGTTGTTGTTGTTGTTGTTGCCCGGAAACAAGTTGCTGGCCAAACTGGCAGAGGGTGGGGGTTCGTTTAATGGATTATGGGACCCATGGCCTGCTTTTTGCTTTTTCTTTGAGTTTGCTTTTTATGTTTTACTTGTTGTGCTGTCGTTGTGTTGTCGTTGTAGTGGTGGGTGGTGTTTCTGCTCATCCACGCCCTTTATCACCGCTTCCTCTGCCTGCTTGCTTCATTTTCCTTTCCTCCTTTCTTTCCTTTCTTTCTATCTTCCCTTCTTCCTTCGCTGCAGGCAGGCATAGGCACGAGCAAGACAGGACATGAGCATGGGCACGAGTAGGGCACTGCGCCATCGCGCGCCTGGACCGCGTGAGCGAGCGGCTTGTTTGTTAGTTCCTTGGCGGCGTTTGTGATGGTGTGTGTGTGGGCTGGTGCGTGGTAGTGTGGTGGGTTGGGTTGGTAATAGTGGGCATGGGAGACGAGAGCTGGGAGGGGCTGTACATTCAGGCAAGGAATACTACCTAGTACATACATACGTACAACACTACACAGCACGTTTCGCGAGTGCGCTGCTCTGCGTATCCTGGCGCCATTGAGGCGGCAGGTTTTCGTGTCTGATTGGCTGACTGACTGACTATAGCCAATCTCCGTTTCTTCCGCTTTCCTGCGTAGGTGGTTTCTACACCGCTTGCTGCCCTGGACCAACCACTAGCTCATTCACTCCCTAAACACGTCCTCCCGCTCGGCGTCCGCCTTGCGGCGCAGAGCAACAAAATACGTCTCCTTGGACTCCTGTACCAACACGTCAGCGACAAAGACATGCATGTACCGCAGAAGCAGGCCAGGCCAGCCAGGCCACGCTCCGCTAGCCGCCCTCTCTCTCACGCACACAAGAGCGGGCGGGCGAACAAAAAAGCGAGAAGAAAACCAGCAGGTACATGTACATACACTACGCGACGACTCGGGCTTCTCGCGGATGACCTTCTCAAACAGCCGGCGCAAGCGCAGCTCGAGCGCCTTGTCCTCGGCGCCTTGGTAGAACTTGCACACGAAGTGCCCGTTGGTGCGCAGCGTGTCGTAGGCGAAGGAGAGGGCGGCGTTGCAGAGGTCCTGGTTGCGTGGGGGGTTAGTCTGTGCGTGTGGTTTTGTTTGTGTGTTTTGTGTGTTTTGGGGGTTGCGTTTTGCTTGTTTCCTGTAAAGGGGGGTGTGTGGGTGTGTGTTTGAGGGGTGCGGATAGCCGATGCGACGCGAGTTATTGGTATTGGTGATGATATATTGATTGAAGGGGAGGGGGGTTCAGGGAGACGAGGCCACGAAGCGAAGGGTTAGAGAGGCCGGGAGGAGTGTCGCGGCCGCGGAAGTAGGAAAGAAGGGGCAGGCGGGAAAGGGCATCCATCCATCCAATACAAGAGGGAAGGGGGGCAAGGGGAGGGGGGCCGAGGCGAAAACAATAACAGACACCACCACGACGCCATTTCAACTCACCATGCTGCCCGCGTGGTCGCGGAAGGCGATGCCGCTCGTATTCATCATCCTGTGATAGGGGTCACTAACGCTCCTCTTATGGTAGCCAGACGTCTGCTCCCAGGGCTCGGACATGTCACTCAGCACGACGTCGACGACGCGGCCGGCGCGCTCGTCGCGCTCGCGCTGGCTCAGCGGCTTGGCGGGCTCGGGCGCCTCGGTGGTGGCGGCGGCGGCGGCGGCGGCGGCGCTCGCGGTACTCGTCGTCTCGGTGGTCTCGTTGTTATTGTTGTTGTTGTCGCTTGTGCCCTGCGCAATCAGCGACGCGTGCCGCTCCCTGTCAATGTAGCCGCGCTCCTGCGTCTCCAGCTCCTCAGGCGTCAACCCGTGATGATGATGATGCTGCTGCTGCTGCTGCTGCTGCAACGGCGCGCCCGCAATCCCACCATCCAGCCCCTCGCCCTGCCCCTCATCCCCCGCATCCTCTTCCCCACCATCCTCCTCCTCCTCCCCTTCCTCCCCAGGCACCAAGCTATGCCTAACAACGGGCCGGCCCCTCTCAGGATCCTGCACATAAGCCCTAACCTCAGCCTGGACCTCGGGGCTCAAAAAGTTCCCTTGGATTGTCGAGACGCCGCGCGGCGGCTGCGCGGGGATGACGTCGATGCCGACGACGCGCCCGCCCGGCGCCGTCCGGTTCGCCGCCACCTGCGACCACGACCCCGGCGCGTACCCCAGGTCTACCACCGTGTTGCCCCGCCGGAACAGCCGGTACCGCCCGTCCATTGCGAGCAGCTTGAATGCGGCGCGGCTCTTGAGCCCGCGGACGCGCGCCTCGCGTGCGAATGGGTCGTTGCGTTGGCGCGTCGTCCATTGCGTGCTGGAGGAGGAGGAGGCGTAGCGGGCGAGGTGTGCGAGAGGTGCGGGCGGCGCGATTGAGGGCGAGGGCGAGGGCGAGAGCGTGAGCGAGCTAGGCGTGGACGAGGTGCGCGGGCGCGCGACGGATAGGGCGCGCGTGCTGTGGCGGCGGCATTGGGAGGCGATGACAGGACGGTCGAGGAGGGCGCTGTCGGCTAGCTGGCGGATGAAGCGGAGCGAGAGCATGTTGCTTGCTGGTGGAGGGCGGAGGCGGAGGGGAAAATGCGCAATGCAATGGCGGGAGCTTTGTGCGTGCGACCTTGTGCGCCGCTTGTGGCAGTGCTGTTGTGGCGCAAGTGTTGTCATCGCATAGTGATTGGTGGATTTGCATGTGTTTATACCTCTGATGTTCTTTGCTATAAACAATTCCTTTCCTACCTAGGCGCGATGTTGTGATAGGGCATCACGGCAGGGCATCGTGTTTGATGCCCGGCAGAGTGCATTCTACAGTTACCAGCCATTCACCAGATAGAAGTCTTCCAAAGTCGCATGTCTATCAGCTCTCCAAAAGCAAATATATTACGCATCTACCAATGCTTTTGTATATTACATTGTGTCCAACCAAGCAAGCCCTACCAACCCTCGCCGCGCGTCACAGTTCTACTCATATGCATAACACAGCGTGCCACCCTGCGGATCCAATAACTGCTCCAACGTCACGTTCCCTGCGAGCTTGCCAATGTTGACCTGGAAATCCAGCGTCACATTCACACCGCCATAGTCGAACGGCTCGACGGGGCCGCCGACCTGGTGCAACCGCGTCGGCAGATCCTTCTTTTGCCACTCCCAGAGGATGCGGTCGAGGTTGCCGTGGTGAAGGTAGAAGAGGGGCTGTGTGAGAAATTAGCAAAGGAACAATACGAGGGAAGGAGGGACAAGGCGGTTCTTACGTCGCCAGGGCTTTCAGCTGCGCTACCGATCTGCCCGAGAACGCCACCAACACCTGTGAATCCGTGAGCGTGACTGCCTGTAAGCGAGCGGGGCGTTCTAGGCAGACGCACCAAAGTGGCCGCTGCCATGGATATTGGGCTGCGAGAAGCTGGGAATGCCCTCGAGGGCGTACGCAAAGCTAGTGTAGTCGGGCTGGCTGGTGACATGCTCGACCTGGCTGCGGTGGGCAAACGCGTTCATGACCGACGGCGTGAAGTCGCGCCTGAGACATCCCGCCGTATCGCCGTAGTGCGTCTCGAACGCAGGATAGGCAAAGGGTCCGTCACGCACGCAGCCGCCGCCCGTCCGACCTGTCAGGTTCAGGGGATTCTGACCCGCCGTCGCGTTTGCCCATGGCCCGTTTCCACCGAACCCAGTGATCGGATCAAAGATCTCGCTCTTGAAGATTGCGGTGCTGCTCTTGTTTGATGAGGCGTCTAATGACCAGTCCCAGTATCTTGTCCTTGTCAGTCACTTTCACGATTGCCATCGCGATTGAAGAAGATCCGTCACTTACGGCTGAGCGCCTGTGTATCCGCATTCTTTCCTCAAAGCCTTTTCGTAGGTGGCGACAAAGTAACGGTGCCACAGGGCGAAGTGTCCCTACGAGCCACACATCAGCTTTGGGCGCCGGATGACAGATATTCTAAGACATACGACCCAGTGGATAGCAGGCGTCTGATCGCTATGGACGGCTTGATGGTCATCAAAGCGATTGATCGCCCCAGACAAACCAGAGATGGCTGGCTTCTTGGTGAGACAAAAGACGGCATCTATGTACGAGAGCCTCTCGACTATAGAAAGAGACCTCCTGCATAACGGGTATCAGCAAAGCCAATCTGTACCAAGGAAGCACAGCAACTTACCATTCTTTCCGAACTGGGGGGTCGATGCATGTCTGGGGTGTGCAACCGGTAGGCAAGGCTGATGCCAGAAGCGCCAAGTTGTCAAAGACAACTGCAAAAGCAAGTAATCGCATGTCTTAGATGTCTCAGCCGCAGCTGTCAAAGGCGTCCCCAGGCGATCTGAAGCTTTAATAACAAAGAGCTAATCTTGGAAAGCACGGGGGCGCGCAAATACCGTCATTCTAGCCTGCCGGCCCCGGGGTATACCGTGGATTATACTTGTACGACGCGTACACAGAAGCAGCCGATAGGCTCGGAGGGTGTGGCGACATGCGCCTCTGGTCAACATCTTAACTCCACCGTGCCGCGATCGTTCGGTCCTGAGGCTGGTGTGATGCTAAGGCTTCGCCGCTTCGGTAATGTACCGGTTTGTCCTTCCCTCTGTATCTTTGGAGATAAATCTCCGTGATCATTGAAGCTCATCTAAGAAGCCCGTTCGGCCAATGGGTCTCTTGGATACGGCCAAGACTTGGTCACCTGTCTGCAATGCCATCAATATCATTGTTCACATCTAGCCTTACCCTTTCTTTCGTCACACGGACGGGCGTGTGACTGGCTGTTTACACTTCAAGTTAGGTCTTAATACAGCACGTAGGAACACCAAGCGGAGTACGCCAACTGCATACTTGCGACTGTGCCGTACCGCAAGCACTCACAGATGCAGGTTTGTGGCAGCATCCACCACCCCACAATGGCCCCATACCACCCCGACACGGTTGCAACCTCATTGATAGAATAGGGCGTACCTGCAGGCCTTGAGGCCTTTGTGCTTAGCCGGAGTCGGACAGAATCTTCAACGGAGGAAGGTGATGGATTTTTTCTAGCGGAGATTTGCGGGTATATGTTCATGCGCGGCCCAGTGCTGTGATTCTAAGATACGGGGGTGTCGGGGAACAGCGTACCGACGCCCGTCAAGCGGGAGTGGCACAGCGATCACGAACATGGGTCCATGTAACCGACGACGCCGCAACACACTCCACATGTGGACGCCTCATGGTGCTCGCCTTGGAACACTCAGATTACAACTCTGACAATCTCAGTGTCTGTGAGTCGTAAAGTCGGATATCGAGTCGATGGGTCCGGAAAAATAGTCCGCGGAATAGGTGTGCTAGGTATGCTTCGACGGGCATATAGGCAAGGATCCTAGTGAGGCGAAAGAGAACCTGCAGGTATGGGGAAACGGTTAATACCAGTCCCACATATTAGCAAGGCCCGGGGGGTCCCGTCTCTTGGCTGAAGCTTTTCGCTATAGCCTTTTAATCCTGCGGCAACTTGATTGCCTTCGGCTGGAGTAATTCCCCTATCAAGCATCCAGTCACCTCCAACATCCAGGTTTCATGGTGATTCGGCCTGCTGGGTGACAGCAAAACCATGTCTTGGGAGAGCGCGTTGGGCGCAGGCAGATGGTCAAAATGCAAGATGCCAGGCAATAATAAAGCCGTCCCAAGAAATGGCGAAGATGCGGCACGGTACATAGAAACCGTGGTTCAGTCGTTCGATTAGGCTTTGCTGATTCCCTCTATTTTGATTTGAGGCGTTTTTGATTGCGCCGCATTGTGGGCTTTTTGGTTGAGCATGCAGGCCATCACTGCTGATAATGGGTCCCGACAGCCGATGTTCTTGGCGGTGTTGGGCGTCCTCTTGCTACTATCTATTACGACAGTCGTCGCCCGGTAACAAAGGCGTTGGTATGATGTTGGCGGTACATACAGCTAATAATATTACAGGCTTTATTGTCGCATCGTGTACGTCCAGTATGTGGGCGTCGATGACTACTTCATACTGGTTGCCATGATTGTGGTCATTGCAATGAGCATTGCGAACGTAATCCATATTAGCTGGGGAACTGGGTAACAACCCTTCTCTTCCTGTAGCCAATTCCTGAAAGCTAAAAGGCGGACAGGCGCCATTTTTCAGACCTTGGAATGGAGGCTCTCGAACCGACCTTGAAGCACTGGTACGCATACCAGCTGATCTATCCGTTTGCGCTGTTTTTCGTCAAGGCCAGTATCCTCGCCCTATACCACAGGCTCTTCCGCAAGAGGCAGTTCCGATACTGGCTATGGGTAGTTGCGGGGATAGTCACTGTATATACAGTGGTTGTCGTTTTTGTCAACGTAAGGAGCCTGAGTATCCGGCAGTTGAGACGTTTGCTGATATTAAGGGAGGAGTAGGCTTTTGAATGCCGAAGCCATCCCACTCATGCATGGAGTCTCAACTTTCCAGAAGGATGCAATAATCTGTCCGCCTCTTACTTCTCCATGGCTTCAATCAGTATCGCGACCGATGTGGCGATTTTGGTGTTGCCTCTACCGGTTCTTGTGAAGTTAAACATCCAACGAAATAAAAGATGTAAGCAAGAAGAAGCATGCCTTGTTTCGATCTATTCTGACATGGTTAGTGGCGCTGATTGGGATTTTCCTCTCCGGTACGGTTGCCGTCATCGCGTCCATAGTACGCCTCAACGCTCTCTACATTTACACCGTCACGAAGGACGTTTCATTTGACGCGATATACGTATGCATGCGCACAAGTAGAGAGGCCTGAGTGTTTGTTAACATTTGCCAGATACTGTTGTGGTCGCAGATCGAGGTCAACGTCGCGATTATTACTGCATCTGCCCCGTCCCTCCGTCCTATGTTCAGAGAGACATTCAAGAGCTCGCATGGATCAAGTCGACCCAGGCTCCACAGCGGTAGCCAGTCTGCTGGTTACATGTTCTCTCGATCGCGAACCCGTAGATCCGGTGGAGACGGTGTCATAGAGCTGCATTCGTACGATGGAAACGAAGGCCGGTTCGAAACAACTATAAGAGGGCGTGCAGGCAATGAAAGCGAGGAGTGTATCCTTGGTATGACCGCGGCGGGGATCAATATTATCAAAACGGTGGATGTGCAGGAGACAAGCGTTGAGCCGCATGAAGGAGATTCGAATGAGGACGTAGGACGCGGTACCTGAATGCGACTTATTTCAATGGGGGCAATGGCCTCTCGATCACGTCGATTTGCGCTATATGCCGTCGCGGTCACAGGTTGTGGTGGATGCTCGGGCGTGATCAGGCCGCGGAAGTTTGACCTCATTGGTGGTCTATCGCCCACCGTACACTACGTCATGGTTCACAGACCAATGAGGCAGCTCACAGCCTCCCGTCTTCCCTCCCCTTTACAAAACTGCATGGTCCAACCAACATCCTCTATTCGTGGTACAATGACGCTCTCTAGGAGAAATCTCCGGCCCCCTTGGCTCAATCCATCCGAGCTACTCCGGCAACAGGCCCAACTTGCTATGAACCGCAGCGGCTACCATCTTGCGTAATTGGCTGCGGTTGTGAGGTGCGAAGACAGCATCAGTGCTATAAGACATGATGAAAATAGTCTTTCGATCTCCTGTAAGAGAAGCAAAATGGATGTTTGCTTCGTCATTCACGTCTCATGCGTAGAATTAATAATCACGTAGTCTGGCTGTGAGTACGCTCCACTCCCACTTTGTAGATGGCTGTAAGGCTAACACACGCAGCTCTTTCGACAAAATCCTCGCATTAATTAAAGCCAGTATTGATGCTTGAGTCCGTTTTCCAATCATTGCAGGATCGCATACTTACCTGTTGTTTTTGCTCCAAATGCTTGGTTTTGAAGTGACAGGCTGTATTTCGATCGCCTCTATTACCTTAGTGAGCTCTAAAGGTCATAAAGGTACGCATCAATAAGTTCCACATAATAGATCCAACATTGTCCACTTTTGGTCAGAACAGAATACGTCAAAAGGCCCCTCATTTGGGTCAGGTTTGCAATCTTTTGACCAAACCATTGGATATGATTCAGTGGAAACCCCAACACTGGGTAGTGCTTCACACTGACAGTCTATGGTTCAAGGCGCCTCGCACAAGGGTGCAACATGTCACATATTGTACCGTGTCAACAAACACCAATTAATAAAAAGTGAAGACGGGGTCTAGCCTGGAGATAATACTTGAAAGTTTGTCAGATGGCACCCTGCCCCTTATTCTTCTGACTAACTGACCGCAAGCTATTTCGTCCTACCTGCTGATAATGCGCGAAGAACATGTTCGCGAGCTCTCATGGTCCAGTCCACTTAGGGAGAAGCTAATATTAGTTTGAAGCCTCTGGCTTACTTTGCACTACGAGCGTTCGCCATGGTCTTGCATGATGCGCCAACCGAGAACTAACGCGGCAGGGCTCCCATTCTGTATGCAGGTCTATCAAATCTTAGTCTTGGCTTTCAATGCTCTCCAGATGCCAAATTCGGGTTCGGAATGGCCATTCCGGAGATATGACCCTTACGCTACTATGTGTTCTACGAGTTTGAAGCCCAAGTCTTCTTTGATGGTTCCCCACCGACCTCACTTCTCAATCACCCTCTTCCACTGGTCAGTTTCCGGTTAGTACAGTTGCTTTCGTTACACGAGCGCATCACAGGACATGACTATATCAAAGACAAGACCACGCGCCTGAATCCTTAGTCAAAGCCTCTGGAGGCGACTAACCTGTCCTCTGGAACACTTATCCGAGGTGGTTGTGGTGACTAATGATGGCCAAATTTCTATATAAGCTTGATCGAACTCGTCATTTGAACAACACAGAATACGAACACCGAACGGAAGCGCAACCACCATGCAATCTCCACCGAACTTTGATTCTTCCCGCCCTGCTCACGCTCCTCTTCGTCTACTGTCTCTCGATGGCGGGGGCGTCAGAGGCCTCTCCAGTCTGATGATCCTTGGCGAATTGATGGAAAATATTGCTCAGGAAGAGAAGAGACTGGGGAAGCGAGCGATCAACGACGACACGCTACTCAAACCTTGCGACTACTTTGACCTTATCGGCGGAACATCTACAGGAGGGATCATCGCTGTGCTCCTCGGAAGACTTCGACAAGATGTGCCGTCATGTATTAAGATATATACACGGCTTGCCAAGGAAATCTTCAAGAGGGACCGCTCCATCCATATCTCCGGCCTGAAGATTCCTATCGGCCCAACCCGTTTCTCCGGGAAGGTACTCGAGAGTGCTATCAAAAGAGCTCTGAGGGATCTTGGTTACGATGAGAATGAGTTGATGTGGGATGATTCTCTCTTCGAGGAAGTTGTTGAGCCTGTCAGCCAGGGAAAAGAAAATAATATCTGGACAAACTCATCACGCGACTTGGATTCTACCAATGACCCTTCACACAGTCTAGCAGTGCCGGATAAAAAAGAAGCTGCGAAGAGAGACCAACCAGGAATCAATGCGGGATTTGCTGAAGGCGACGCTTCGGTCACCATTAGAAGTCCTAACGACTTCAGCGACCTAGGTTCTACTACAAACATCTCCGTCAACGATTCCAAGGCCCACTGGGATAAATCGACATGGCGAGTGCATCAAGACTCTTCAGTACGACGCAAGGCAAACAGGGGAGGATGTCGGGCTTTCGTCGTTTCGGCCCTCAAAAATGCTCTCGGGCTACCACACATCCTTGCAACATACGACCCTAATGATCGCACCACCCGTATATGGGAAGCTCTTCGAGCAACATCTGCCGCTCCTACCTTCTTTGAGGAGATGACATTTGGGACACCGCACGTTACTTATCTCGATGGAGGTATGGGCTACAACAACCCCTGTTCAGAGGTTGACTATGCCGCAAAGTCAATTTGGGAAGGCCGGACAATTGGCATGATTGCATCCATTGGCACCGGTATACAGACTATTCCATCTGTCAAGAAGATCGCTCTCTGGCTACCTTTTGGTCTGGGTACCGATATTTCCCTCGCTTCGGCCCTCGCATCTATGGCAATGAGTACCGCCCGCGTCGACAATGAAATGCAGCGAACGTACTACGGCAAAGACACGCGGTACTTCCGTTTTGACGTCGATGGCGGCCTTGAGAACATTTCCCTCGAACAATGGATGAAGGAGGACGAAATGGCGACGTTGACAAATCAGTACATGCGAGATCCATATCAGATCAGAAGAGCTCGCCAATTCGGGAAAACGATGACCAAGCTCAGTGTTTTGCCGCCAAATTTCGAAATCGATGCGCTGCATTTCCGTGTTGGCATCAACGGCCGCGGCATATTCGACGGCGAATACATGCAGAAAGAAGTGGGCTTCGAAACAGACAAGTCCACTGAGTCTGACGCATCTAGCCCATTGGAAAACAACAACGGGCCTATTGTGCACCGAATCCAACCTCGCGGCCGCGGCAATGCCATCGTCGATAAGGATACTGGTCGCTTTCGCCAGGTTCGTCCAGTGTTCCTAAAGCCGAACATCAACAACGAGGACAGGGAGCCGGCTGTATTGAACTGTCTCCGGTGTGAAAACACATGCTTGCGGGCTATAAGAACTGGTATACCACCGGGCATTTACAAGGTTAAATGGATTGTCAGCCATCAGGAGTCCGAGTACAGTCCTCCAGTAAATGTCATCTTCTCCGTTGGGAAGCCATTTGACCCGACTGTGTACTTGGATCGGTTCGTGGATGTGCGTATATCTCCGGACATTGCCACAGTCTTGCTCCGCCCAGACGCTGTGCGTGTGAGGCTTGGACGCAGGCGATATGAGGCAAAAAAGAATAAAGGGTGGTATGAAATTGAAGGCGACAATCTCGTTGAGGTTGATCTCGAAGGAGCACTTGGCTTTATGATCAACACCAAGTGGGAGGAGGACTTTGTCCTTGGTGGTTGGAGTTTTGGAGGCGTCCGGCTTGAACCTGTGTTCGAAGATCCGCACGGCAAAATTTGAGAGCATACTCTCTGATCCAGCGCTTGGATTTTGTATCATGGTATTCCGGCCATCACTGCTTTGACGTCGTACGAATACGGACGAGTAGGAGTTTACCTGTTTCTTAGCTAGAATGAGATCGAGCGATGGCAGGAGTAGGAGCAGGATATTCACATTTGTATATTTTTAGTAGCATTACTGTAACTGTACAGTTTAATGGGTCATTATTTATCTCATAATAGTTAAGCCGCGGATGTCAAACGTATCAAGAGGCAGCAATTAACTAACCCCCTCTTCAAGCGACTGACGTTAAGCACACCTGCCAACCTACTCTAGACGTCATACCGATACGAGATCTCCCAGCCCTCCCGTCCTCCCGAACCCCAAATTTAGCCGCCGTTTGTAAATCGTTCGATCGATCAATCAATTAGCGCCCTCGATTACGATATCTCCCCGCCGCTATGATGCATCAAGTCGATCCGAGGATAATAAAGTGGCGTCACCGCGCAACGACATTACCCTCTCCTTTTACCTTTACAACCAACAATCACGGGCTGCCAATACGTCGCCATGCCTGGCGCCCGCACTCTGCTTGCAGCTGCTAGCCTCATCGCATACACGCCCGTATTATTCGCTCAGTCCAGTTCAGTGTCGTATGCGACTCCGTCACTGATAACTGCTACCGAAACACCCGCAGCACTGTCGACGTCAACGCTTTCGGTCATTTCGGGCGGGAGCGAGTACGCTTACATAGGCTGCTTCAATGAGACAACGGGGTATGCGAACGGCGGTAACAAGCGGGCCATTACAGGTGGTAATATGGTACGTTTGATGCTGTGCTGTTGATGCATTGTTGGGTTTGCTGGGTAGCTGGCTGGTATCTCGTAGTAGCGCGGAGATGAAGGGACTGACATGCGATTTTACTGTTGGATAGACATCCGAGGATGACATGACGCCGGAACGATGTTTTGATTTTTACGGTGACGAGCAATATGCTGGTCTTGAGTATGGGCGGGAGTAAGTTGTTTATAGACTCCCCACAGGTGATCCAGTGTTTGGCTTACGGGGATGATAGGTGCTGGTGCGGCCCGTATTTCTCGACTCTTACGAGCGAGTTGTCTCCAGGATACTGTAATATCAGCTGCTCTGGTCTGGACAACGCTGCGTGTGGTGGCTCTTTGGCACTCACTCTATTTAATTCGACTCGACGTTCGGGATCTGGACATGGAGAGGGACAAAAGGGTGGTGCAACACATACAGTACCTGCGATATACGTCATTATAGGGGCTGCTGCTGCTCTCTTAGTAATGGGCTAAGAGACCTTGGTAGTCACATAAAGCTGCCGAGTGGATAGATGTAATCAACAACATGCTTGCTCGAATCGATGCCCGGATCGTCACTCCTTTTGACATTTTCCTCGGACTCACCGTCTTAGTCTCCAGGGCTTTCAATACCTGAATGCCTTCCAGCGTGACAGGAATAAGACTACTACAATAGTAGGATGTAGGTGGTGTCAAAGGTGATGACGAGTCGTCCGACCTATAAAGTAGCAGCACGTGATCATGTCGCATCGGCGTTAACGGACCGGTGCCTGTGGATCCCCGGTTTCGTCCATCGAGAGCAATTCCAAGCTTCAACTTGTCGCATTGTCTGCGCCGCCAAGCTCGTGGCAGCTGTTCACCTTCACTTTACCTCATGCCTTTCCTTAATGCTCATTTGAAGATGCCAGCCCAGATTTGCGCACCGTTCGCATCCTAAGCCTTTCGAAACACCGCCGTCGTCCTTGCTGCTTTTCTTGTAAACAAACAGTCGTATCGCAACCATGTCAGCGCGCAACACCAACCAACCGAGCTTCAACTTCCTCACGGGAGAGGCGGAGCCTCCCGCCATGGCAGCGCCGCCATCCTTTCGCGAGACGTTGCGGCAGTCGCAGATGGTAAAACCAGGTGGGTATCGTTCAGCACATAGGTTAGCGCAGCTCTGGATTAACAAAGCCCCAGACCATGGCAACGAGGATCTGCGCGCGCAGATTAATGCGCTGCAATACGAATTGGAGTCCCAAAAGCAAGATCGAGAGATGAGCACGCTCGGCCTCCAGGCGGAGCTTCGCGATGCGCAGAACAAGGCGGAGACGGAATATCGGCGCGCTCAGGTCAGTCGGCACAGCTGCAGCGAGATAGGGGTTTTCTGACACATGACAAGGCAGCCGAGACTGCTAGTAATGCCGCCGTCGCGAAAATGAACGCCTTACAGCGGGAAGTTCAGGACGAAAAAGACAGGAGTACCAACGAGAAGCTGGAGTTAGAGCGCAAAGTGCGGACACTGCAGGACCGGAACAACTCGTTGCAAGAGGATGCCGATGAAGCACAAACCGAGCTCCAGTCGCTGGAGAGGCAGAGCAAACACCAGTACAACGAGCTAGAAACGAGATACGACACGCTGCAGACATCGTTCGATGAATTGCGCGTGGAACTGGATACGCAAGCCAATGCTCTTCAAACGGCTCAGCAACGGCTATCAAAGCGGGAAGCGGAAGCTGGACAAATGGAGGGCGAAATTATCCGTTTAAAGGCACAATCCGGAGATCAGGATACCCTAGCTGTCATCAAGAGGGAGCTTTCGGAGCAAGTTACGCACATCAAGAAGCTTGAGGGAATCAACAGAGAACAGGCAGCAGAGTTGAAGCAGTATCGCAAAATTCACAAGAGCGTGGAGGTTGTTGAGGAGGAGAAGCGAGCGCTTGAGGCCAAACTCCGGATGATGAATGATTTACGGCGTGAATTGAGCGAAGAACAACTAAAAAGACAAATATTGGAAAGCGAAAGGGAGTCATGGACCTCGTATCTTGAGAGCCAGGCTTCTGGCGAGGACGATTTCCAATTCCAGTCTCCGGAGGATTTGGCTAGAGCGTTTATCAAAGAGCGTCTGGAGGCCGCGTCGCTACTCGATCAACTTGGAGCAGTAAAGCCGGAGCTCACAGTCAAGGATGACATCATCAAGGCATTGGAAGATGAGAAGAGCAAGCTGCGGGAGGAATTGGAAAAGGTAAAATCCGGCAGTGGCGCTATCGACACCAAGGTGCGCACTCGATTGGAGCGCCAGCGCACTCTGGCCGTGAAGGAGGTGGAGTATCTGCGCGCACAAATCAAGACCTTCGATGCCGAGGAAAACGAATTCCAGCCCGAGTCTTTTGATCAACAAAAGACCCAGCGGATCCAAGAGCTGGAGGAACTTGTTGACAACTATCGTAAGGAGCTTCAAACTTTGCACGCGGATCTCTCGGCCGCGGAGGAACTCGCACAAAGACAAGGACATGAGCCCATCACCGGCAACAAGCGTCCCCTTGATGCTGAAGATGACGAGCGTCTCGGCGAACTGCGCCGCAAGAACCGCCATCTCCAAGATGAAGTAGCCAAGTTGCAAACGAGCAAGAAACTGCTCGAAACCGAGCTCAAGGCGCACGAAAAGCAACTCGCATCACTCAAAGCCAGCTCACGCACGCGGGTCCTCGAGCTCCGTTCCAATCCGACCGCCGATGCCGAGGCCCTCAAGCTCAGCACCGTGCGGACGCTGCGGGAGGAAAACAAGGCACTGCTAGCACAGCTAGAAGAGCGCCTAACCGCAGAGGACGCGACAGTGCCAGCCTCCAGCCTCGAAGCGGCGCGCGACGAAATCGAAGAGCTCAACCACACCATCGCGGAAAAAGAAAAGCGCATGCTCCGGCTCAAGCAGATCTGGACGGCCAAGTCGCTCGAGTTCCGCGAAGCGGTGGCTTCGGTGCTGGGCTGGAAGCTAGACTTTATGCCGAACGGGCGGGTGCGCGTCACCAGCATGTTCTATCCGGGCGACGAGGAGGACGGCGGCAACAGTATCGTCTTCGACGGCGAGAACGGCACCATGAAGGTCAGTGGCGGGCCGCAGAGCGTCTTTGCGGGCGAGATCAGGCCGCAGATAGAGTTTTGGGTCGAGGGCCGCAAGGAAATTCCGTGCTTTTTGGCGCAGCTGACGTTGGATTTTTGGGAGGCGACGAGGGCGGTGGGGTAGTTGGTTGGCGGGGTGTCGGCTTGAGAAGGTGGAGTAGGGACGTTTGCCGGGATGGCGTTGTTTTCCATTCGACTACGTCATGTATCAAGGCACGCTTTTGCGGTGCAGGACCGGTGAGGAGATATGTTCACGACGTAGTATTGGAGCTTGGGATGGGATGGTATGGTTGGGTGTATCAACAGTAATGAGGCGACGGGAATAGAGAAGCCTGGCACACGTTGATTTACACAACGTAATCAAAAAAAAAAAAAAAAAAAAAAAAAAAAAAAAAAAAAAAAAAAAAAAAAAAAAAAAAGAGAAAGATGCATGGAGGCAATTGCCCTGCAGCCAATACACCAAAAGCAACGAGGCGTCGTGGTGTCAACTGCACCCCAATCAGGTTGATAACAACCAGTTCACACCAGCATGAATAGCTTCGAGGGTACTTGGGGCTAACAATTTCGCAGCATGATGAAAGCCTCGTCATGCCCATGCACTTTTCATCACAGAACCGCTTGGATGGGTAGGGTCGGCGGCGGCGATGGCGCCGGGAGCTGGGATGGGAGCTGCGGGCGGAAGACGATTGACGGGAGACGGAGTGTGCGGTGCGCAGTGCGCAGTGCCGGTAGGGTTGGGGGTGGGGGTGTGGGGGTATATAGGGTGTGTTATAGCGCTACCTATACGTTTGTCTAACCTAACCTTACGTAGAGTAGTTGGGTGTTGGTGGGTTAGAGCAACCAGCCACAAGGTCACGACCCGGCGCCACCACCACGCAGCAGAAACCACAACACAAACAATTAAAGACACGTACGCTCTAACACATCTATATTACGCCGTGCTATACCTTACGCAAGACAATATATCTAACCCCTAACTCCAGCCGCGTATAAAGCAAAGCAAAGCAAAGCAAAGCAAAGCATCCACAATCGCACACGCATAATTACACGCATTCCGTCATGTAAAGTTTCCCGCTCCATCTACATATCCCTCTCCAGTCCGCACGCTCTCTACTTCTATTTTCCCAGCCTACCCTAACCCACCCCACCCCAACCTAATCCATCCTCGGCACCTAAACTCTACGCCGCTCAAGGTGTACATGCGTGTATGCAAAACACAAGAGATTACAAAAGGGATAAAGATGATAAAAAAAAAAAAAAGGTAGACGGTTAGACCGAGACGAAGAAAGAAAGAAAGAAAGATAGAAGAAGAAGAAAGCAGAAAAAACAAACACCACCCAGGGTATATCAGCCAGCAGCAGGGTATATATATATATATCAGACGCAACGCACACTCTCCCTCCTCTTCCTCTTTCACCAACCAATCAAAAACACCCCCAGCTACTCCACCGCCTCGCGCCGCGCGGCCGCAACCCCCCTAAGCCCCCCAAACCGGCCAACCCGCCCAAAGACGCGCCTTTCAATTCCTTCAAGCCCAAATCCACACCCCCACGCAAACAAGGCCCCTTGACGCACCTCTCCGTCTCCGTCTCCGCCTCCCCCTCGCGCCGCTCAACCCCCCGCCACTTGGCCCCATACCCCCACTCGCAGTCGCCGTCCCCACCGCCACCGTCCCCATCCGGCTCGGGCAGCGCGATGCGATACCGCCTCACACTGCAGCCGTCATCGACGTCGTCCTCGTCCCCCTTTTCCCCACCCCCACTCTCACCAGCACCACCGCCACCGCCACCACCACTCGCGCACCTCATCCCCGAGCCGTCCGCATCAGCATAGAACCCACCCCGCTTCCTCCCTCTCCCACCAGCAACCACGACGCTGACGGCGCGGCGCAGCAACCCCCTCGCGCCGCGCGAAGAGCGGTCGATGGCGGCGTACTGGGCGCGGCGCGTGCGGGGGGAGGTCCAGTGGATCGTGGTGGGCGTGGTGGGCGAGAGGAGCGTGGACGTCGGCGTCGCAGGCGCGTTGCTGGCGTAGGTGTGTGTGCAAGCGTACGCGGTGTGCGGGTGCAGGAACGCAGCGGAGTCTGCGTCTGCCGTTGAGGAGGACGAGGCGCGCGTGCTGCTCCCACCAGGACGCGCCAACGGCAGCGGCAGCGGCAGCGGCAGGCTCAGCGCCGCCAGCGGCAGATGCGCCGACTTGGGCACGACGCCCGGGGACGCCGCTGTCGCGGCGGGAAAGGCCGGCGACTGCGGCGCGCTGACGCTGACGCTCACGGCTGGTGCCACGGCGGGCGAGAAGAGCCGGCAGCTGCGCGCGTGCAGCGCGTACAGGGCGTCGGGGTTTGCGTTTGCGTGGGCGGTGTCGATGCGGGCGGGGCGGGCGGCGCGGGAGCGGCGGCGCGAGGACGAGGTCGAAGACGAGGTTTTGTTGGAGGTGTGGGTGTGGGCTGAGGACGAGGTAAAAGAGGAATTCCCTAGTTGGGGCGCGGTCGAGGCGCGGCGGCTGATGGGCCGTTGATGTAGGTGGTGTTGTTGTTGTTGGTGTTGTTGGTGCTGGATGTGGTGGTGAGACGACGACGATGTCGACGACGAGGTGCCGGTGGCGCGACGGGCGGGGCGGGTCGATGTCGAAGTGGAGGCGGAGCGGGGATGCAGCACGTGGGACGAAGTGGGGGGATGCTCACGCGCACGCGGGCGAGCGTGCAGCTTGGCGGCGGTGGTGGTGGTCGTGGTGGTGTTACTGTCAGACTTCGGGATTGCTGCCACGCCGGAGCTGGACGAGCAGCGCCGCGACGACGACGCAACCTCTGCCACCGCCACGGCCGTGTCGTAGGTCGAGGTTGACGAGGCGCGTCGGTGGCACCCCGGCGCCGGGGGCGAAGACTCTGCGAAGCCGCTGTCGGTGCGGCTCATGGGGTGGGTGGTTGCGGCGGAGAAGGAAGAAGAGACAGAGGGTGGCGGTAGGGCGGAGGCCATGGCAATAATGGTCGTGGTAGTTCGTCGTGGTGTAGTTTCGAGTAGAAATAGCAACCAAGACAGACAAGAAAAAAAAAAGATGGACAGATAGACGACGGACGGGGTATGCTCAGTTGCAGATCATCGTCAGCGCCACGCGCCTGGGGCGGAGCGGGAGGAGAAGCAGCAGCAGCAGCTACGGCGGGTGATATATGGGGCGGCGAGAAAAAAGGGGAAACGAAACGAAAGAGAACCAAGAAAAGGACTATTGAATTAATTGAGAGAGAGGTGGTAGGTAGTAGGGGGAGGAACGAGGCAATAGCTGGCAATAGACAAGCGAGGTCAAGTACAAATTGCGGGCGACCTTGGGGCGTGCGGGCAGGATGATTTGGGACGGTGGGGCGTGAAGGAGATAGATGAGCGGCGTGTTTCGACGGCAGCGATGTTAGGCGAGCCCGTGTGTTTCTACCTGCACTACTCGTACGGATGGATACAAATATAAATTCTTCTACCTACGCTCTTTTCACATGCCATGGCCAGGCGGTCTGCGCGCAGCATGCAGGTCGCCGCTGCGGTGAGACAGCCTCCGGGTGCCATTGGGCACGTGGCCGGGACTAGGCCGGACGGCGGGACACGGGACGGCGCGACGTGGTGGCTTGGGAGCGGGTGTGGTGAGACTAGGCACAAGAGAAAGAAAGAAAGGAAAGTCTGAAACAAGACAGATCGAAGACAGCAAGACAGTGGGACAGCGGGACAGCGGGACAGCGGGACCAGCGGGACCCAGCTCGCATCCGACACACACACACACATCCGACACGCCGGGTCGCGCCCTCCCGCTGCTGCTGCCAATGACCTCACTAGGTTATAACCACCTCGCCCTCCCTCTGGAAATTGTACCACCACCACCACAACAATGCCGCTCCTCCGCCTCGCCTACAAAACAATCCATTACACGGACCTGTCCCCCACCACCAGCACCCCGCCAAAAGGCACCATCCTGCTCACGCACGGCCTCGGCTCGTCGCAAAACTTCTACGCCGCGCTCTTCCCCGCCCTGCTGGCCGCCAACTTCCGCGTCATAGCCTACGACACGACGGGCGCGGCACGCAGCCCGTACACGCAAATCGAGCAGTCGATCGCGACGCTCGCCGACGACGCCAACGCGCTGCTCGCCGCGCTCGACGTCCCCCGCGCCCTGCTGGTCGGGCACAGCATGGGCGGCACCGTCGCCCTACACGCCCTCGCGCAGCACAGCCCGCGCCTCGCCGGCGCCGTCCTGCTCGGCCCCGTGCACCCCACGCCCGGGGTCGCGGACGCGTTCGCCGCGCGCATCGCCGCCGTCGAGAAGGACGCCATGGACGCCATGGCCGCTGTGGTGCCAGCAACCGCCTTGGCAGCTGATGCGGCGCCGCTTGCGCGCGCGTTTGTGCGGGAGCTGCTGCTCGCCCAGGATCCCCGCGGGTACATCTCGCACTGCCGCGTTATCGCGAATGCGACGCCGCCGGATTATGCCAGCGTAAAGGCGCCCGTGCTGCTGCTTGCGGGGGAGGAGGACAAGGCCGCGCCGCTGGCGAGTTGTGAGAGGATTGTGGATGCGTTGGGGAGCGGGCGGAAGGGGTTGAGGGTGTTGAAGGGGGTGGGGCATTGGCATGCGGTTGAGGCGCCCGAGGAGGTTGGGAAAGCTATTGTCGAGTTTGCGGGGGAGAGTGGTTGTTTTGAGTAATTATGTGCTCTTCTTATTCTTCTTCTTCTTCTTCTTCTTCTTCTTCGTCTTCGTCTACTACTGCATACATACATACACACACGTCCCCCCACACACGCGGGAGAGCAAGAGCAAGAGAGGGCTGATGGTTGACGGTGGCAGTAGTAGAAGTAGCAGTGGTCGTTATTCTCCTTCTGCCGCTCTGCCTACAAACGAGGAGGAGGAAAAGAAGAGGCAGCAGCAGCAGCAGCGGCGTCTAGTATACAACAGCGGCAGCAGCGGCGAAGCAGCGGAAGAAAGCAAAACGCAAGCCGACGCCAACGACGCCGCCGCACCCTCCCTCCGCATCACGCTCCGCCTATCTCCCTAGGCAATGCCAACACCAACACCAATGGAAAGAAAAGGAAGAGGAAAAGGAAAAGGAAAAGAGAAACTCCACCAGATGCATCCACACAGCCACGACAGATAAACACCAAAGACGACGCCAAGTTCAACGCCCTCAGAACAACAACAACAACAACAACAACAACAACAACAACGATAAACCAGCCAAGCACACTCTTTCTAGACAACAGTATCAGTAGCAAACCAAACCAAGAGGGCGGAAGGAAGGAAGAAAACCAACCAAAAGTCCGTGCCTGCGCCACACGCCCACACGCCAAAGCCGAGCCGCCCCCTTTTTTTCAGCCAGCCAGCTATTCAGCTATTCAGCCAGCCAGCCATGCATCCGTCGATCCAGCCGTCCGTCCGTCCATCCGTCCGTCCGTCTATAGGTTAGTAAAGTAGCGTGAAAGCAATGCTCCTGCTCCTGCTCTAGAAGTTCCCGTTCCAGCTCCAATTTTCGTCGTCCCTCTGCTTCTCCTTTTCCGCAGCCTCATCCTCCGTCCTTTGTCGTTCGTGCGTGCTCTTGCGTTTTCTGTTGCTTCGTACGTCCTTTGAGGGGCTCTCTTCTCGGCTACAACAACGACGGCCACTATGACCTGACAACAAGGCTAGACAAGGCAACGCAAGACAAGGCAAGGCGAGTAACCAAGTATTCGACTAAGTAAGCAGTGAAGTGTGTGTGCAGTAGACGTGAAACGAGTAGTAACCAAGCCTCTTTCTTGCCTTGCCTTGCCTTGCCATGCCATGCCCTAGCTCGTTGCACTGCGACAGCGACAGCAACAGCAGCGGTTTCCCAAGCATCATCAACGACAAGAAGCAACGAACACGAAAAGAGAAAAAAAAAAAAAAAAAAAAACACATTAACAAGCCCCAATAACAGCATCATCAACAGCAGCATCATCAACAAGAAACACAAGTGTCAACTCTCAATTCTGTGGAGCTTGCTCTGTAGGCAGGCAGTGGCTGGCTGATGGCTGGCTGATGGCAGCAGAAGCAACAGCAGCAGCAGCAGCAGTAAGCGCAGCCGGATCGTCGTGTGCATGAAAAAGCCACGGATGATGCTGCTGATAATGGATGATGGATGATGGACGCAAAGCAAAGAGCCACAGAGGAGGGAATAAAGGAAAAAAGAGAAAAAAACAGGAAAAGAAAAAGGAAATTAAACCACAGCAGAAAAAAAAAAAAAAAAGGGTAACACGTAGTAGTACCGCCTCGCCTAACGCCATCGTCCCCAACCCCCAACCCCCCCAACCCACACCCGTGATTCATTTCGTCCCTGTCGGCACGGGGCTGTAGTAGTTATCGCGCCGCCGAACTGAAACTGAACTGCTATAATAGTACATGGTGGTGCTAGCTCACAAAACAAATCGAAATCGGATCACACACACACACACCCGTCTTTCTCGACTTACTGCCCTCCAGCTTCTTCTTCTGCTCCTTCATGTCCGTTGGTGGGCGCAGCGACAGCATCCGCGGCAGCGTCTGCGTCCGCGTCAATCTCGACAGCAGACTCGGCGGCCGCGGCCTCGGCCTCCTCTTGCCGCTGCTCCGTCGTCGCGCGCTGCTCTTGCAGCTGCTGCTGGCTCTCGGGCGTGACGGTGGAGCCCGACGAGACGCGGCGGGGCAGGCCCATCGGGAGCGTCTCGCCCGTGCCTATCACGGCCGGGCTGGTGCCGCCCGTCGCGGGCGCCTCGTCCTGCTGATGCTGCTGCTGATCCTGCCCCTCCTTGCCCTCCTGCTGCGCGCCCGAGCCTTGCTGGGGATTGCCGTCCCCGCCACCACTACTACTGCCACTGCCACTGCCACCGGCCGCTGCTGCCGCTTCCTGAATGACGCTCTGCGCGAGCTCCGTGGCCTCCTGCTGCAGGTTCGGCATCGGCTTGGGCGCCTGCGCCAGGTACGACTCCAGCAGCGACTTGAGCGTCGCGGCGCGCACCGGCTTGGCCAGGTAGTTGTTCATGCCCACCTCGAGGCACTTTTCCTTGTCGCCGCTGATGGCGCTGGCCGTCATGGCGATGATCAGAATGTTGCGCACCGTCGGGTCCTCGTGGCGGCGGATCGCCTTGGTCGCGTCGTAGCCGTCCAGCACCGGCATCTGCACGTCCATCAGTACCAGATGGAATGGGTCGCGCGCCACGACGGCGTGCTCGAGCGCGTGGATCGTCTTTTCGCCGTCGCCGAACGCCTCGCACTGGAAGCCGAGCTTCTTGACAAACGAAATGGCGATCCGCTGGTTGATGGCGTTGTCCTCCGCTATGGCCACCCGGATCTGCTCGCGCGGAATCTTGGGCAATCCGATTTGCTGCGGCACCGACACGCCGCTGTCGTTGTGCTCGCCACCCCCGCCCGGCGAGCGCTCATCCTCGACTGCTTCCTCGGCACCCGTCGAAGCGCCGTTTGGTGCGTCGACGGCATCGTTCTTCGACACCTTTTCGAAGCGCAGCTGGAACGAGACGGTCGTGCCGTGCCCTGGCGTGCTCTTCAGCCAGATGCGCCCGCCCATGGTTGTCTCGATGATTGCCTTGACGATGCTGAGGCCCAGGCCCGTGCCTTGGTAGCTCCGGTTGCTGGCGTCTTCGACTTGTGAGAACGGCAGGAAGAGCTTCTTCTGCTGCTCCTCGGAGATGCCGATGCCCGTGTCTGAGACGCTAAAGTTGACGTCTATCGAGTCGCCGCCATCCTTTATCGTCTCAGCCTCGACCGTGACCTTGCCGTGCGACGTAAACTTGTAGCTGTTGGATAGCAAGTTCATAAAGATCTGGTGCAGCCTGACGGGGTCGCCGAGCACAAAGAGCTCCGGGTTCAAGTCCAGCCGTACCACCGTCTCGAGGCCCCTCTCGAGGTTCGTGAATGACAATGCTCTCACGACTTCACTGATCGTCTCTGTGAGGGACACAGGCACGGTGATGAGCTTCATCTTGCCTGCATCGAGCTTGCTGAAGTCGAGCAGGTCATTGATGACGGACAGTAGCGTGTCAGCGCAGACGCGGATGCTGTTGGCATAGCCCTCTTGCTCGCTGTTGAGGTTGCTTCCCTTGAGAAGTTCGCTCATACCGATGACGCCGTTTAGCGGAGTGCGCAGCTCGTGCGAGACGTTGGCCAGGAACAGCGATTTCGCCTTGGCAGCCTCTTCCTTCATCTTCATGTTGTGTATCGCAACCGCTTCGGCTTCCTTGGCCTTGACTTCGGCCGCTCGAGCCTGAGCTAGCGACTGCTTCTGCATCTCGAGCATGGCGACGTTGCTGGCACTGACTTGGCGGACCTGTTTGAATAATAAGGCGTTTGCGAGCGACACGCCGACCGAGTTGACGAGCAGGCGCAATACCGTAAGGTTACGCTCGCTAAACTGGTTAGGCGCGCCCTCGCAGTAGATTGAGCCGAGAAGGTGGTCGTCCCCGTGGAGGATCGGGATCGCAATGACCGCCCTGCCGTCTGGATTGCGCCTGCGATAGGACATGTTCACATTCGAGAACCGCTCGTCTTCGAGCAAGTTCTGAACAAACACGGTCTCTCTGAAACGAAGGACGTACAACGTCACTTGGCGGGCTACTTGATCGTCGATGGACTCCAGCGTCTGGCCTCCTGGGTACTTCGTTACTCCATCGGGTCCGCCGGTTGCCGCGTAGCTCCAACCGAGTTTCTCGTCCTCCGTCACGATGGCCGCGAGTTCGGCTCCGGTCGACTCGAGGATGATCTCGGTCATCTTAGCCAAGAGATTATCCACTTGCAGCTCGGATGCCAGGACCTGGCTTGACTCCAAAATGCCTGTCAGATCAATTACATCCAGGCCGACGGCGGAGAAACCGCCAGGCAAGTCGCCCTGCGTATCGCTTCTCTTGATCTGAGTCGGGCTGGACGTTGGGCTTAGCCAAGCTTCCGTCCGATCTGCCGATGTCTGAGGTACATTTTGGTCTTCGTGCTTTTCAAGCTTGAACGATGTGTTGCCAGTATCGACAATGTCAGTTTGGCACGCGACGTCAACGCTGGTGACGATGCTTTTGCCGACGAGAAGCCATGCGTATTTCTCACTGACGTAGGCAGACACACCGATGGCGCCAACGTGATTATAACACCGGAGTGCGTCCTTCATGAGCCGTCGTGCGGGCCTGCGAGCACCGTGTCTGGAGGCGCAATCGGCGTAAAGCTCATAAGCTAGACCTTGGTCAAGCAAAAATCCGTGCTGTTCTGCGTGGTCCAGAGCTTCTTCGAAATGGTTCATGGCATCCTTGGCATCACCAGCGAGGTCGATGATCTCGGCATCCAAGATTTCTAGCCAGACTCGGTAGTTCACGTCGTTATGGGCGGCGGTGACACGGATTTTCTCAGTATACTGCTCGGCGCGCATCCGCATTTCATCTCTGTTCTTGTGGGCCGGGTTGGATCGTATGGCACTGAGGTATGAAAGCGAGAGGTAGAAGAGGTTGGAGTAATACATGCGCATGCACCAGATTCCCTCCATCATGGAGAGAAGCTTTTCGCCGAGTATGATGGCTTCCTCGATATGGCCGTAGCGGAACAGAGTTGTCATGACGGCGCTTAGATATATCGTTTTCGGTCGCTTTGGGTTCGATGCTCGTGCTTCAATGAAAGACAGATAGTCCGACGAACGATGTTCCTCGTCAGAGTGAACTTCTTCAGCGCGTCTCACCGAGGTCTTACCCTGAAGAGCTCGAATCAACTGGCGTGTGCTGATCAGGAAAACACCGCCCCGAAGGTCTTCCTGCCATTGTTTAAATTCTGGAGGTGTTTCTTGGATAAAGGTTTCAACCTCGGTTAGATTGTGCGAAGACCAAAGCTTAAACACTGCGACTATGCCAATGTTCAACAGTGAGACTATTCTGTCAGCAGATATAATTGTGGCGTTCATGGCGCGCTCCAAGACAGGTAGCTGCTCTCTGACGTGAGTCTCGAGATGCCCGAGGAACAAAGCGTGCAACGTCTCGCCTCTACCGATTGTGTAGGCATCTTCTTCAAACGTTAGGAAAAGCTGCTTGGCGACATCGCCTAACTCCGTGCCGAACTTGGCCTGGCTGAAACGCCCAATGGCGATGCTGGCCAAGTGAACGTATCCGACTGCAACCTGGGCAAAAGTACCGCGACTGAGATGCAGCTCTACCATGATCATACTCATTTGATAGAACAGCTTCGAGTCGGTCCAAAAAGCTGCGCTTGCCATCTCGACGAGCACGGCACCCATAGCCGTCAGGTTCTGATCGGACGTCAGAGGCACAGTCGCAAGTTGCTCAACTCCACGCTTTTTCAATTCGGAGCACAGCGTGTGGAACTGAACATCGCACTCCTCCCACGTCTTATCCCCAAACTGAACTCCCAGCTCGACCAGGCACTGCTTGAGAGCTTCGAAGGCGGCGAACGAGTCTCCACGCATTGCAAATATCCGCGACTGTAGGATCCAGCTGGATGCCTTGTCCACGGCGCTCTTCGCATTGCTAAAGATGTTCTGGCACAACCCTAGCGCCGGGTCGAAGAACCCTTGGTACCAGTAACACTCTGCCGAACGGGAAAAGACGTTCAGAGTTTCTCGATAGTAGACATCAGGCAGAGTTTCGTCCCAGGGGTTTTCTTGAAGCAAGTTGAAGCACCGCGTATAGTAGAACAAGCCGGTCGAGCGAGCTCCGGCTTCGCAAGCATTCTCAGCTGCTTGCTGAAGGGCGGACCGATACAACGCACGATTCTGAACCCTGCTCTTGATAAGGTCTGCGGCACAAGCGACATGCCGGGCTCTGACGAAGAGAGATTTCGCACTGGTCGTAGTGTTGTCTTGGAATTCATGCTCGATCATAGTCTTGGCAATTGCAAAGTGCATCTCTGTTTGGTTGAAGTTTTCGTTCTCAATAAGGGCCTGAGCGGCCTGCATGTATCGGTCATGCGAGAACCGGAACCGGTCTTCGTCCTCACCTGCCATGATGATGTAGGAAGCCATTGCCCCGTCGATGCCCTCGATTGGGTCTCTTTGGGTTGTGGGCAGGCCCCTTGCATTGCCAGCGTGCTCGCCTTGCATCAGTCGCTTCACAATAGAGAACGAGAACGTGCTTCCGATCAAGGATGCCCAGACCAAAAGGCAGCGCGTTACGGAAGGTAATTCTTGCAGCCGTTTTACGACAAAATCGTTGTTGATACGAGAGCCATAAGCGGTCGATTTGAATTCGGCAAAAACCCTGTCGAGATCATACTGCCATGCAGAGTCTTTCCACGAATAATGGATACACTTTTTGCGGTAGCAAGTGTCGAGCATCTCTCTTACGAAGAATGGACTTCCGCCCGTCTTCTCTTGTATTGTTGCAACCAAGGGCAAGCAATATCCCGGATCTCTGTGTAAGGTCTCGCCAACGAACTCGGCGGTTTGTACTTCGGTAAAAGGCTGCAACACAATCCTGCGCAAGCTGGAGTTACTTCAAAGATCAACCAATTTTGCAACAGAAGGGGGAGAAATCAGGCGTGCGGGATATACATACTGTGTGGCTTGTTCCAGGACGTTTCGAATGCCAGGCGATAATTGCCCCTCTTCGCGATACGTCAATATTAGAACAAGTGGAAGCCTGTTGCTGACAATGGACTGGATCAGCTCTAGACTCTCCTCATCTGCGAATTGAAGATCATCAACGCAGAAGCAAATGGATTGCTGCCTAGCCAACATCTTCAAAACTTCCAGGAACGTGCTCATCACGCGCGAGGCGTTTCGTCCAGTTACGGATGCTGAGAAAGTAGGATATGATAATGGCTGGACCGGAAGTTCCGGTGTGGGCTGATTGATTGTGCCGAGCAACCATTCGGGAAGGTCCAAATAGCCATGTAAAATATGCCAGACTGGCTGGACATGAGCCCTCACATTGTTGTGAAACTCGGTGGAGATGTTCGACTCTGAGAAGATCTGGCGGAAAAGAGAAGACATGAGTCGCAATATGGGGTCAAATGGAGCTCGCTTCGCTTGATCAAACTATCAGAACATCAAGTCAGTTATCCAACATGATGCAACGGGCGAAGCCGCATGCTGGAGAGGAGGCGCAGCATGCAGTGCGCGCATGTCATGGTGGGTCATGTGCACTGTAGGGGGTTGGACTTACCTTTGATGTTGCAAAATAAAATCCACGACTGCGGACGACAGTCTGGACCGACTGAATCAAGCTGGACTTTCCGTAACCTCCAGCCCCAGCTATCGCGATCACCTCACAGTGGGTTCTTCTCTTCATGCGGTGGTGGTTCCTGAGATGCTCCGCAGGATCATCGACCGGGGGCTGAACAGAAGATGTTCGACGAGCGACCGAAATATCTGTGGTGTAGGATGGAAGGCTGTCCGTAGACGGCCGATGCTCTCCTTCAACGAGCGAAGATTCTGAATTGTTTCTTGGTGTCCGTGACTCGTTACGTTGATGAGAACTAGTCGAGCTCGCGCTCTCAGATCGGACGTCAGCTAGGTCATCTACGAAAATCGCTTCTGGTTTGACCGAGCTCAACGATGACGAGGCGGAGCTAAAACTATACATGCTCTTCTTGACAGAAGGATGCTGATTTCTAGATACCTTGTCGATGATGTCGAGAATGATCTGCCTTTCATTGTCACGTCCAATGAGGCGCGTGGGGAGGGCAAAAAAGCTAGATACGTCCTTGGAAGCAACCTTGAATTCCTTCAAGGCGCCTCCGTCTCCTTCGGACAGAATCGTGCTCATGGCGTGCAAGTCATATTTCAGTCCGGAAATCGAGTTGTACCGCTCCTCGATGTTCTTCGCCGTCATTTTGGAGATGACGGCGGAAAGGGCTTCGGGTACATCGGCTCTCTTCAGGTAGACCGGGGGTATACGGCGCGACAACACACTCTGCATTATTTCGAGTGGTTTATCACCCTCAAATGCCGGTTCTCCCGTGAGCATTGTCTGCGTGGACGTTAGTCGGGCACTCGAAAACAAAGGCATCGACATGGCAGATATCTTACCCAGAACAAAATGCCTAGACTGTAGATGTCCGTTCTCGTATCTGGTTCTGCCGGAAGACGCCCGGTTTGCTCGGGAGCTATAAATTGCAGCTTGTGTTCTACGCCTATCTCACGACTGAGCGTGCTCCAACCGGCTGACGTCAGCCCATTCTCAAAACTCCTGGCGCCAGAGCCAAAGTTGAGCATGCGCACTTGGCCCGTCTCTTGGTTGAAATGGAATGCGTCCCCCCGGATTTCGCCGTGTACCAACTTCTTCTCGTTGTGCAGCACCTCGAGAGAGTCAACCGCCCCCAAGGCGAACTGCATAAAGAGCTGCAATGGTATCTGGATGGACCGCTTCCCCCCGCCCCCATCTTGCATTTTCCATCTTGCGAGCTTGTAGAAGGCAGGGCCAACGTCGACGAGGTCCCGAATGTAGTTGGGCCCGGGGGACTCGAATATCGAGATGATCAGGCCGTCGGCGCCCTGGCGGGCAGGCAGACGGACAAGCTCGATGGGGCGGACAAAGTGGTGGCAGTCGGGGTCGCATTCGCCCACGATGGCTTTGGCCAGCTGGAACTCGCGTTCGAGGCGCAGGATGTGGCTCGAGACGCGCGCGATGACGTGCCGGCCGGACCCGGCGGCGTGGGCGAACGAGGTGGCGCTGGCCTCGCTGTTGGAGGAGCGATGCGTCTTTCTCAGCGGCGGGCGGCCGTCGGCGGCGCGCGAGAAGCTCTGCGAGGTGGCGGCGCGGTTGATGGAGTTGGTAGGGGGCCTGGTGTTGTGCTGGACGCCGAAAAAGTGCCAGTTGTCGTAGGACTGTGTCGGAGGGTCAGCGGGGCGCGCGGTCGCGTGGGGAGAAAGAAGAAGTCGACGCACGCTATGGAAGGGCTCGGTGTCAGCGTCCCAGGTGTAGCCAGGCAGTTCGGCGAGGCGCAAGAGCACCTGGTGGGCAACCCTGGCCTCGGGCGTGGCATCTTCGTCCATGATGGGGGGGGTTCGCAAGCTAGCACATAGCGGGCGGCATGTGGCAAGACAATTGGGAAGAGAGGGGGTGGTTGATGGGCCAGAGGATGGAGAAAGACGCAGGCGTACCCGCTAATCCAGCTTGGCGTGCCTTCTCACCAACGTCACCCTGCTCGGAGCCTAGGTTGACGATCTGCCCGTCGAGCTCGAGAATCTCCACAACGCTCCATTACTCGCCCGAAAGCACATGCCCTGAGGCCCGCCGAGGCTTCAGCCCACCGCCCAATGCACCACCATGGATGAGCCCGGCTTCCAGCATGCGCGCCCGCTGCCCGCCGATCTGCCTACGTCGCTCGACGACCGCAAGACCGTACCCGTGATAGGCGGCGAGACGGAGATGTACGACGCTTGGCAGGGTGCGCGCTGTCAGGCCTCTCCTTTCGCATCCTCACGCGGCTAACCCGTGGACAGGCCAGTCGCAGTTCATCTCCAACCCGCCCACCAAGCCCCTCGGCTTCAACCTCGACCTCGACGAGCCCCAAGACCAAGACCTCCAGGACAGCGAAGACAAGCTGGTCCACATGCTCGAGCGCCAAGCCCAGATCAAGAGCGACAACATGAACACCGCCAGCGAGGACGCCATTGTCAACGACGAAAAGCTGTCTGACGACCAGAAAAGGGAAACCCTCCAGGGCTCCCTCAACTTGGCCGCTTCCAATGGCGACGTCGAGGCCATAGAACGCATCGTCTCCGGCTCCGCAAAGGACTACGTCGACGTCAACGCCCCCGACTCCGAGGGCACACCGCCCTTGATCTATGCCAGCTGCTTCGGCCACGAGCAGGTCGTCGAGGCCCTGCTGAACGCGGGTGCCAACGTCGACACGCAGGACCGGAACCGCTGGACCCCCCTCATGTGGGCCATGACCAACCGCCACAAAGCCATTGCAAAATTGCTGCTGGACAAGGGTGCACAGCCAGAGCTGGAGACGTCTACAGGTAGGACTGCCTTTGATTTTGTGACTCCCAACAGTGACCTCTCAGAATACCTGCACGAGAGCGGATACAGCATCGGTAACGCAGGGGTCGCCGATGATTTTTATAACGAGGGCTTTGCCCAAGACCGCTTCGAGGAGGAGATGGCCGAGAACGAGTTGAGGCGCCGGATGATGATGGAAAGCGCAATCAACCTAGAAGTGGACTTGGGCAATCTCGGACTCGATGAGCAATCGGAGGTAAGCGCCGTTGCCGCAGGCCATGCGCTCACCAACTAATTCTCTCAGGAACCCGAAGAAGATTTCGGAGACGAGCACGAATTCAGATGGGACACGTGCCTCAATGACCAGATGTTTGTCTTCCAAGAGAACGAACTCGACCGGATACTCGACATTGTTATCACCAACATGACCCCTATGCGTTCCCCCACCCAAAAGCCAGTTCCGGCAAACATTCTGTTCCTGGGCGCCCGCTACGCTCATTACCACGCCAGCCCAGAGTTGCTTGAGAAACTGCTCATCTCAGCCATGGACAAGATTAATGACGTTGTCGAGAAGCATCAATGGGACATGACCATCTTGGCCTTCTGGATCTCCAACGCCACTCTTCTGCTCCACTACCTCAAGAAGGACGCGGGGACTGTCGAGGCAACCACGGAGTTCCAAGCCGAATTGGCCGAACTCATCAACGAGATTTTCATCCTGATCATTCGCGACGCCGAGCGCAGAATGGACAAGGTGCTCGACACCGCCATGCTGGACCATGAGACGATCCCTGGATTCGAGGACGTGACTTTCCAGCATGAGTGGAAGATTTTCAAGACAAAATCGAAGCCCAAAGCGCCGGAACCCATCGAGAAACGCTTCCGCCCTCCCTCGCCGAAGCGGAGGGCCCAGGTGTCGCCTCGTAACATCACCTCTCTCCTCTCGTCAACTCTCTTCGTGCTCGACCTGTACGACATTCACTCGGTCATCACCGCTCAGATCTTGTCACAGCTCCTCTATTGGTTGGGCGCGGAGCTGTTCAACCGTATCATGTCAAATCGCAAATATCTTGCCCGCACCAAGGCCATGCAGATCCGCATGAACGTGTCAACTATTGAGGACTGGGCCCGAACCAACAACCGGCAGCCGGAGCACTACGAAAATGGTGCCATGACAGCGACGGGCGAAAACACGATGGATGCGGCGCGGCGGCACGTGGCACCGGTGGTGCAGTTGCTGCAATGGCTGCAATGTTTCTCGTCACTGGGCGAGGATGTGGAGTCACTCAAGGCAACGCTCGAGCAGCTACCACGGCTGACGCCGCAGCAGGCCAACCACACGGTCAAGTATTACCGGCCAGAGGTGGGAGAGAAGAGCTTGCCAAAGCCGGCAATCAAGTTCCTGATGGACCGGGAGAAGGAGGCAGCAGACCGACGCCTGTCGAAGCAGTCGCGCAAGTCGCTGCCCCCGCTGCCGTCACAGTCGTCACAGTCGGCACAGGGCTCGGACAGCGCACCCAGCACACCAGCGCAGGAGCACCCGCCCATGTCGCCGACGTTTGGGACGCCAGCCACTGTCCCACCGAATCTGTTCCGTGTCGAAGAGGACGAGGAAGACGAGCCCGAGGGTCTGTTGCTCGACCCGGCGTTTATGCTGCCGTTCAGCTTGCCCACCAGCACCGACATGCTCGTCACCTACGGCGCCGGCTTTGGCGGCACGAACCGCGAGCGCGAGCGCAAGTACATCCCGACGGTGCCACCCGAGTTCCTGTCCAAGCTGGACATTAGCGGCGGAAAGGGCATCGGGAATATTTACGATGGCGCTGTGTGGAGCGATGATGGGTCGAACGCTTGATCTGTCATGATGTTGTTGGACTCTGAGGAGTGTGGGCTCTGGAGGGTACTTGTGTACGGCTCCAGGTCGGCGAGGTTGGAGAAGAGGGGAGGAGAAAGGGGATGAATGGAGGATGAAGAATGGATGGACAGATGGATGGATGACGGATGAACGACGACGACAGGCGACGGACGATGACGGGATGACAGATAAGGGACAGACGACTAGACGGGCCAAACGCATTCGTTTGATTTTTATGTGTGTGCGCATTCATGGAGAAGGAAGGATGGCTGTTGTGTGGGTTTGCTGTGGTTGGTTAGATCTGCGTGCGCATCGTCTCGGAGTGGGGGTCGGAGGAGGTAGGTTGTACGGGAACGCAATGTATCACGAAGGCGAATATGATTATGCTTCACGGGTGTTTTTGTGTGCTTATTTACTGGTATTTTCTTTCACTTGTGCCGTTTGTTCGTCAACCAGTCCGTCAAATGTTCGTGGTTGAGTTCTTGCCTTCCTGTCTACCTAGCTAGGTAGTTCATCTCTACTGATTCACCTAACTTTAAATATGCTCTAGACGATTCTTCATGAGCCTACGCCCTGCTTACGCGCTACAAGCAGCATGGCCAGTTTTGGATCTAGCACGCTTGTTGGCTAGACGCCCTGGTAGAAGGTACGTCGACTAAGTCAACATTTCATGAAAACGACTGACTTCTCACCTGTCACCGTTCTCTTCGGAGCTTCGGAAGAGGTTGAGCATGATGTGTACCTACATGGTGATGGTAGTGACGGTGGTGATGAACTCCATCCAAGCGGTTCTGTGATGAAAATTGCATGGACATGACGAGGCCTTCACCGTGCTGCGAAATTGTTAGCCCCAAGTACCCACGACACTATTCCTGCCGTTGTGAACAGGTTGTGATCAGCCTGCTTGGGGTGCAGTTGGCACCACCTAGACTGACATGCATCCGGAATGTGAGCATCACGACGTTTCGTTGCTTTTGATGTATTGGCTGAAGCTTTCTCTTCTTTTTTGATTACGTTGTGTAAGTCAACGTGAGCTCTCGGCTCCATCGCCGCCGCCGCCGCCGTTGCCGTTGCCGACTCCACCCCCCACATCCCACGTGCCCCGCTCCCGCTCCCGGCTAGCGCCGCTTCCGACGACGACGACAACAAAGGTAAGTAGTAGGGAGTATACGTATACGCATACGCGATAGGTGTGAGGTGGCTAGGTAGGTGGGTGGGTGGGGAAGGACAGGGAAGGAGAAGACAGGTCAGGTCAGGCGAGGCTCAGCAGGTTGTTACATACGCCCGGCAAGGCGGCGCTATCGCCGAGCGACTGTTGTATGTACAGTACCTAGCCACGGCGTGGATAGATAGACAGACCGACAGCCAGCCCGATAGACCGATAGGAGATCGGTAGTTTGTACTGCGGTAGTTAGGCAAGCCAGGCCAGGTGGGGTAAGGTACTGTAGCACGGTAGGTCTGTATCTATGTCAGGGCGATGTCATGCAGCGAATTGAATTGAGCCGGCGGCGGACGGACGGGTGTATGCGTACCTACCTACAGTAAGTATATAGATAGTGAGTGAGTGCTTTCTCCCGGTTTTTATTTTCAGGCGCGCGGGGTGCTGCACCGTACTAGACGACGGAAGTGCTGCATGTGTATATACGTATACGTACATATACTTACTTACATACTTACAGCTGGTATAAACCTGCTGGCTGCTTGGCTGGTAGGGTAGCTCTGTGTGCTATATATATTTTATATATACACGCCTAGTCGGACGGATAGACAGACAGCCAGACAGACAGCCAGACAGACAGAAAGAAAGACAGAAAGACAACCACACCACCGCAACCATGTCCGTCCACACCAACACCAACAACACCGATATCGAAAAGCCGCCCCTCCCCCCAACCACACCCCCACCACCACCCACACCGACCCTCGGCACCGTCACCACCACCACCAACCAAGCGCCCCCCACGCAGCAGCACCAGCTCCTCGCACACAGCCACGACGCCGACGCCGCCCTCGCCGCCATCACCGCCGCCCAAGCCGACAACCCCAATGCCGCCGTCTCAGCTGGCGCCGAGCTCGACGCGCCGACCCAGCGCCGCCTGCTGCGCCGCATCGACGCGCGCTTGATGCCCCTGCTGTGCGTCGTCTACGGCCTGAACTATCTGGACAAGACGACGCTGAGCTATGCCTCTATCATGGGCATCAAGGCCGACCTTGACCTGAGCGGCGACGAGTACAGCTGGCTGGGGAGCGTGTTTTATTTCGTAGGTCGAGCTTTTGCTTCCCTTTCCTCGCAGAAGTAGAAAAAAAAGGGGAAGAGGCGGAGTGAGAAGAAGACATACTGACAGTCTACCACCAGGGCTACCTCGTCTGGGAATACCCCACCAACCGGCTGCTCCAACGCCTCCCCCTAGGAAAATACTCGGCCTTCAACATCCTCGCCTGGGGCATCGTGCTGACGAGCTTCGCAAGCGTCACCAGCTTCGCCGGCGCCCTCATCGTGCGCTTCTTCCTGGGCGTCTTCGAAGCCGCCGTCACGCCCGGCTTCGCCCTCTGCACCAGCCAATGGTACACGCGCAGCGAGCAAGGCACCCGCACCGGCATCTGGTTCAGCTTCAACGGCGCGGCGCAAATCGTCGGCGGCCTGCTAGCCTACGGCATCGCGCGCGGCGCGGCCGCCCACGGCGCCGCCATCGCCCCCTGGAAGATCATCTTTCTGGCGACGGGCCTGCTGACGACCGCCACCGGCGCCGTCTTCCTCTTCGTCGTGCCCGACAGCCCGCTGAACGCGCGCTGGCTCGCCCCCGCCGACCGCGTCAACGTCCTCCTCCGCATCCGCGGCAACCAGCAGGGCGTCGGAAACCCGCACTGGAAGGCGTACCAGGTGCGCGAGGCGCTGCTGGACCCGCTGACGTGGGCGTTTTTCGCCTACGCCCTCGTCGCCGACATCCCCAATGGCGGCCTCACCAACTTCTTCTCTATGCTCATTTCCTCGTTCGGCTACACGCCCGAGCAGTCGCTGCTGCTGGGCTGCCCGGCCGGCGCCTTCGAGATCGTCGCCCTGCTGCTGGCCGGCTGGCTCGGCGACCGCTTCGGCAACCGCCTCCTCATCTCGACTTCCGGCCTGCTCTTCTCCATCTTCGGCATGGCGCTCGTCGTCGGCTTGCCTGAGAGCATGAACGTCGGCCGCTTGGTCGGCTACTACCTGACGCAGACGTCGCCGACGCCGTTTGTCGCGCTGCTCTCGCTCATCTCCACCAACGTCGCGGGCTACACCAAGAAGACGACCGTCGCTGCGCTCTTTCTGATTGGGTATTGCGCTGGCAATATCATCGGGCCTCAGACGTTCCGCGGCGACAATTACGTCCCCGCAGAGATTACTATCCTCGTGTGCTACGCCGTCGGGTTAGGCATCATCTTGTTCATATACGCGTACTGCAAGCACATGAACAGGAAGAAGGCAGCCATCCGCGCCCAGCCGCACTACGTCAAGCTGGAGAACCAGGAGTGCGTCTCCCTCTTTCCATCAGTGTCTATTTCCCCTCAGCCCTTGCGCCCGTGACTGACGAAAACGCGATCCGCAGATGGCTCGACTTGACGGATCGAGAAAACCCCGAGTTCGTGTACACGCTGTAGGAGAGCAGGAGCCTAGTCTGCACATGGCATGCCATGGCGTGAGTGAGTAGAAAAACCAGCGTCACCAAGTAAAAAGAAAAGGAGAAAGGCAAACCTAGCACGACCTTTGCAATCTCTTTCGTTCGTTCGTGAGCGAGCGAGCGCACCCCGACCCTATCCCGAGCCTTACTAATAAATGAATGGCCCGGCCTGACGAGCCGCTCCTGGTCAATCACCTGGCACGCCAGGATGCGCATCCTGTCGGGCGGACGGCGCACCCCGATCGCGATGCCCATGACCCCGCATGCGCTGCTGACGGCGGCCCGCCCGCAAACGTTCCGGCAGGATTCGATGGCTTGTCGTCTTTGTGCACCAAACGCCACGCGACGTGGCGGCTAGCGGCAGAGCGGAAAGGATTCGTGCTTATGTGTGATTAAGTAGTGAGTGGCTTCTGGGGGATCGGCCGGGTAGGCAGTAAGGTTTTTTGGACGACGGCTTACTGAGCCTGCTTGAGGAACAGAGTAAAAGGTCAGGCGGGGCGCGCCCAGTGCTGGCCAGGTGATTATGCCCGGTGCTTCGCGTTGGGGTGCTGTCTCCCCGCTGCTGCTGCCACTCTGCATCGATACCAGCCAACTGCAGCATCGGCACCGCCAGCAGGCATGCGCGCCCGAGTGTACGTCGTACGGAACCTTGCTAGCCAACGGTATAGCAAAAAGACTGTGCTTAATTTCCTCGGTCTTTGTCGTATCCGATGGTCCGCTTGAAAAGGGAAGAGAATAGCAAGTTGCTAGCAACCCTGCGCGCATGCATACCGCTAGCCGCGTGAGGTCGTCGTTGTGCTACCTGTCTACGCGTTTCGTCCTGTATCGAGGATGCCGCATGTCCTCGGGCACCACAATCCTTAGCACCGCAAAAGTCCGCATTGATAATTGGTACGGATTACATCGGCCACACCGAAGTCGTACGCAAGCCTCCTCGGCATCAAATGGATATCCCGAAGTGGCACGCCAGACATGCTTGTGTCCCCGCAATGCTATGTTTACGGAAATAACCTGTGCATATATCGGTGCCGTCGGCCTTGACAACCCCTTCTCTCGGCCGATCGGCCTTTTTCACGGTCCGTACACCAACCAGGCCACCAAGGCCAAACGCGGAGCAGATTGCGAGCGTCGGAGCGCAAAGTCCCCACCACCACCACTGTCCATCATATGCAAGTAGTAACTAACTACTTGTAGCACATTGGCAGCAAGCAGCGAAACGACCACCCACCACCGCATCGATCCCCGTGCTCTTGCCTACCAATCAGTATCACAGCGTGGGTAGGGCTGGCTATACGTCCGCATCCACCCAGACGGCCAGCGGGCGGCGTGCCTGCGTGTCTCAACCAGTAACCAATGGTCGGGGAGTAGTTATCCCGCTTCTTTGTAGCGTAGCACTCCAAATGACGCCATAGAACGGCATGTGCTTCCAGTAAATTAGCAGACGTTACTACGTAGACCGATGCAGGGAGCACCATATCGCCACGCCGAGACCTGCTCAAGTTATGAATGGGTGGAGGCGCTCGGAGTTGGAAAGCCCCGGATATCCGTGGACATGGATAGGGGTACTTGTGCAGGCCCAGGACGATGGATCGGAAACTTGCTAGCCAAGCGGGGGAGGGGCATAGAAGCATACATAGTTGTATGCATATATGCCCGCTGCTGCTTCTTCGTTTTGACATTCATCCCACAACTTCAACAGTGAACAATATTTTCCAATGGAGATTCTTGAGGGCAGTAATACTCTCGGCGTTCTAGTCACCTCCAGGGTGCTTGGATGGGTGTTGGCTATCGTAAGGACGTCAGCAAATGTAGAGCGACGCAATATACTTACCATCTAGCGCAGACAATTGCCTATTATGTCGGCATGGGCATCTACAACATCTTCTTCCATCCCCTGCGCCGCTTCCCCGGACCCAAGTTGTACGCCGCAAGCCGAATCCCCTACTCCATCGACACGGCCCGGGGAACAATGGTCTCGACCATCGACGCCGCGCACAAAAAGTACGGAGACGTAGTCCGCATCGCGCCAGACGAGCTCTCCTTCATCAGCGAGAAGGCCTGGCAAGACATTTACGGCTTCCGTGGCCAGAGGAAGCCCGAGATGGTCAAGGACCGGACCTGGTATGCCGCTCCGCCCAACGGGGTCCATTCCATAATCACGGCGGCCAGGGAAGACCACGCGCGTGTGAGGCGCGTCTTTTCCCATGCTTTCTCCGACAAGGCGTTGAAAGAACAGGAGCCGCTTGTCCAGGGTTACTTCGACACCCTCATCAGACTTCTACATGAGAAGGCCGAAAAGGGCGTAATCGCAGACATGGTCCGGTACTATAATTTTACCACATTTGATATCATTGGTGATTTTACCCTCGGAGAGTCTTTTGGCTGCCTCGAAAAAGACAACTACCACACCTGGGTCGCGGCTATCTTCGCCTCGCTCAGAGTAGGAGCTTATCTGAATGCTATACGATACCATAAGGCGCTACAGGCGCTTTACACGGCCACTCTTCCAAGATTTCTGGAAGAAAAGCGAATGGCCTTCTTTAAATTTGCCGAGGAAAGAGTCCATAGGCGCTTGAAAGTCGAGACCGACAGACCGGATTTGGTCACGCTGTATCAACGCACGCCCGAAAGCAGAGAGCTCACTGTGAAAGAGCTTGAATCAACCTCACAGACGCTTCTTATTGCCGGGAGCGAAACCACGGCAACGATGCTTTCCGGCACGACGTACCTGCTGCTGAAACATCCGGAGATAATGAAGAAACTGGTCGCTGAGATCCGCGAGACGTTCAGTAGCCAGGACGAAATCACCATTGCACGGGTGAGCACCATGCCGTATCTGCTAGCCGTTCTCAGTGAGAGTTTGCGGTACTACCCCCCGGTTCCGACCGGATTCCCTCGTGTGGTTCCAGAGGGAGGCGAGAGCATCAGCGGACATTACGTGCCCGAGAAGGTTGGTCCAAGAATTCCGGAGGTCGTTTGATGAAGTACTAACGCTGTCCAGACCTCGGTGTACGTATCGCAGTGGTCAGCCAATCACAGCCCTACCAACTTTGTTGATCCCGACTCTTTCCTCCCCGAACGCTGGCTGGGCAAGGATCCTCGGTTCGTGAACGACAAAAAGGGCGTCTACAACCCTTTTTCGCACGGCCCCAGAAACTGTATCGGCAAGAAGTGAGTCTGCCCCGGTGCGAGGACAATAGAGATGTGCATGCTGACGTTTGCAGTCTTGCCTATGCCGAGATGCGAGTCATACTGGCCAAGGTGCTTTGGAATTTTGACATGGAGCTGTGCGACGACAAGACGGATTGGTTCGACCAGAAGGTTTTCAGACTTTGGGAGAAGCCGGCGTTGAATGTCAGACTCACGGCGAGGAGGTTGTAAAGTGGACGGAAGTAAGCGGGACTAAGTAGGGCAAGAGCCTCGACCGGGCCGTGGACCGACGGCCGACCCGGAGGCGAGGTTCTGCCGGTATCGATATCTAAAGGCCATCTGGCACGCCTCGACAGCTGTTGTCCGTGTATCATCGTGTCTCCTATGCCCAATTGCTTGGAGCTTGTCCCTTTTTCATTCACGTAATGCTGCCCTTTGACTAGCCCTGCTAAATCCTTGATCTCTCTCCTAAACCTCCCCTCAAACAAGCCGCGCCCCGCGCGCAAACATGCTCTTTTTCAGCGCGCTGCTGCTGCTATGCGCCCTGCCCCTCCTGGTGCTATGCGCTGAAGACTACTACAAGGTATGCCTTGGACTACCGGCAGGCTAGTGGCATTCTTACTGACAGGTGCTAGCTCCTCGGCATCGACAGAGATGCCTCAGACCGCGAGATCAAAAAGGCCTACCGCACGCTGAGCAAGAAGTTCCACCCGGACAAGAACCCGTACGTACCCACCGGCACGCACCCTCTCCAGCTCCACGAAACCCAAGCAGCTAACGCGGCCATTCACACACAACAGCGATGACAAGGACGCCTCGGAGCGCTTCGTCGCCGTGGCCGAAGCGTACGACGCGCTAATCGACCCGGAGACGCGCAAGATCTACGACCAGTACGGCCACGACGGGCTAGCGAAGCACAAGCAAGGCGGCGGGCACCCCGGGCACCACCACGACCCCTTCGACCTGTTCTCGCGCTTCTTCGGCGGCAGCGGCCACTTTGGGCACGGCGGCGAGCGCCGCGGCCCCAACACCGAGGTGCGCCTGACCGTGCCGCTGCGCGACTTCTACAACGGCGCAGAGGTGCAGTTCACCATGGAGCGGCAGGCCATCTGCGACGCGTGTGAGGGCTCGGGCTCGGCCGACGGCGTCGTCGACACCTGCGACGTCTGCGGCGGCCGCGGCTTCCGCGTCCAGAAGCACATGCTCGCGCCCGGTATCTTCCAGCAGGTCCAGGGCCCCTGCGATGCCTGCGGTGGCAAGGGCAAGCAGGTCCGCCATGCCTGCAAGGTCTGCGGCGGCTCGCGCGTCGTTCAGGAGCATGAGACCCACACTGTTCATGTCGAGCGCGGCATGCCCAAGGGCGCGCGCATCACGTTCGAGAACGAGGCCGACGAGAGCCCTGACTGGGTGGCCGGCGACCTTGTTGTGCAGCTCATTGAGAAGGACCCCCAGCTCGGCGATGACGACGCCACCCGCACCGACGGCTCTTTCTTCCGCCGCAAGGGCGACGATCTTTTCTGGCGCGAGGTGCTCAGCTTGCGGGAGGCATGGATGGGCGATTGGACGCGAAACATCTCGCACCTGGACGGCCACGTCGTGCGGCTGGGCCGCAAGAGGGGGCAGGTTGTGCAGCCGAACGCGGTCGAGATTGTCAAGGGCGAGGGCATGCCGATTTGGGATCGCGAGTCCGACCAGCTGAAGTTTGGCGCCCTGCACGTCGAGTACGTCGTCGTGCTGCCCGACCAGATGGACAAGAGCATGGAAAAGGAATTCTGGGGCGTGTGGGACAAGTGGCGGATGAAGAAGGGCGTGGACCTGCTCAAGGACAGTGGCAGACCGAGCCCGCATGACGAGCTATAGACGACGTTACAGGCGTTTGCCGAGTTGATATACCCTTGGGAGTTGACAACAAGTGCACTTTTGAATTGTAATCTTCGCGGCCCTCACAAGCCATTCTCCAAGAGCAAGCGCCGCAGGAAATTCATTTTGGTGTTTTCGTAAAGGTCATTATGTGGTCATAACCCCGTCCCATTCCCATCTGATACGCAAGCAGGCCAGTCTCGCTCACAAAACATACCTGAACATGGGCCCGTAGTTCTCCAAGGCCTGCGGTTGCGCCGCACCTTTAGCGTCACCCTCGTTCTCCAACCTCGCCCGCTGCTCCTCCACAGTCCCATACTTACGATCCAGGCGCTTATTCTCCCACACGAGCAGCAACCGCAAGCCCAGCACCAGCAGCGTAGTAAAGAACATAAACGCCGCGCAGACAGCCTGGCCCTTGATATAGCGCGGGCCCTCGCCCTCAGGGTACAGCCGCGTGCCGAGCAACGGGCCGCACTGGCCGACGATGTTAAGCATGACGAAGCCGACGCCGCGGCGCGTGTCGCTGCCCTGGTTGTTGCTGACCCAGGGCAGGATGTTCGCGATAGCGGGGAAGATGCCTGCGGCGGCGAGGAAGACGCCCGCATAGCGCGGGCCCACGCCCGTCGTTGTCGCGAGCAGAATGTACCCGATGCCGCCGAGGGTGGTGAGGGCCATGAGCATGTACGCGCGCTGCTGCGTGCGGTCCGCGACGTACGAGGTCAGGATGGTGAGGAGGAAGGCGAGGAAGTACGGCGGTGCGGTGAGGCCCTGTGCGTTGATGGCCGTGAAGCCCACTGTGGCGAGGCGTGTGTGATTAGAGCGGGGCTCGGATGCAAAGAGTCGGACGAGTGGAGTGAGTGACTTACTCTCTTCGAGAATGGTGGGCAGGAAAACTGGCAGTGAGGAGAAGCTGACGTTGCAGGAGAAGTACATCAGTGCGGTGAACCAACACTTGACGTCAATCAGCGCCGCGCCCACGTCCCTCCAGTCGATCCCGCCTATCCGTTTCTCAGCCTCGACGCCAGTTTGCCGCACGCCTCGCGCTCGGGCTACGATCTTCTCGTCTTCGTCCAGGAACCGTGCCTTTTCTGGCGCATCGGGCAGGAAGAACCAGCACACTGCAGCCATTGCAACGGTCGGAAGTCCCTCCACGAGGAAGAGCATCCGCCAGTTCTCAATGGCCGCGTGCTTGGCGCCCGTAATTCCGTACGCTAGCGCTCCAGCGAAGGTGTTGGCCAACGGCGCGGCGGAAAGGAAGATGCCTTGCCTGAGGCCAATTTCTCGGCGAAGGTAGAAAAAACTCAGGAGATACGGGATGCCCGGACCGTAGCCGGCTTCGAAAACGCCCATCAGGAAGCGGAGCGCCATCATGCCCTCCCAGTTCTTCGTCGCTGCCTGTACGCTTGAAACAAGGCCCCTAGGCGACAGTTAGCTGCTTTGTTCGCGATATGTTTGTTAGTTTGTGTGGGAAATACATACCAGCCAAACACGCAGAATGCAGCCCACATGTGCGGCGGTACGATCTTCCACATCATGGCCTGGAACTCAAAGACGATGTACGAGATATAGAACACCGTCAAGAGCCATTCATAATCGCCGCTGTTAAAGTGTAGGTCCTTGACCATGCCCGCGATTTTTGCATTCCTACCGAGTCGAATCAGCTCATGTCCAGTGTTACTTTGTCGACGAAAACGTACCCGATGTTTGAGCGGTCGAGGAAGGCCAGGAGATCTGTTCATTGTTAGTGGAGTTTTGCAGTCAGTATGTCATGCCATACATAGTGCCATAACGAGAGGTAAGACATGGCGGTCCAGCTTCCTCACAACCCTCTTCTCCAAAACCGGATCGATATGCGCAGAATCGAGACCAGACTGTTCGATTTGGAGTTCCTGCGCCTTCTCGGTATCGATCGTTTGGTCTGGCGCAGACATTGTGACTGAGTTTGTTGAAAAACGCAGTGAAAAAGAGTGGTAGTAGAGCGAAGTTATATACTAAGCGACGCCTTGGATTTTTGGCTGCCGCGGGGTAAGGATTGGAGGGGTTGCAGCGGGACTGCAGATGACGGTAGTTGAGCGCGGAAAATAAAGCCCGTCGGCGGCACTGGTGGCACTGCGTGAAGATCTCCACAAGCCACTCACTTCCTTGCTTCGCGCGCGCGAATGGATGTCGAGTTTGTGGTGACGAAATCCCGGCCAAGCAGGTGCCCAGAAAGTCTTAGCACACCAAGCATTTCCCCGCGGCGCGCCTTCCGGGTAGCGAACAGATCGCACGGCGCCCTTTTTGTGGAGACTCCCATGTAACCGGTGTGGATCTGATCTTAGAACTTGGCCAATCTTTCCGCCTGCTTATCATGGTTTAGTTGACTATCGAACGCGCCGGTCCGACACCCCGCATTGTCTTGAATTTATTAGTGGTTGGGATTCACGCACAATCGCTTGCCGACGTGGCACGGCCAGACTTCCCTCTTTTGACATGTTGAATTGCTACTTATCAGCCGTCTGTGGAGTTCAGACCTACCGACGCTTCATGCCGGCCCGTCTACGACGCTTCTCTCCAACAGCGCTATCTCTTTCGCCTGCGCGTTCATCTCGTTGATGCTATCCTCCGCTGCGTTGTACTTTTTGAAGGTCTTCCAAAAAACACCTGCCGCAACGAGGCAACCGACAGCTAGTCCACTGTACATCCAAACGAGCTCTGGATCCCGCGCGAACGGCGAAATGAGCATACCAAGCATGGCACCGAACGCATTGGTCAGCAGGAAGAGCGACATGATGAACGACTTCATCGACGGCGGTGCCTTTGTGAACGCGTACTCCAACCCTGTCACCGACGCTAGTATCTCCGAGAAGGCGAGAAATAGATAAGCGGGCGCCTGAAAAGCCACGTGGACATGGTTGGATTCATAGCTGCCGTTTGGTCTTAGACCGGCTGCGCAGTGGGACGGTGCGTTGAAGCAGGGTGCGCTCGAATAGATCAGGTGCTGAAGGTACGCAGCATAAGCCATCCCCATGGCAGCAAATACGAAGCCGAAGGTGATGCGGGTTATCGGCTTCATCGGGAAACCAAGCTTGCGTAGCCACGGATAGATGTACCTGTCCATGATGGGTATGAAGATGACGACTATGATGGCATCAAGGTTCGGCATAACATCGTTCGGTATGCCGTGGAGCTGCATTTGGCCAGCTGCAAGAAAATGTGAGCCAAAAAAACATTGCGTGATAACGACTGACCGGGATCCTACCCTGTGAAACAAAATTGTTTGACATCTGATTGAAGGCTGCCCAAAAAACGGGGAAAAAAGCGAAGACCTTGCAAGCCATGAGAGCAACTCTCAATTCATCGATGAACGCGTCATCCCATGGTACGAAACCCGCATATCGACGGTTCGATGGCCTCGCCGCGTCCAGGTCTCCCTTGTGCAGAATAGCAATCCAGAGAGCTTTGAAGCTGTTTTCGATAACAGACCCTGACGGGGGGCGGCTGACGATCCGGCTCTTCCCGATGACGATCATGGTAAATCCGACGACAAACGCGCAGAGAGGCAGAAGATACGCTGCCCAGAATCCGACATTGAACTCCATGGTTGTCGTAAGAATGGCACCAAGGGAGCCGATGTTGATGCACATGTAGAAAACCATGTAGATTCGTTCGATCGTCAACGTAGGGTCGATGATCACGCGCTCTCCGGAGTCCAAGGCCTTGATCCTGGGCTTCGTTTCCCGGTACTGTTCAGCAATGAGGGGAGACACGTTGCTTTTGATGCCTCCAGTACCGACTCCAATAACTACCATGGCAACGAAGAGACCAGGGAGTGCCCAGCCGTTTTCAATAGAAACGGGTAGGGAAGTGAAAAAGAGGACTAATATACCAGTCATGTATATCATGGCGAAATAAACGATGGTCAGGTATTTCCCCAGATATTGGTCAGCCACAATCGCTCCGGCAATGGGTGTGAGGTAGCACCAAAACTGGAAAAAGCTGCTCAACAAGGTCGCGCCGTGTTGATTCAGCCCGCTGCATACAGTCAGCTCGACTCATACTAGCAACAAAGAAGCACGCACATTGCACCTGGTAGTCCACTTGGATCTTGGTAAGAGTTTGCCATGTAGTTTTGAAAAGGACCCGATAGTCCGTAGTAGGCAAACCGCTCGCATAGTTCGACAATGGCGACGAGGGAAGCACTCCAAGGAAGCGCGTCCGGGATCTTCCGCAAGGTGAGCTTCTCTTCTTCAGTCGGTCCATCGTCATCAAAGGAGGATTCGCTGAGTTCGGTAGGACTCCGTTTGAGCTCTGAAGTCACTTCATCCGAGTCAATTGCAGTCGTGTCGGCGATTGAAATGGAACTAACAGAACGCCCGCCGGAGCGCGTGCTTTGGCGTAATCAGTGCTGACCGCGGCCATCAACGTGAATCAGGAGGCATACCGTGCATGTGGACGGCTGAACCGGGGCTTGCTTGCCTCAGGCGCAATGCCAAAGGCCTGCAGCTCTACAGTGTCATCGCTCTGAGGCACCGAGGCGTACTCACCCCGGTTAGACCCGGAGTGTGGCAAGGATGGCATAACCGTTAACGTTCAGGGAACCTTTGAAGCAAAAACGGTGGCCCATCACCTGAATGACAAATGGGGCATGCTGGGTTTTCAAAGGCCCTCGAGGTTTTGTGGAAAGGTAACACTGTGGGGACCGAAATGACGCGGCTTTCAGGAGACCAATTGTCGCAGGTGAGATTGCGGCTCGGGGCGCGTGCTTGGACTCAAAACGATCGTCTCCAAGGCGAAATGGGGCGAAGCGCAGAACCAACCCGTCAAAAGTTTCGGTGTTCTGGAAGGTTTTCAAAGAAAAGCGTGGAACCCAGCCCCAGATCTGGTGCTGATCGCGCTGCCTCGCTTGGCTGTGAGTTTGTCAGGCTGAAACAGGGTTCCAATAGCAACAACAACAAAGGATTTCAGTGGTGACCAAGGGCTGTGCCGCTTCCCGTGTTGGCCCGCTGCCGAAGGCTTCCGGGGCGCAGTGATTCTACATATGGCACGTCTCCAGTCGCGATCTCAAAGAAGGGGGTCAGGGAGCAGCAGGTGCAGCCACGAGGGTCTAGGGTCGCGGCTAGCCTCAAAGGGTATCGGCAAGTTTGGCACAACGGTGGGCCGTGATGCCGCGATGCGCCGAGGTCAAACTGCACGTTCCAATTTTTGATCGGCATACCTAGTTGAGTCTGGTTACAACGCTTAAACTGGTCAGCAACTTCCAGTTTTTTAAAAGACGTTCATCGGTATATCGGATAAGTTAGGTCTTGAGTAGCTATTTACACAGGTTTTACCGCTATAAAGAGAGAAACGTTATAGATAGTCAATGCTTAAAAGGGACCAGACTGTAGCGCGTAGTACCACTCGAACACAAGCCGAAAGAAGTTATGCCTGGCATTCCAAAGCAAGTATCAGACGTCAGATGTGGAACTTGCTTCTCTCCACAACGGATGCCGAGGCGCTGCCCGCGACCTGACCGCTTATCGATAGGCATTGATTGTAGTGGGGTCAAAGTGCGGCGACTTGAGGCCAAAGATCAAGAGCGGGTCCGTAGATTCAATATACGTATGATGAAGCACGGGATTGGTGCGAGATTTACGGAGGTCATCGAAGGCTGAACTTTCAGACGATACTTGACAGGTAGATATCACTGCAACTAGAAACCCTTCCAATCTCACACTGACCCATAAGTGGCATATTCCGTGTAAGGAGGCGGCGCGTCGTCTTCGTCGTTCTCCATCGGAGGTTCGCGCTGCTTTTCGAAATCAGCCGCCAAAAGCGCAGATCCGACCGTGGATGACAATAGGAAAAACATGTTGAGCACTGGGATCAGCTGCAGGAAGAGAGATGCAGTGCCAAACCTAAAGTCGTTAGTCTAGACCTTATGACGCGAATAGCGCCTGCTTACCATGTGTATTTCCAGCCATACTGGCGAATGAATGCCTTCCTCTGGCTCCTATGCTCAAGACCGAGGAACTTATAGTATCGCCAGTGTGTCAAGCGCCCAGCGCGGTAGCCAGTCAGAAAGATAAATAGCGGGACACCGAACCAGGGTATGAAGTTCAGCGGAAGAAGCACAATGAACTCGACGATTTGGCGAAGGCTGAAGGGGGCAAAGACGGCGTGCTTTTCCTGTTTTCCGAGTCTCTGGAGCGGGCTCTCTCCCGGAGGTCCTACCGGACGTTGGGCTCTCACAAGGGCTTCATAGCCTCTATCGACCAGCACCTGGAATCGACGTCAGTCGGTTGTTGGCATGCAGCCGTCGCACAAGACTGACCGCGTCAAATATGTCCACCTGCGTTTCATCGACGAAGAAACATTCAAAAAGCGTGGCCACAATAGCCGCGCTCTCACTCAGCACCAGAAATGTCCCGTTCACCCAGGCAGAGGTCTTGTCCTGGAAAAAGTAGAGGAAGGCGACTTGCGGCAGGTAGGTCCATATGAAGAGGTTCGCGAGGACGAAGATGGATAGCAGGAAGCACGGCAGAATGCGGCCTTTCAACAGCGGCCAGAGGTAGGAGTGGGTGGAGAAATACCAGATGCCCTGCGCGGAGTTAGTCGGCGGTTGCCTCTGGGCGAGTTACAATCGCGTCACTTGCCTTGAAGGGATACAGCCAGCCAGCGGCAGAAACCATATGCACTGGATGCAGGAGGGCCTGCGATGCCGGCGTCATGTTGGGACGAGGCGTGGCGATCGATACCAAGGGCTCGTCGGGATGGCGCAAAGGCTACCGAGCCAGAAAATTGATGACGCTGGTGACGCGGATAGAGTCAGACTTCACAAGGCGGTCGGTTACAGAACGTTCACTGGCGCAACCAATTTCACGATAAGTACGTCTGAGCCTCAGCAGATTTTCTTCCAGAGCTGGTCTTACTCGTGTCCGCGTTTCACCGCCAATCAGTCCTCAGGCATAACTGCTGGAGCGGCGCGACACGCGTGACTGGGGGACGGAAACGACAGCAAAGCTGCCCTCGGGAATAACGGCTCCCCCATACGGTTTTGGGTTTAGAATTCCGCCATCGGAGGATTGCAGCTCGGTTTCTCCACCTTTTATGCCAATAACACGCCCTGTGGGATTGCCGAACCGACTTTCTTCTTACGAGATTGGTACGATTCCATTCGCTCCCAGGCGTCTTTTGTATACTCATCTTTACCAAATCACAGGCTACTCTGCTTCCACCAACCATTAAAGCTTGTTGCCTCTGGGTAAGGCTAACATGGCTTTCAATAGCATTTCCTATAGGCCAAAGCATGATTATAAATACCAACTAGTTGCATATCAACGCGGCCCAGCAGAGTATTGAACATTATCGTAACTACTAATCACGCACGAATCATGTATTGAGAAGGGTTGAGCGGTAACCAGCGTACGGGTTAAACGGGTCATAATCGGAAGCTAGGTAGACTGGCCTTGCAAGGGAGAGGGATGACTCCGCGTTCAATCTTTGGCGTACGGCAATATGCAGTTATAAACCGGACAGCTTCCTTTGCTTCACTCTCTTCCTCAAAATCTCTTTGCAATGACCAAACGAATCATATTCCACCCCCCATCCACATAGCATGGCCGATAAATACAAGGAAACCTTCGAAGAGCAAGAGTCGGAAAGCGGGGTAGTTACAAGATCTCCGTCGCCAGACGAGATCCAGGAGACAGGACAAGAGGCCAAGGACGATGAGGAACTTGGGATGGAAAAGATCCCAACGGCCCGGGACGATACACAACACACTGCTGGAGCAGCCAAACGAGTCCTGTCGAAGGTTATCACAGCAAGATCAGCCGCATCAATCAAGGACCCCGGTCCACCACCCGACGGAGGACTTCTTGCCTGGACGCAGGTGTTAATGGGTCACTTAGTGATCTTCGGCACATGGGGCTATATAAACTCGTTCGGAGCATTTCAATCCTACTACGCGCAGACCCTAGGTGTCCCTCCATCCAGCATATCCTGGATTGGCACCATTCAGGTCTGGTTCCTCTTCTTCATCGGCACCGTCTCCGGGCGTGCGACAGATGCAGGCCTTTTCCGTCGCGTCTTCATTCTAGGAGTCATCTTGACTCTGCTGGGAATCTTTATGACAAGCCTTTCAAACACGTACTGGCAACTTTTTCTGGCCCAGGGCGTGTGTACAGGCATCGGAAATGGGCTCATGTTTTGCCCTACAATGTCATTGGTGTCAACGTACTTCGACAAAAGGCGCGCGTTCGCAATTGGCATCACGGCTTCTGGATCGGCTACAGGAGGCCTTATCTACCCCACAATGGTGAGGCAGTTGTTGCCCAAGATCGGTTTCGGATGGACGGTCCGATCTCTTGGATTCGTGACCATGACAACATGTGCCTTAACCATTGCCTTCTTGAAAGTTCGGTTGCCACCTAGACAGTCAGGCCCTTTGCTGGATTTGGCTGCCTTCAGGGAGCGAACCTACTCGTTATTCTGCGTAGGCATGTTTCTCAACTTTTGGGCTCTGTATTTTGTCTTTTACTATGTAAGTGGCCTTGAACCAGCAGAAACCGTCCTCGCAATCTAACTTGTTCACAGATCAGCGCGTTTAGTCGGGACATCATTGGCCTGAGCTATACAGATTCGCTCAACTTGCTTCTTATACTTAACGGCGTGGGTTACATCACTCGCACCGTCCCTCCGTTCCTAAGCGACAAGTTCACCGGGCCTCTGAACATGGCCATTCCGTTTGCGTTCAGTACTGGGATACTTCTTTTTGCTTGGTCTGGTGTGCACTCGCAAGAGGGCCTTTACCCGTTCGTTATTATCATCGGGCTGTCAGCTGGAGGCGTCCAGGCCATGTTTCCAGCAATCTTGTCCAGTCTCACACCAGATCCCAAGAAGACGGGCATCAGGATGGGTATGGCTTTTAGCATTGTGTCGTTTGCGTGCCTGACAGGCCCGCCGCTGGCTGGAGCGTTGATATCCGAGGACAAAGGCAGCTATGTCCACGCACAGATGTGGGGAGGCACCGTGTTAACATGTGGCAGCCTGATCCTTGTAGCGGCGAGAGTGGCCAAGACAGGATTCTTGCTAAGAGTCAAGGTTTGATAGACCATAGGAAATTGCATAGGCGAAAGAGCGATGTCACAGTTAATGAGGTGTGGTCTCGTGGACAATCCCGTCGGCGTCACGGACTCGCTTCTGGCCGGGGAGCACCAGCGCACCAGCCATTCCTTATCGAGGACAAGGCGCTAAACCCGAGGCGGCCACTCGGATGACGAAGAGCCCAGGTACAGGCAGGCACCTACCCGGGCAGCTCTCGCCTTCCCATCTTAACCCTCACACCCTCCCCCATCTCCACCTTCCACCATCCACCCTCCACACTCGAACTTGCTCCTCTATTCACATCCCCGTTCTAGCTGCAGCTCGTCCTCTGCACCACCGCCATCATGAAGAGCGCCATGCTCCTCGCAGCCTCCGCGCTGCTCGGCTCCGCTTCTGCCGGCGTCCACAAGATGAAGCTCAAGAAGGTCCCTCTGGCCGAGCAGCTGGTAAGCTATCCCCACTGGTCATCTCCAGATAGCTCACTGGAGCTCTCCCGTTGGCTTCCCGAGCTCACAACATGACAGGAGCATGCCAACATGGGCGACCAAGTCAAGGCGCTTAGCCAGAAGTACATGGGCACTCGCCCCCCGATCAACACCGTCGAGGACATCTTCAAGGCCCAGCCCATCCAGGCCGACTCCGAGCACCCTGTGCCCATCAATAACTTCTTGAACGCCCAGTGTAAGTCCCGGCTGCGATGGCCATAGCTCCTTCGTAGGTGCCTGGCCGTTGCTAACATGATCAGACTTCTCGGAGATCTCCATCGGCACCCCTCCCCAGACCTTCAAGGTCATCCTTGATACTGGCAGCTCCAACTTGTGGGTACCTTCGTCCGAATGCGGCTCCATTGCCTGCTACCTCCACAACAAGTACGACTCGTCTGCGTCATCGACCTACAACAAGAACGGCAGCAGCTTCGAGATCCGCTACGGCTCTGGTAGCTTGAGCGGATTCGTGTCTCAGGACACTTTCACAATTGGTGACTTGACGGTTAAGAAGCAAGACTTTGCCGAAGCTACCTCTGAGCCTGGCTTGGCTTTCGCCTTTGGCAGGTTTGATGGCATCTTGGGTCTGGGCTACGACACCATCAGTGTGAACAAGATTGTTCCTCCTTTCTACAACATGGTCAACGAGGGCAAGCTCGATGAGCCCGTCTTTGCCTTCTACCTGAGCGACACCAACAACGAAGGTAGCGAGTCTGTCGCCACTTTCGGTGGTGTTGACAAGAGCCACTACACCGGCAAGTTGACCAAGATCCCTCTTAGGCGCAAGGCCTACTGGGAGGTCGACCTTGACTCCATCACCTTCGGCGACGCGACTGCCGAGCTTGACAACACTGGTGTCATCCTTGACACCGGTACTTCCCTGATTGCTCTCCCCTCTACTCTTGCTGAGCTTCTGTAAGTTCCCTGACCCCCTATACCCTTTGTACGTTACTCATTCCCTACAGGAACAGGGAGATTGGTGCCAAGAGGAGCTTCAACGGCCAGTACACTGTCGATTGCGACAAGCGTGCCGACCTGCCTGACCTGACCTTCACGCTGACCGGTCACAACTTCACCATCAGCGCCTACGACTACATCCTCGAGGTCCAGGGCTCTTGCATCTCTGCCTTTATGGGCATGGACTTCCCCGAGCCTGCTGGTCCTCTCGCCATTCTTGGCGATGCCTTCCTCCGGAAATGGTACTCTGTTTACGACCTTGGCAACAACGCCGTTGGCCTTGCGAAGGCCGCGTAAGTTATCGGTATTCAGTGAATGAATGAATGGTTATGGATCGCACGGGTAGGTAATTGATAGTATGGATTATCTGAGCATGGGTTTCGCAAGCAGCATCCCTCGAGACTGGTGCTAGGATGTTAAGCTGGTTGGTCGACGAATTGTGATTTATTCGCTTCCGCTATTCCTGTACCAACATCCGCATGTGTTTTGCTGTATGTTATTCTTTCGAGCGATGCTAAAGCGTCAACGAACTTGTACCCACTGGCTTTTATGTAACACGAGCCGTATCACAATCGCCTTGCAATGACGGCATTCCAGTGTCGCGGTGTACGGATTCCGGGCAGTGCTCGAGTTCCATCCCTGATCATCCCCAGTTACACTCAGCAAAGCCCTCTGTGAGGTATAGTAGGCGCAGAAAGACCAATACAAGCCATGAATTGCTCGGTTCCTGTGAGGGTGGTCCACCCAAAAGCATGTTACCAAGCCGTGTTCGAAACACAAGCATGTTGTCCAGCACAACCCCCACAAAATTAGTCACATCCCGCCCTTACAAGGTTACCCCAAGATGCCGAGGCGATGGCAACATACTCACAGTAACAAATATAGAGAAAGACGAGCCAACAGGCACCCGGCAGAAAGCAGCTGACGCGAGCAAGCGTGTGGATGGCGATGGATGGCGCAGGCCTCGGTGCGTAAGCCAGCAGTGTGATTGGACGATGACATGGGAGGTGCAACGAGCTCGCGGGAGCTTGGGCCCCGGGGGACGCATGCGATGTCGTCAGGACGAGGGCGCTGCGGCGTGATTGAGCTGAGCTGGTCTTAGATCCCCCGCCTTCCGAGTGGTCTGGTCGAGTTAGTTATCTCTGATCCTGGGGATAGATAGAGGCCTGCCTGGCTGGTACCTGTCAACCAAACCTACTTGTCTTCCAAGTCTTGTGTGCACGCTACTTACCCACCTATCTACCGTGCCTACCTACCTGCTTGCGGATTGGGAGACGACGTCTTCGGCCTCTTCTAGGTAGCTCTTTGCCTGTGCAGCCTTGCACGCACACGCACACGCACACGCACACGCACGCATACCTACCTACTCTCACACGGACACGAACCCTCTCTCTCGAGATCGGACCGCACCGGCTATCCAACGCAGAAAGAGCAAGTAAACAACCTAGCAAACAACCAGCCATGGCCTCCGCCACTGGTGTCCCAGACGTGCATCCCGAAGCGCTCGGGCGCGGCGAGGACGAGCCGCTGCTCGGCAGGGCCGGCGACGCGTCGCAGCAGGATGGCAGCGCGCTGCAGTGGAATCTGGTGCTGGGTGAGTACCTACCTACTTGCCTGGTGTGGTGTGGTGAAGCACACACACACAGAGAGGGAGACACACATAGCCCTTGGTGGCGAGGACATGGCTGACGAGACGTAGGCACGGCAGTGATTGCGCAGGCGGGCATCTGGATCGTGAGTTCCCTTGTGCTTTTACTTTTCCTTCCCTCTTTGCTGCCTCGACGCTGACCTAAGTGCGCATGTAGCTCGTCGGCATAGTCTGGGGCAGCGTGCTCTCCAAGCCAGTGATTCTGTTCTCGGCGCACCCGGTACGTCCTCCGTCCACCCAAAGAGCCTCACCTCACTAACAACCCGCACCACCAGCTGCTCAACTCGGCCGGCCTCCTGCTGCTCACGCAAGGCGCGCTAATCCTGCAGCCCACACACACAGCGTCCCAAAAGCGCTCAGGCACACTAACGCACTTCATCGTCAACGACCTGGGCCTCCTGCTGCTGCTCGGCGGCCTTATCGTCATTGAAACCAACAAACAGCTTAACTCGCTGCCGCACCTCGAGTCCGCGCACGCGATCCTCGGGCTGCTCACGTACGCGCTGTTAGCGGTGCAGGCGCTCGTCGGCTTCACGCAGTACTTTACGCCGCAGCTATACGGCGGCGTCGACCGCGCTAAGCGCGTCTGGAAGTACCACCGCGCGAGCGGGTATCTGGTTTTCGTGCTTGCGCTCGCGACGGTCGCGTCCGCCACCCAGACGACGTTTAATAGGAAGGTCTTGGGCATCCAGCTGTGGGCTGTGCTTGTCGCCGCGGCAATTACGCTCGCGGGCGTCTTGCCGAGGGTTAAGAAGCAGAAGCTGGGACTGGCGTGAGGGGGTAGGGCTGTGTCGCCGGCCTGGGGCTTGTGTCGTGCTGGTGGTGGTGTGCTTGCGGTGCTGGGGTTGCGGGTGCAGCTGTGAGATTGGTCTTGAATTAATGGAGCAGGGGCTAGTAGGTGGGTAGGTCTAGTATTGGAATCGTATCTTGAACGGTTTTGTTTGGTTCAACATCCTAATTGGGGCAGCAAATACCTAGGTAGTCAGGGCGGCGTCTGAAGTCTCGGACGCGTTAGTATACTCTATGCAATATGACATAGCAATCAGTGAACGGAACCAAACGCTTCACTTCCACACGGTTCAATGCTCGTTAATTACACTGCAAGACTGTATAGCCATATTAGCATCCTGTCGGTACTTCCCTCACAGCCCTAGACCAGTAGCAGCATCATCTACTCTCCGAAGCAATGCAAAACCGACCCGTCCTGGCCGCTTTTCGTAACCCAAAGTCGTGAAATTGTTCCGTGGGGTGAAAATGAGAAGAAAAGCCCCCTTCGCTGCTCTGCAAAGTTCGGATACCGGATGAAACAGGAAAACAAGAGATGCATGGCGCCCAGGCCAACACTGCCTAGATGAAGGAGAAGGATGAGGAGGATGACAGAGCGCTCTGCTGAGCCATGGTCCCGCCCGCTCGCCCGCCCGCCCGCTCTAATCAGTCTCCTCGCCGCCATCGCTATCAATCAAGCCCTCCAAATCTCTCAAGCCGCGCGCAATACGCCGCTTAGGGCGGGCGGCGTGGTCGTCGACGTCGTCGTCGTCGTCGTCGTCCTCGCCCGCCTGGCCCCAGCGCTTGGCGCCCTCCTGCACGGCCTCCAAGTCGGCGGCCAGCTCGCGCTGCTCCTTGATGCGGCGGGCCTTGTCCTCGGAGTAGCGGCCCTCCATGCCCACGTCGGCCAGCATGGCCTTCAGGTGCGCGATCTTGGCCCGGCTGCTGTCAAAGGGCTTCAGCTCCTTGCCCCACAGCTTGCGGATGCCGCATTTGACTAGCCAGCCTTGCAGCCGCTTGACCTCGGCTTCTTGCGGGTCGGCGTCTTTGTCGTCTTTGCTTTTGGCGCTGCTGGTTTTGGCTTTGGTGGCGGTGTTGTTGCCTTTTTTGGCCTTGCTGCTGCTGGTGGTGGCTTTGGTGGCGCGCTTTTTCTTGGGCTTCGGCGACTCGTCTATTAGGACTGATAGCTCGCTGTCCGAGTCTGCTGCTGCTGCTTTGTCTTCTGTGGGCGTGATCGAGGCCTTGTCGGCTTTGGGCTCTTCATCCTCTCCGGAAGTAGCCGAGGGCTTTGCTGCTGGGCTTACTTCATCCGGGCCTGCTGAGTTTTCGTCGTCTTCTACAACCGCTTGACTTCTGGGCTTGCGCGACTTCTTGGGCGCTTCATCTTCTGCAGAGGATGCATCACTGCGGACGGGCTCGTCGGGCTCTTCCTCGTCGTCAGAAACAGACGTCTTTCTGCGCTTCCGCGCCTTTGGTTTTGGCGCAGCAGCCGCTCTCTTTGCTGGCTTTTTGGCCGTGACTGCCTTTTTAGCCGGAGCCTTCCTTTGGGCTTTGGGCTTGGGCTTTTCCGGGGTGGGTTCCGGCTCACTGGCTTCCGCTTTCTCTTCTTGAATGCGCTGGATGGAGCGTCAGCGATTCAGATGCCAGCGGGTTTAGGCTTCTTCTTGCCGGCATTTGCTCCTCCGGTGTTGTGATTGCCATGGTCACGAATAATAGTAAAAATGATAGATGTTCTCATTTTGAGGTGAATGAAGGTGCAACTTACTACTTCGCTTTTAATTGTTTCCGAACTACGGTCTTTCCATTCAGAATTAGTCTTGAAGAAGTCGTCAGATAGGTCTAGCTTCAGCTCGACGGCCTTGCGTATGCGTTTGACGGTGAGCTCGTCAGCATTTCCGGATTGGAAAACTTCGCGCACGGCATCGCGCAGGGACTGCTCGATATCGACGTCGGGCGGCAGGGCTGGGCCGTCGGAGTCCGAGCCCGACATGGTGATGGCGAAGTTGACTGGGCAGAGCAGTCGTCGCGTGTCGACGCGTTGACGGTTGATGCGCGGCGGCGACGTTTGTGGAGGGCCAGGCGGAGAGCCGAAACGGGCAAAGGCGTTGCCGCATGGGGCCTAGACGTCCGCACGGCTTTCTCGGCCGGCGGCAGAGTTGCAGGCTGTGCAGGATGGGCTTTTGGCTTTTGCCCATTGCCCATGCTCTCCTTTCGTCATCGGCGATGCTCTCCCTTACTGGGCACGCTGGGCACAGAATAATTCCGCCGCAGTGGTGCGCCGAGGGCGCTCGCAAGCTCGCGCGACGAAGAATCTGGCCCTGTATGCGTCATCGTAGGATCAGCTTCGTCTCATGCCTTCAGCAGCTCCAGAATCAATCCAGAACCCCAGCTGCTCTGCCGCGGCGTTGCGCTTGTCAATCTCCGCGTGCTAAAAAGTGGGCACCGCTGTCCGATGCGACGTCAGTTGCGCCTGCGCATGTGCGTTTGATGTGCCCCCTCGAGCGGCAACGGGTATTCTGGATATTGGGGGGACGATGTGCAGTGCGCCCCAAACAGTCTGCTCGTGCCCAAACCATTCGCTCGCGCGCGCGATCCGGCCGGTTTTGCGTGCAGCCCCAGGTCAACCGTCGCAGACGGAGGTGGAAGTTGCGAGAATATTGCCGGAGAGGCCTGCGGCCAGCGCGAAGCTTGGCCCACCCTGTATATCCTCAAATCCCAACCTATGTCATAACCGCATCAATCGCTCCGCGCCTTCACAACAAAACCTTTCATCGCCCTCCCCGCCTGCGCAACTAAACTTCTCCGACCACCACCTCAACCCTCATTGTATTTGCGACCCCGCTGCCTCGTGCACGTATCCCCCCACAACATGTCGTCAGCAGAGGAGAACAAGTCCGAGAATGGCCGTTTGCTGCTCGTTTCCAACCGCTTGCCCATCACCATCAAGCGCTCCGAAGAAGGCAAATATGACTTTTCCATGTCCTCCGGCGGCCTGGTCAGCGGCCTGAGTGGTCTGTCGAAATCCACCACGTTCCAGTGGTACGGCTGGCCGGGTCTCGAGGTGCCCGAGAACGAGATTGGCACCCTGAAGGAAAAGTTGAAGGCCGAGTACAACGCAGTCCCCGTCATGCTGGATGACGAGCTTGCGGACAGGCACTACAACGGCTTCTCCAGTAAGTGTCACGCCCGCCATAGCTGATGCTGGCCACCGGCTAATCATGCCACAAATAGACTCTATCCTTTGGCCGCTTTTCCACTACCACCCCGGTGAGATTACCTTCGACGAGTCCGCATGGAACGCATATACCGAGGCCAACCGCCTATTCGCGAAGGCCATTGCGGCGGATGTTCAGGACAACGACCTCGTCTGGGTTCACGATTACCACCTTATGCTTCTGCCGGCTATGCTGCGCGAGGAGATTGGCACGACGAAGAAGAACGTGAAGCTCGGCTTCTTCCTGCACACTCCCTTCCCTAGCAGTGAAATCTACCGTATCCTGCCCGTCCGTAACGAAATCCTGCTCGGCGTCCTTCACTGCGACCTCATCGGCTTCCACACCTACGACTACGCAAGGCATTTCCTGAGCAGTTGCTCTAGGATACTGTAAGTTCCGACGGCTCAACCTTTGGTATCAGATGTGACTGATCATATGGCAGTGGTCTTGCGACTACCCCCAACGGCGTTGAGTTCCAGGGCAAGGTTGTTACTGTCGGTGCTTTCCCCATCGGCATTGACCCGGAAAAGTTCGAGGAGGGTTTGAAGAAGCCCAAGGTTCAGGAGCGCATTGCTACTCTTGAACGCAAGTTCCAGGGCGTGAAGCTCATCGTTGGTGTGGATCGTCTGGATTACATCAAGGGTGTTCCGCAAAAGTTGCACGCTCTTGAGGTTTTCCTCACTGAGCACCCCGAGTGGATTGGCAAGGTCGTCCTGGTTCAGGTCGCTGTGCCTAGTAGACAGGACGTCGAAGAGTACCAGAACCTGAGAGCTGTGGTCAACGAACTCGTTGGCAGAATCAACGGCAAGTTCGGTGAGTAAAACGAGTTTTGCCCCTTTGATGCTATACTGACTCTTGTAGGTACCATCGAGTTCATGCCTATCCACTTCATGCACAAGTCTGTTTCCTTTGATGAGCTCATTGCTCTGTACGCTGTCTCGGATGTCTGCCTGGTCTCGTCAACCCGTGACGGTATGAACCTGGTCTCTTACGAGTACATTGCGACACAGCAGAAGCGTCACGGTGTGATGATTCTGTCCGAATTCGCCGGTGCTGCCCAGAGCTTGAACGGCAGCATCGTCGTCAACCCCTGGAATACGGAGGAACTCGCGGATGCTATTCACGACTCCGTGACCATGGGCGCGGAGCAAAGGGCCAACAACTACCAGAAGTTGGCCAAGTACGTCAACAAGTACACTAGGTATGCACACGAGTCCCGTAGTATGGTTGCAATTTAATGACTGACATGTTCAACTTAGTGCTTGGTGGGGCCAGTCCTTCGTCAGCGAGCTTACTCGCATTTCTGAGCAGGCGGAGAAGAAGCTGAACGTGCGTCGCGGATCCATCCTTGATGCTTCTAGCAGCAGCAGCAACAAGGAGGAGGCTCAGGCTCCCAAGCCGAACCCAGACCCTGCTGAGGCTGAGGCCTGAGTAAGGGCCGCTTGGTCCACTTCATCTGAAGAGGAAATGCTTAATGGCGTATGGCTCAAGAACTTGGAATGATTAGCATGGTAATTGCACGGCATTGTATGACTCTTAATGGATTTGCTCGTCACCGGCGTAAGACATTCGGGCTCTCAGATAGACTTCGAAGCGAAGATATCCAGAACAATTGTTCTCCTGAAAAACGTCGAAAGTGCTGTTATTTTTGTGTGTGATGCCATTTGATATAAGATCTATTTGTTTCAGGCCAATACCGAAGCTCGGACCAACCGGATTTTAGTCTTGCGACTGCATCTCGAAAAGTGCAACACCAAGTACTCGTCAACGCCAATCTACCCGCTACATCGCTCCTCGCCTCGGACTGCTTGCGCCTGCCGGAGCCCATTGCCTCGACTCCGCTCAATTGCGGACACTTCTTACCAGTCTCCTCGGCGGATTTCGCGCACGCTGTCAACATGGCGGCACCGGCTCATCGCAAGTTCACCGGCGTCGTTGTCTCCGCTGGCAAGATGGAGAAAGCGGTCAAGGTTCGCTTGGCAGGCCAGGAATGGGACAAGCACATCCGGAAGGTATGTCTATTTCGTGCACTCGTTCATCTGTCTCAACCGTACCATTGAAGGCGCGTCGTGGAGCTGTTTCGTTCCTCTGAATTTAACTCCTTGTTGACAATGGTATAGTACTTCCCTGCGCCATACACCGTTCTCGTCTCGGACCCCAACAACTCTCTCAGAGAGGGCGACGTTATCAACCTGCGCAGCGGTTACCGCGCCTCCAAGACCGTCCGCCACGTCGTAACTTCCTTTATCGCACCTTTCGGATCCGGAATTTCGGAGAGACCACCGCTACCAACGGAGGAAGAACTGGCGCAGAAGTTGCTGCAAAAGCGCTACGAGAAGGACTTTAGGCAAGCCTCAAGAGGCCGCGAGGCCGCATACAGACGGATAAAGACGGCAGCGCTGCAAGAGAGCCAGATATTGTACAAGCTGGGACAGATCCAGGGGCTCGAAAGTATGGAAGATGCCGAAAGCCTGGGCTATCTGCAGGCTCAGCTGGAGAAGCTTAAGATGATGCGGCGGGAGGGTGTCCAGGTTGGCGAGGCAGGCCCCCCTGGTGGAGAAGAGTCGCTCGGTTCCGTTGATGCGAGAGCGAGATATAGCGCGGCCAAGGCTGCTAGGTTCACGAAAAAGGCTTTGGAGAACGAGGAAGACTTGGAAAAGGCACAGGGCAAGGGAGCCTCTATTGCTGAGGAGGTCGCGAGGGGTGCCAAGGCCATATGAGCTAGCCGCAGCTAATACGGGTTTGTCTCCATCCTTTTATTGTTCTGCAATGGAACAAGACGTATTCTGGAGCTACAAGAGTTGGATGAAGGAATCACTTGAAGCATTGACCCCGCTTGGGCAGGTTTCTGTAACATATTTGCTTCACACGGGACGCTGAGCGATTGTCCCACAATCAAAAAATTGCCAACAGTCAATCCACAAGCATGCCGGATGGTTGCAGCGGGGTTTGGCAAACTGTTGGAGACAACGGGGCATGCGGGGGCACGGCGATTTTCAAAGGAGAACCGGAACGTGATCCGTGCTATGTAGATTTCATTGTAGTTATGCACGATGACACGGCACTCTTTGAGATTCCCGCATGGCAATCTGCATGTGATGTGCATTTCACGTGGCGATTCCCGCTGTTTGGTGGAGTATTCGACGTGTGGCGCAGTGGCTGGTGTGGCGCACTGCAGGTTCCCCCAGCGATGAGACGGCGCTAAGCGAATATGATGTCTTTCCTAGGAAACCAGGGTACGGGTTCCTTTCCTCTGCCGCCTGCGTGTTTGCACGGGACTTTAAAAGGATTCAGCTTGCTCCTCTGGTCGCCGAAAACTCTACAACCACCCAGAACAGAAACAGCCGCCGGCATGTTTATGCTACGGAATGGTAATCACCTCTGCGCCCCACCGACAACAACCCCTCCCTCACTAGATCAACCCACTTAGCTCTTCGCCGAAACCTGTTTGCTAACAACAACATATTCCCTACAGTCAGCAAGTTTCTCTTCGGAGACGGTTCCAAGGAATCCATCATCGAAGTGCCCCAAGGCCAGCTCTACCTCGTCCGCCCGCTCTCGGTGAAAGGCTACTCGGAGCTCATCTTCAAGGACGCTGCTGCCTCGATTCGCCGGACCGGCCAGGAGTACCAATACCAGCTTGTCATACAACGCGCTTACGAGGAGGGTGAGCGCGAGCTTCTCGGAGAAGAGGAAGACGAGGACGGAACTGCGGACGACTTGGCCACGGAAAAGGACGAGAAGACCTTTCTGCTTGACGAGAGTCTTCGCTTCCGGACCGACGTACGGCAGACCGGCGAGACCGTCTTTGCGTGGAAAGACCTTAGTGGCGACGAGGGTGACCTCTGGGAGTTTGTCTGCGACCGCACCGTCCAGCCCTCAACCATCGCCTCGTTTGAGCTCGTTGCTGTTCAGTGCCAGTACGAGCGGAAGTTCCGCAAACCTCACAACCTAGCAACGGAAAAGGAACTTCAGGAGTTTTCTTTCGAGGAAGAAACCATCCCCGACGCCAGCCCCATCTCAAGCCCTATTTCGAAGTCCCCCGTTTCTTCGCAGTTGCCTGACCTCAGAGCAAGCTTCACCCTTGAACCCCAGGAGACGATAGACACCATGGTTTCAAAGCCCACTCAGGCCGAGACGCCCAAGAAGGAGTCAAAGACTACCATTGCACCCCCGGCTCGCGTACAGCCCGAAGGCCGCGAAATTCTGGCGGACGAAGCTGCTGAGTTGCACCTTTTTGACTTTGATTCGGGCTCGTTCGTCCTGCAAGACCCTGCAGTTAAAGTTACAGTCTCCGAAGTCGACAACTGGACCTATTGGCTGCAAATCACTGGCGAAGCTAAGGAATGGTTAGGTCAGCCTGTTGTCCCGGACATCAATCCCGTCTTCAATTTCGAATATCTCTCATTCATCTTCAACCATTACACTGATGATGGCTCTGCCTATTCTTGGTTGTTGCGCTTCAAAGACCAAGCTACCGAGGAGCGCTTCCAGGAGGGACTTATGCAGGCTCTTTGGGAGCATTTGAACGAGCAAAAGTGGCAGAAAGTGAAGGACATCGAGCGCGACTACGTGATGGATGCTTTCCAAGACCTCACTATGGAAGATGCGGATGAAAAGGAGCAAGAGGAAGAGGAAGAAGAGGAGTCTGATGAGGAGGACAACCGCCCTCGTAGCGAGCACTATGATTCCGATGAGGACCAGGACGACGTTCTCACGCGGGATGAAGATGGAAACATCAACTCTCAACTTGCCGTTGGCTACAAGCACGACCGTTCCTTCGTCGTTCGTGGATCCAAGATAGGTGTTTTCAAGCACACCAATGACGATAAACTTGAATTCTCTACGAACATCTCCAAGGTCGAGACCCCTAAGGGCAAGCTGTTCAGCCCCAACAAGATCATGCTACACGCCGAGGACAGGGACATGATTCTGCAAAACCCGAACGATCCTCACTCGCTTTACCGCATGGACTTGGAGTACGGAAAGGTGGTCGACGAATGGAAGGTCCACGATGACATTCCAGTAAACACCTTCGCGCCGGAATCGGTAAGTACCCATCGTTCCGTCCAGATATGATACAGATGAGCTAACAATCCTACAGAAATACGCACAAATGACGGGAGAGCAGACATTCCTTGGTCTCTCGCGGAACGCTCTGTACCGCATTGACCCTCGTCTCTCTGGTGACAAGCTCGTAGATGCCGATCTCAAGCAGTATGTGTCGAAGAATGACTTCTCCGCTGCTGCTACGACCGAGAAGGGCTACATTGCGGTCGCTTCCAACAAGGGCGACATCCGCATGTTCGACCGCCTCGGAATCAACGCAAAGACACATATCCCTGCTCTGGGTGACCCGATCATCGGTATCGATGTTTCCGCTGATGGCCGATGGGTCCTCGCGACCACGAAGAACTACTTGCTCCTCATCGATTCCCTTCAGAAGGATGGCAAGAATGAGGGTAAGCTAGGCTTCGAAAAGGCGTTCGCCAAGGACTCCAAGCCGCAGCCCCGTCGTCTCGCTTTGACCCCCAGCCATGTTGCTCAATTCCAGCATGAGACCAAGGCTCCGATTTCCTTCACTCCGGCTCGTTTCAACACTGGTATTGACAGCTCCGAAACGTCCATCATCACTGCCACTGGCCCGTTCATCGTCACATGGAACATGAAGAAGGTGCTTGCTGGCCGCAAGGACCCCTACAACATTAAGCGTTACGCCGAGGAAGTCAAGGCAGACAACTTCAAGTACGGTTCCGACAAGAACTTGATTGTGGCCCTGCCGAACGAGGTCAACATGATTGCGAAGCGAGCATTGCGCAGGCCGACGCGCGAGAGTATTGCTACTCCATCGCGCATCGGAACTCCGAGAAAGGGCGGCCGCGGAAGCTACCTCTCACGTAACGAGATTGTCAACAGCCCCTATTAAACGATTCCTGCTACAAGCAGTGAAGCAAAGGAGGTTTTCGTAGGCTATGGACATGTTTGGCCGGTGCGTGTGGGCAGTTCAAGCTTGACTTTTATGCCTTTCCGTTGTTTTTCTTCCCCAACGGTTGGTTCTTGATTTCTCTGGTTTTCTTGACGGCAAGAAGTGGATGGATGGTAGTCCAAAGGTAGCCAGGTTGGCGTTCACTTGATATCCCGATATGACATCCCTTCTTTCCTTTAGCACATTTTGCTTCTTCTCGGTGCATGTCAATGAATGTATGCGCGGGTCGGCTTCAATGAATTGGAAAGCAGCGTACGTAGCTAAGTTTCAATTTGCACTAGAAATCGGTGCTCTCTCCCCCTGATGGCACGCCAGAGAATGATTTCCGGTAGTCACCGGCTGCATTGAGATGACGACTAATCCCGGCTGCCGTTGCATCATCAGTATTGGAAGCAAGCGTGATCGTACATGGTTATCAGACCATTAATCCATGGCCCATGGCCACTCCGATGAGGCTCTTGGACTCTTGTGCGACTGACCGTCTGCTGAGAACATTGTACCCGCGGCCTGGCGGTCGCTGTTTCCGCTTCGGTCATGACAGCACAGGCCGTGCCGCAGGTCGGGTCGGAGCCTCAGCCCTAGCTATATATGTATCATGCATGCGAGGCGGGTGACGCCCATACATGTTTCTAGCTCTTTGCATATCCCTTCAAGCGAACGCGACCAAAAAGGATACGACGCGTCCTTTTCTCATGCATATATGTCGCTTACTCTCGAGGACAGTCATCTGAGTTTGGCGCGTTGCCAGCGGCGTCCAGTGGCGTCGGTTGGAGGAAGATAGTCCGGGCGGGAAGCTCTCACTAGCACGGGCGCCGTCGTGCCGTCTGGACGCGGGATGGGGCGCGATAATGCGCCACGACGCGCCGGCGCGGTAAGAAGGATGAGAAAGACGCGGGATGGTGGAGGGAAGTTCCCTGAACGGGACGGGAGAGGGGAGAGCTAGGTTGGCGTGCCAGGGAAGCTTGGGCGGGAGAGGCTGGGGTCATGAAGATGGAGACGACGACGGCCGCATGATCTCGATGGCATGTCGGCATCGGCAACGCGGCTTTGGGCTTCACCGAGCACAGTTCTCGTGTACGTACATTTGTCTTCTCCCCCGGTGACGCGAGGAAATTGGCGGCTGGATTGACGTGGCACGGACACCGCTGTCATGGAGGAGTTGGCATATGTGAGACGACGCGAGTGATATCGGCGGACGCGCCAATGCCTCTCACACCGCCCGTTCGTCTTCATCAGCAATCTCGCGGATCTGCAGGAGATCCCTGGCTTGAAGGGCAGGCTCGTCTGGGACGGCGGGCAACGTGCTCGCCGGGATGGCCGTTTCAGGTGCGACACGAACGTCGAGTCTCCGTCTTCTGCACGCTAGCAGCCAACAGTGACCACCGCGCAGCCCCCTCACCACGCCAGCCCGCGGGTCCCGTCCACCAGGTAAGTTGCTTCGACGCCTTCTACGCGTCTTCCACGCCCGGGGGCATGGCCCAGCTGTTGAGCTGTTCGAGCAGCCCTGAGATCATCCAGCATCATCCGGTCGCCCCCACTCGCCTCAGGCCCGCCCTCGCATTCCCGCTGCGTCTGCGGAGAGGCCATCTCGACCCGCGCACGCACGTGTTGTTGGTCTTGTCCGGCGAGCACGGTGCCAAGCGGCCTGTACGCCGGCGCGTCAATTGACCCCTACGTCGACTGGCGTTGATCTTACAGCCGTGTGCCTAGGCCTGACGGGGGCTTGGTGCCGATTGGAACTTACATCCATGACTGAGGTGTGTGTCTGTCCTGCCCTCGTTTATCTAAATGCCCGTATCACCCAGCTTCCCAATTGCTTGCCTGTGTCCTTTTATTTTTTTATTCCGTTCCGGTTGTGGTGTCTTCTTCTCTTCTTCCTCTACCCTCCACCCAAACACTGAAGCTTGAACGCAGTTGTGGTAACGATTGGCCATGGCGGACGCAGGATCACCAAATCAAGGCTTCGGTTGTGCAAAATCTTCACAGGCCACCACCCCTCAGCAACAAGACCCAAGCAAGTCCGCCTCCCAGAACAACAATCAGCCTATCATGGCCACCATCCGGAACGACGACGAGCGTCTGCTGGCGCGGATCGGCTACACTCAGGTAAGAACCTTTCACTACAGCCATTTTGAGCCATTGCTAACATTTCCCCAGGAATTGAAGCGCGAATTCACCAAGTGGTCGACAGTCTCCTATGCCATATCCATTCTCGGAGTGCTTGGATCCGTACCTGCTACCTTCGGCAGTCCCATTTCTGCTGGAGGTCCCGCTACGGCGGTATGGGCGTGGTTCATAGGCAGTTGCATGGCCATGTGCATAGCAAGTTCGGGTATGCCCGTCTTCTCAGCTCCTTGCTGAAGAATATCGCTAACTTCGGCAGTTGCCGAGCTGGTGTCGGCTTATCCAACTGCAGGCGGCATGTACTTTGTCACAAAACATGTAGTGCCACCGGAGCACGTAGCCGTTTGGGCCTGGGTCATCGGGTGGTGCAACTTCCTTGGCCAGGCATCAGGTGTGGCTAGCTTGGCCTATACAATCTCGCAGATGATTCTGGCTATGGCAGTCATGAACTCTAACCAGCTCCCTGACGGGACGTATGCCTATTCGCCGTAAGTTCTGCAGCCGTCGCTTAATCAGGCTTAGCTAATTAGCGACCAGTACGGCACTGCAGACTGTCCTCCTGGCCATATTGATCCTGTGCCTCTTCGGCATAGTCTGTTCTCTGACCACCAAGTTATTGCACAAGATCATCCTTTGGTTTGCTCCAATCAACAGTATGTCAGCAGCCTTCACATGATAGTCGGTCAACTGACTGCGGCACAGTTTTGGCTTCCATTAGCATCTGCATTGCGCTTCTGATCCTAACCCCTGACAAGCGGAGCGCGAAATGGGTGTTTACCCATGTCGATGACGGCTCGGGGTGGGGAAGCAAGAGCTTTTCCTTTCTGCTCGGCTTCCTTTCTGTCGCGTGGACGATGACTGATTACGATGGAACAACACACATGTCTGAAGAAACGCACGATGCGGCCGTCAGAGGCCCTGTTGCCATTAGATCGGCCATTCTGGTCTCTGGACTTGTGGGCTGGATGCTCACCATCACCTTCTGCTTCTGTCTCAGCGACTTTGACAGCATTGTCAACTCGCCGACCGGGCTTCCAGTGGCTCAGATTTTTCTCAATGCTGGTGGAAAGGCCGGAGGAACAATCATGTTCTTCTTTGTGATCTTGGTCCAGAGCTTCACATGCTGCTCCGCTATGCTGGCTAACGCTAGGATGACCTACGCGTTCGCTAGAGACCAAGCTCTACCCCTGTCCGAGTATGTCCATTCCTCATCATTCAGCCTGGACCTGTCAAAGCTAACTCATGAATTTCTGTAGCTGGTGGGGCAGTGTCAACAAATACACCGGAACTCCTGTCAACGCAGTCTGGCTCGTAGTGCTCTTTTGCACCTGTTTGGACATCATTGGAATCGGTAGCACCATCACTATCACCGCCATCTTCAACATCACCGCGCCGGCCCTCGATCTCAGTTACATCGCCGTCATTATCGCCCATCGTGTCTACGAAAATCGCGTTCGTTTCATCGAAGGTCCATACACAATGGGCAAATGGAGCAAGCCGGTCAACGCCATTGCTGTCAGCTGGGTTCTCTTCATCAGTGTCATCCTGTTCTTCCCTACGAACAAGCCGGTTACGCCTACGAACATGAACTACGCAATTTGCGTAGGTGGATTCATTGCATTGTTCAGTCTTAGCTGGTGGTGGATCGGAGCACGAAAGTAAGTCCACCGCAATATCTATGATCCTCGCTCTTGTAGTCAATATACTAACATGTCTTCCCTAACAGGAGGTACACTGGCCCTCGCACCAAGGATATCATCGACGAACTCCCTACGGAGGATCCGGACGAGGTCATCAACGACTACGCATAACCTCACACCTCATAATTTCGAACATTGCATATACTCTCGGCCTTCAACATCGCATTACATGATCTACTTTTCTGCATGGTTGGCGTTCGAGCAAGCGGGGGATTTTTGGGTTCTTCAACCGTCATCTACATGATACCACCATTCGCTGGGATACTTTTGGGGGCAACACATTTTTTTGCATGAGCACGGCGTTTCTATCCAAAACTTCAAAAAGCACGACATCATATGAACAAGGGGGACTTTGGTTATTTCGAAAGGGATAACGGACATCAAAAACAGGGTGCGGGTTCGGGATTCGGAATTCGGGTATAAAGAGTTACTAGAGACATTGCAGGCGTTTGACCGCTGCTTCGCTCATATGATTTCCTCTTCCGACAGCAGCGTTCAAGGACTCTCTTTGGTCACTGCAGGCAGTACAGCTGTCAAATCTGTGTTTCAGTCATGCCCGGTGCCGGGGGAGGAGGAGGGCGTGACGGCGTCCCTGAGAACGGCCAGATAGCACCTACACCAGACCTGCGCCTCCAACAAGGCGGGGCCCTGCGCCGTGCAGCTGGCGGCTGCTGGAAGCCTGAAACTTGGTTGCCCACGGTGCGCACGGACGAAGTCAGTGCAAGGGAGCGGTGACAGGGACAGGGAAGGCACAGTGCGTCGATGCTGAAGCAGCAAGAGAGCCGCGGCCCGACAACGACAACGACGGCGACAACGACGACGCCTACGACGACTAAACGACCACGACTGCCGCGACTACGACCGTGACGCCGATGATGGGACGACGTGGACGAGGAACAGGGGGGGCTAGGAGCAAGAATAAAGCGCGTCCAATGGTCGAGCGTCGTGGCAAGTGCAACCGGAAGGCCGGGAGAAAGGGCTTTTCGTGAGTACGGATTGCCGAGCGGGCAGCAGAAGACGGGCGAGCGCCAGCCCTGCGTGCGTGCCCTGGCCAACGGGGGGCGAGGACGCTCGGCAGTGTTTCGAAAGCTTCTAGAAGGCGTGGCGAAGAAGGGGTTGGGGGTTGAGGGTGGGGGGGCAGATGTGGATATGGGCTCTGACAGTGCTCGGGCACCAGCTAGCGCGTCCCTGCAGCCGTTCACGGTTTGTGAGGGCTTGCCGTCCATTCATCCGGTGTCGATCGGACGAGAGCGTGTCTCTCCCTCGAGTCACGAGGCGCGGTGGTGCCAGACAAAGAATCATGGTCCGTTTTGCTGCTGCTGCTGCTCTCTCCCTTCCTCTCTGCTGCTCTCCGCTTGAGGTGGGCAGGGTGCGGAGGCGCGCATGAGGCCGGGCTTTGCGCGCGACATGCAAAACTAATGCACTCGGTATTGCCAGAGCCATTTACTGTATCGGGAGCCATGTAGGTACATCTCGTACGTACGCGGTAGGCAAGGTAGGTACTCTCTTGCAGCCAACAACAACAACCACGATCCATCGGCGCCCGACCCGACCTCGCGGATACCTTCCGGACGGAGCAAACTCGCTGCTGGAAGCATGACCAATAAGGGACGGGAGAAAAAACAAGACGAAAAAAAAAAGGGACACAAATGGCGCCAAGAGGCCCCGCAGCGCGGCTGAGTCTGCTCGCCAGGACCGACACCGGGGCCCGCCGTCCGGCTATGGGCGTTTCAATCGCGGCAGCGACCACCAGAGAAAGAGAGGGAGAGAGACAATCACAAAGAGCAAGAGTTGCGGTCACCGGGGATCACCGCCAGGGATCGGGATCCAACGTCATGATCAGAGATTTTATGCGCAGGTTCCACCGCACCGCACCGCACCGCACCGCACCGCGTCCGCCGCTAGCATGTACACCCCGTGTTGGGTGGGCATATGCTGGGGGAGAAAGAGGAGCGGGAGAGCAAGAGGAGCGGGCCACCTTTTGCAAGCGCTGCTCGTGACTCCTCCACTGCTCCCCTCTCTCCTCCGCCCCCCCCCCCCCCCCCCCCCCCCCCCCCCCTGCTTTGCTCCAATGCGGCAATATCGTAGTCAGCTGGCTGCTGCTTGCTGCTATTTTGGCCCCGTGCGGCCCGACTCGCGATGGGGACGAGATGGAGACAAAACTTTTCGGCGTCGCCTCCCGCTGTGCCGCGCCGACGTGGTCCTCGATGGCGAGCATTGGCGCCGAGGGTCTCGTGGTCACATGTCGCTGCCACTGCTGCGCTGTTTGCGGGGCGGCCGTTCCTGCTGCTGGGGAGGATTCGTGATGGGGTTGATGATACAGTGGGAAAAAAACTTTTTCCTTGCTCTGGTGGCATTATTGAGATTTGTCGTTTGTTGTTGCTGTCGTCGTTGCCGTCGTCGGCTTCGGGGGCTGCGCATATCACAAGAGGGGCCGTGGGGAGTTTCACGCGTTGTGGAGTCTGCTTGTGTGATTCTCGTCCGGACTTGCAGTCGATGATGTTGATGATGATGATGATGATGTTCATCAAACGGGAACTGCTGGTGCTGGCTCTGCGGTGAGGGGAATTCGGCGCTCATCGTCGGCTTCACAGCTTGCCAGTTGGCCCTTGAGGGAAGATCTTTTCGTCATGATGGCCGGGGTTCGTGCTGATGCGTAAATCAGAGTGGTCCACGTGCACGGTGATGGAAATCGGTCCATGGTGACGACTACTGCTCGATAAGGACTTGAATTCGTTTCAGAAGAATGGCGTCTACAACTTTTGGTAGAGCATGAACGGCTTGGAGGCGACGACGGCGAAACATCACACCATCCAGGGAATCCACAAGAACGAGAGAGGAAAAAAGCAACTGTCACATTTTTGTCAATGGTAGGATTCTCGGGTTATCCGACGTTGTTTCCTAATACGGCAGGCAAGCGCCAATATGTATGCCGTCATCCGGCTTAATACTCCTCAAGACATAAAAGCCACCAACCCAATGGTCGGCAACCCTAACCTCTATCGTGCTGCCGCCTAGCCGAAACTCACCCTTGCTTGCGAGGGCGGGCCCCCCGTTCTGAGCGCCGATGCCACCTTTTGCGCCGTTTATCAACATACCCACAACGCCATCGTGTTGTCCGTGCCAGACAGCGCACCACGGATCTGCCGTCCCGCTCATGGCGAGCTCATCGCCTCGTCCACAGCATCATCATCATCATCATCATTGTCGTACAACGGCTCGTCGATCTTGGGAGCGAACGGATGGCGCAATGCTGCCTCGGCCGTAATTCTCTTGCTCGGACCATACGTGGGACATCTCTCTATAAACTCTACGTCTTATTACTTGATGGATTATTAATATGTCAACCGTGCTTCTCTCGCGAGCTTAGCTAGTCCCGCGGGGATGCGAGAAAGCCTCTGTGAAGTTAAACTTTGCTGGACCGGTTTATATACTAGATGATGAATCTCTTGGATGAGTCTAATTCTATGCTGGGAATGTCAGTCTTAGGGACGTAGCTATGTAACAAGAGCGTGAATAGAACTGAAGTTGTAGAGGTCGTGGAGGAGCTCGAGCTTGTTGGGGATATAAAAGGGAGTGCTAGTTACGTAGGTCTTTAATGGCGATATAGCGAGGTATGCATTTCCGGAAAGTACGAGTTCTACGGTTTGGAGTAGACGTACTCCTAAAGTTTAAGTTCCTAGCCATTATTGTATTAGTGTAGAGTAGGTCCTCAGTCTTGTAAACGGTATAGAGTGTGTTTATATTCCGGGTCAATGACGCGTGAGAGCAACTGCGGGACATGAACCAATCTTTCTCGATGCGATTGATGAGACAATCACTTTTCCTAACACCCTCGAGACTCTCCTAGAACCGCTCCAAGTCGTTCATCGCCTCCATATCACCGCTGTCCCCGACGGTGCGACCGCTTTCTTCCAGCGGGTCGCGGCTCTCATCCATACGCTGCGGCTGATCATCCTCTTACTCGTCGATGTGGATGTACACTCGGAATTATTCAGTCCAATACTCCCTTGCTCTTGCCATTGTGCCGCTCCGCTGTTGGAAGTCCGTTGGTGTGGGTTGGCTGCACGTCGCGTTGGAGGAAGCGTCCTGGGAGTGATGTGAAAAAAGCACGCTAGCGACTTCCGATGTTTGTAAACACCGACAGCTGAGATTCTATCTCCGCCGCCTTGCCCAGCCAGCGCCCGACCGACCACAACCCACCAGCGACGAATGCGCCTTGTCGCGCCCTCAACCTGACCATCATGGGCGATCGCGTGGACTTCGACATCAACGAGAGCCTCAAAAACTACCTCAGCGACCCCTCCTCCATCGCCACTCCAGAGGCGCCCTCCGACCTCGCCGATTGCGAAAATGACCCCGAATCGCTCACGACCGCCGTCATAAACTCCGCCTTGAATCCCGTCGTCGACGCTGTGACGGACAACCCGGATGCTATTACGCGCAGTTCCAATTTTGATACTCTGCAATTCTTGCTTAAGTGCGCTCCTTCACTGCCCCCATCTGTATTCCGCCTGCGACCAGAACCTGACTGCTCTCTTTTAAAACTCACCAGAAACTCTTCTTTGCTTCCGACGTCTTCTTTGAGCAAAATCCTTGACCTTGTTGTCTCCGGACTGTCCTCCGAAGCCGATGTAGCTCACGCCGATCTTGAAGCTGACGAACAGGACACAATCTCCCACCACAAGCAGCTTCTGGAGCTTTTCGGATTCGTGTTGCAATGGACTATATCTGCCGTCGAGACCAAGGCTGCCGAAAAGCCGGCGTCGTCTACTGCGGGCAGAGGACGTGGTGGGAAGGGAACGAAGAAGAGTGGTGGGAAAAAGGATGATAACTGGGATGCCAAAGCACAGCTCCAGACATCGATGGACGTTATGAGCAAGGTCCTCAAGCTCAAGCTCGCCAGGATATTTGTGACAACTGCGGAGCGTGATACGTTCGTCAACCTATTCACGCGGCCGGTGTACCTCATACTGGAAAGCGAAGAGAGATGCAAGAGCAATGCGATCCGCATGCATGCTTTTAAGGTGTTGTGCATTTCGGTTAAACATCACGGGCATGCTTTTGGTAAGATGTCTGTTTTCTTTGTAGTACAATGTCTGACGTGGGCCTTCAGGTGCTCAAACCTCCATCATCCAAAACCTATCATACTTCGAGCACTTATCCGAACCAATGGCCGAGTACCTCCATATTTTGGCCGAACAATACGACTATCCTCAATTGACCGAGGAAGTTCTTCGTGAGCTGAGTAACAAGGAATTTAATAGCAACGATCTTAAAGGACCAAAATCCGTTTCTACTTTCATCACCAAGATCTCCGAGCTTGCACCTCGCCTCGTCATCAAGCAGATGACTCTTTTGGCCAAGCTCCTGGAGAGTGAATCTTACACTCTGCGCTGTGCGATCATAGAAGTTTGTGGTAACCTGATTGCTATGCTCAGCAAGCAGGACGACAGCGAACGTAGCGAGCAGAGCGAGGGCCAGATCAACGTATTTTTCGATGTGCTCGAGGAGCGCTTCTTGGACGTCAACCCCTATTGCCGATGCAGAGCCATTCAAGTTTACGTCAGACTCTGCGACCTCGAGGCGAAATACCCTCAAAGGAGACAATCAGCCGCAGAGCTTGCGGCCAGGAGCTTGGAAGACAAGAGCAGCAACGTTCGCCGAAATGCCATCAAACTTCTCGGAAAACTGGTCACCACACATCCGTTCAGTGTCCTACACGGCGGTCAGCTTTCTTTCGATGACTGGAACGCAAGATTGCAGAAAGTCGACGAAGAGATCAACGCACTTAAGCCCCCAGAGGAGTTGCAGGAAAAGAGTACTGTAGATGCGACTGTGGACGAGGGTTTGCTGGATGATGCGACTCAAGTAGACAACGGAGCTCCGGACCCAGCGGAGATGACCGAGGAGCAAAAGAAGGCAGCCTTGGAGAGAGCCGTCACCGAAGCCGCGACAGCTGAGGCTTTGAACAAGCTCAACCTTACCCGGAAATATTACCTTGATGCGATCCGTTTCATTGAAATCATCCACGCAGCCTCTGGCGTCGTTACGCAGCTTCTTTCTTCGAAGAACAAGAGCGAGGTTATCGAGGCTATGGATTTCTTCGTTATTACGGATGCTTACAGGATCCAAACGTCCCGTGTTGGAATTAGACGCATGCTCAGACTCATATGGACCAAGGGAAACAGCGACGAAGGCAAGGGTGTGCAGACTCACCTCATTGAGTGCTACAAAGGTCTCTTTTTCGACGCTCCTGATTCTTTCGACACCAACAATGCAGCAAATTATGTTGCTCGTAACATGGTCAGCTTGACGTTTGGCGCAACACCAGCAGAGCTTACTTCATTGGAGCAGCTCCTCAGCACAATGATGAAGCAGGATCTGGTCAGTGAGCACGTCATTTCGAAATTGTGGCAGATTTATGGTGCCCAGAAGAAGGGCAAGGAGACCTCGAAAACACAGCGCCGCGGTGCCATCATTGTTCTTGGCATGCTCGCTCTGGCCGACCCTGACATTGTTGTCAAGGAGATGGAGACTTGTCTGCGAATTGGTCTAGGCGAGCTCGGACGGAGAGATCTTGGTCTTGCCAGGTATACTTGTGTCGCTTTGAGGAGAATCAATGCTGCAGCACAGGCTAGCAAGGGAATGGTGTCTGCTGCTGCAGCCAAGCTTCCCAATGACCACGCAGTACTGGTAAGGCTAGCGGCCACTATGGATATCGAATCCAACAACAAAGAGTGGTTTGGTCTCGCTGAGCAAGCTATCGATGCTATCTATGCTTTGTCCAAGCACCCTGACACCCTCTGCTCCGAAATAATCAGGCACAAAACCAAGAAAGTTTTTACGCCTAAGGAGCCAGAGAGGCCACAAACGGCTGATCCGGATGCCATGGACGTTGACGAACCCGAGAACCGTCCCGCTAGCCGGGATTCCCAATCTGACGAGAAGAAGTATCGCCCCGCTCTCGCGCTGTCACAACTCCTGTTCATCGTGGGACATGTCGCCATAAAGCAAATTGTTCACCTCGAGCTCTGCGAGCAAGACTTCAAGCGCAGGAAAGCTGAGAAGGAGAAGAACGGTACCGCCGGTGACAAACGTAAATCCATTGCTGCCACGCCGGCCAAGAAGTCCAAGGCCCAGGAAGAGCAGGACGAATTGGATTTGATTGCTGGCACCACCGAGGATGACTTTACGGAAGCCCTGGCGCACATCCGTGAGCGCGAGCTTCTGTATGGCCCCAACTCTCTTCTTGCCAATTTCGGACCGCTGGTTGCTGAGATCTGCGCAAACAACCTGAACTACGCAGACAGCACGCTGCAGGCGCAGGCCGCTCTCTGCCTAGCCAAGCTTATGTGCGTCAGCTCCGAGTACTGCGAGCGGCACCTCGGGTTGCTTTTGACGATCCTGGAACGCAGCAAGGACGCCGTGGTACGGTCAAACCTGGTGGTTGCGCTGGGCGACATGGCCGTCTGCTTCAACCACCTGATCGACGAGAACACGGACTTCCTGTACCGGCGCCTCAACGACCGCGACGCCTCCGTCAAACGCACTTGCCTGATGACGCTGACGTTCCTGATTCTGGCCGGCCAGGTCAAGGTCAAGGGCCAGCTGGGCGAAATGGCAAAGTGCCTCGAGGACGAGGACAAGAAGATCGCGGACATGGCACGCATGTTCTTCTCCGAGCTCGCGACAAAGGACAACGCCGTGTACAACCAGTTCGTGGACATGTTCAGCGTCCTCAGCGCCGACAACAGGCTCGAAGAGGAGGCGTTTAGAAGGATCGTCAAGTTCCTGTCCGGGTTCATCGAAAAGGTAAAGAAAAAAAAAAGCTCCCAATCCTCCTCCCCCCGCGTTATCCATGCCTTGCTAACACAGCCACAACAGGACAAGCACTCCAAGCAGCTGGCCGCGAAACTGGCGGCGCGTCTGCCCCGCTGCGAGAGCGAGCGCCAGTGGAACGACGTCGCGTACGCGCTGGGCCTGCTGCAGCACAAGGACGAGGAGATCCAGAAGCTCGTCGGCGAGGGCTTTAGGGTCGTGCATGCGAATGCGTAGGCGCGTGTGCGTGTGCGTGTGTGCGTGTGGCGCGATGACTTACGTATGGTATGTACGTGGATATCGTGGATATGGATGGTCGGGCGGCTGCTTTAAGGGCGTCATTGGTGGGTGCGGGATAAGGGCATATTGGAACGGGTTGGAGCGGAGCTGGGATGGGAGCCTATTACTTGCTAGTTACTTGCTTACTCTTTGGGACACGGACGGGCGGATTGGAGCGGTGGTGTTGTTTTCGTTGTTGTTGTTGGTTTTCGATGATACTTTGTGTCGTCATGACGAAAAAACCATCCTCCATGGAAGACAAGCCTGCGTCCATGCATGTGGTTGGTTATGTGCTACGAAAGAATCAAAAGTGTGCTTTTTACTGCAGTTGTAGTGTAGTGTAGCTGCTGCCTGTGTTGAAATCGTTACATACACTAGGAGTTGGTTATTGACTGCACTGCATTTCTTCTTCTGGAAGCTATAAACAACAACAACAACAACAACGGCATGGCATACATAGTAACAGGTGGGTAGGTATCATGGCGTGCGTGCGTGGTGCCATTCTCCGAGAGAGAGAGAGAGAGAGAGAGAGAGAGAGCTCCTCTCGAACAATATGCTAGCCGCTTGAGCAAGTCAAGTCAAGTCAAGCATGCATGCGACCAGTGAGTGAGTAGTCAATGTTGAGCCACTGAAGTGAGTGACTGGGTAGGTGAGTGAGGTGAGTGAGGTACATACATACGTATGTAGTTAGCCCATCGATCTGTATTTGTAGACCTTAATTTTCAAAAGACTTTTTTCTCGGTTTAATTCAAATACAGGGAAAAATGGGGTATATATCTCCATGTCCATGTCCCCACCAAGACCCTCGTCCTCGTCATCGTCATCGTCAACGGCATCATTTTCGTCCACGATGCATCTCCCATCTCCCATCTCCCACCACCAGCACCGCACCAACAACCTCTCTCCCTTCCAAAATCCGCACACCCATCCCACCCCGCAGCACACCCCACTCACTCACTCATACTCATCCCCAGCATACTCCTCGTTAAACTCATCCCCAGCCGAGAAATGATTCAACGGATTCAGCGCTCGCGCGTACGTCTCGTCTTCGCCTTCCTCGTCCTCTTCTTCTTCCTCGTCCTCTTCCTCCTCTTCTTCTTCCGCTTCGTCATTGTCATCGGCAATGACATGCGGGTCTTTGTTTGTGGCGCCGCGTTGTTGTTGTTGCGCGCCCTGCTGCTGCTGCGTCGCAGGCGGCGTCGCCAGCGCGCCACCCCTGCAGGATAACGACGACGACGACGGTGCACCGCCGCCGCCATCGTCTTCGACGAGTCCCTCCTCCTCGACGACCTCGCCCCCGGCGTGTGGTGGTGCCGGGCTAGCAGCCGTGCTCTGTCTCGCGCTGGCATACTGGCTCGTAGACGCAGAAGTCGAGTCCAGGGGCTCCGCGGCGTCGTCATCGTCAGCAGAGCGCATAATAGCGTTGAGTTTCTCGTAGTTGATGTTTTTCGAAAACCCCTTGCCACGGCGCTGCAGCATGCGCTGGGCGGCGTCGGCGGGGCTGGCGATGGGCGAGTCGGCCTCGAGGCCCGCCACGTCGCCAATCTGCGTGTGCTTGCGCTTGCGCGTCTGCTTCTTCTTGGGCCCGCCGTTGGCCTCCTCGAGCGCCTTTTTCAGCATCTTGGCTTGCTGCGCGCGCAGCCAGTCCTCGTTGTGCGTCACCCAGATGCGCTCTTTGATGGCGATTTCGGCCGGGCTGAGCAGGCAGTTGGCTACTTCCGGGTCGTCGTCGAACTCGTGCTCCTCGACGTGCGGCTCTTCGTTCGTCCGCATCGTGCCTTCTTGCATCTGCAAGGCCAGGGCGCGCGACCGCGCTTCGATCAGCCGGAATTCGTTGTCGCCCATGTTGTTGACTATGTCGGGATCATGGATGACTCGCTCGATTTCTTCTTCAATCTCCTGTTCGATGAGCAGGTCCTCGTCGGCGAGCGGCGCAATGACCTCCTTCTTCTTCTTCGGTGGTCTGCCGCGTTTCTTCTTGGGCGCCGAGTCGGCGCCTTCGCCCGTTAGCTCCTCCATTGCCAGATTCGTTGCAGCGAGCAGGCTCGGATCGATAGGCAGATCCGGGCGATCGGGAATGACGAAGCCATCTGCATCCCGGCGTGGTGGACGCGGCTCAGGCGGCGCAGCTGATGTCTCCCGCGACCCAGCATCCGAGATTATGGTTGCGTCTTCCGCGTTGTTCTCTCGCGCCATTATCCTGCGACGTTTCGCTTCACGTTCTCTCGCCTCGTACACAGCGGGCGGCTCGATTTCTTCTTGAAGCTTGTTCCCCAGGCGACGGAATTGGTCGACCGTCAATCTTCCACTCTGCGTCCGCTTGAACTCCACAAGACGCTTCGCGATGGTCATGTCGGCAACCTTGACCACGTACACCACCTCACGAACCGTTCGGCGGAAGTTGTTCATGCGCGCAGCGAGGACAATGCATGCGCCGCAGATACCGGCCGGCTGTCTTCCTTCGACCATCCAATCTCGTTTCATGCGGCGCAGAAGCTTGACTGCGTCCTCGGCGACCTTTCTTCCTCCAACCGGTCCAAACTCGAGTTTTTGCACGTACTTCTCGATCAGTGGCTCCGGCTCCAGCATCTTGTAGCTGTCCTTGCTGGCGGCGTCCTCCATGAACAGCACTTTTAAGAGAGCTTTGTATGTCTCACCGAGCTTGAAAACGTTAAGCTAAATCGTGTCAGAACAGTCGACTCACTTCAGATACAAGAGCACACACCTTTATTTTTTCCGCAAAGTCTATAAGCAGGAACTTATTCCCTGCGGTCTGTCTGCAGGCATAGTAAAGAGCGCACGCCGCCACGACGGCAGGGCGACGACCGTGGACAAAGGCGTGCACCACAGCCAGCTTGTATAGACGCAAGGCTTGCGATTCGATATTGTCGTTATGGATCCTAAGGGAGCTCATGAGACCACGAATGGCATCCCTGCCTAACGAGCCAGCGTCAGCAGCATTCAACCACAGACCAAAGCATCGCTCTACCTACCATTCTGCTCGGACATGCTCTTGCCCTCGCTGCTGCCAGCACCAATACGGCGGCCAGCAGTGCCCATAGTGTTTGCGAAGCGCTGGTCATCGCCAACAGAGCCACCCATGACCATAGCGGCGCCAGCGGACGTCTCGCCAAAGGTGACCTCGGCGACGATGTTGGACTCGCTGATCATAGCACCGCAGTTGGCGCATACCTGGGCGCCGTCGACTTCCTGGATGTCCGGCGCCGAGCAGCAGCTGGGCCGCTTGGGCTTGTTACGCGGCTGCAGGGCGCCCACGGGCCGTGATTTGCCCGCATCTTTGAGCGAGGAGAGGCGCTCCCTGCGCGCATGCGGACGCGGGACCGCGCTCATGGTGGTGATGGTGGGTCGAAGGCGGAGATTGCTGATGAAGAAGTGCGAGTGAAGGCGATGTTTGCTGCTGGGTATCGGTTTGGGCTAAGCCGGTGGGCGCCATGGTGCCTGAGGGCGCGTTTACAGGGCGCGACGCGTCTCCATAGCGATAGCGAGCGGGAAGATTTATTTGGAGTCGCGATTGGTGGTGACGGGGGTGGCTCGGTTGGGTGGGTGGGTGTGAAGGCAGGAAGGGCAGCGGCTGCGGGGGTTGCGTGGGTGAGTGGTTAAGGCGCTTCGGTGTGCTTACTGTAAGCGAGAGCCACGCATAAGCCGCCTTGTTCGATCCGCGCGGTGGGCTCCACGACTTTTCTTCTCTTCACTTCGGGGGGGGGTTTTTTTTTTCGCTTTTGCTCCCACGTCCCACGTCTCACGTCCCCATCACCACCACTTCCCTACACACGTACCGTCACGCTAGCACGTGACGCTATAACGGATTAGGCAGTTTGATGGGCGCAAAGGAGCTTGCACTGACACAACCAGACGGGATACATCCCACACCGTACATTTTTACAGAATACATTGCATGCGTCGGATAGAGTGGACAGAAAGCAAATCAGCTATTAATAACGATTTGTTCTCTATATATCTCTGCCAGAATCGAAAGCTTCTCCCTCTGGAATAAGAATAAGACCAGCTCTACTGTCAAGTGGTATCAAGAAGAGACACAACAACATTACCGCCAAACGCCATGCATGGAATGAACGTGTCACGCGAGCAAAAAATAAAAAGACGCTCTACTCGTCATCGTCCCAAATCTGGACCTTGTCCGCATACTCCTTAATCCTCGAAACGACCATTTCCTCAATCGTGTCGCCCTTGCCGCCCGCGACCTTGAGGATCAAGTCGTTGAGCGACGAGCGGCCGAGAATGTCGACGTGGTCGCCTAGATCGCTGTGTTAACAACATCGTTCTTCCAATATCGTCGATAGCAGAAAACTTACCCGTGTTGGGGCCGCCCCGTGGCGAGAACCTGTCCGGCTCGTGCGGCATCTCGTAGGTCACGACTTTGACGCCCGCCGGGTTGTACCGCTTCATCTTCCAGCCCTTGGAGCACATGTAGCCCGAGCTGAGCAGGTTGACCGTGCCGTCGCCCTCGCCCATCACGATGCCGTGGTCGGCCTCGCCCTCGGAGTACGCTGTGTCGACGGTGACGTTGATGGCGGACAGGGGGTCGAGGTCGTCCCTGTAGAAATAAGCTCGCTCTGTCGCCTTGCCGATGCCGTAGAAACAGTAGATCTTGAGGTTGGGCGCTATGGGGAGGCGCGTCTCAAGAGGGTTATGCCACTTGGAGGGGTCGAGCTGGTTGTCTTCCACCTGCTCTTTCTTGTGTGCCACGCCGAACGAGTAGCTCCTCATAACCTGCTCTTTGTACCAGTCTGGAGCCTGGGTAAAGAGGTACGGTATCGACTCGGAGACAGTCAAGTTCTTAGGCGTTTGGGTGTTGTTGCTGTCCTTGAAGTTGATGAAAGTCCCAAAGCTGATTTTCTGGCCAGGTTGATCGTCTGGTGCCCAAGTTCGGTTGCCCCATACAGCATCACCGCCAATGGGAAGCATGCTGCTAATACCGGGCATGGCACGGAATAGTTCCGCACGCTCAGCGCGGCTCAGGAACTTTTCCAGCCCGTAGACCGCAAAGGCATTGAGCTGCGCCGTGTCCTTCATTTCGCCTGACAAGACAGCGGGCATGCCCTTCGGCGTTCCCAGCATGCATCCGCTAATGTTGATCCACGAGTCGATGAAGGCTTCGACCCAGCCGGGGCCGCCGCCGCCATAGCCCTCGGCTTCGACCCAGTGTAAAAAGTAGTACAAAACCTGCGAGCCCATACTGTGCGAAAGAAGCGTGACCTTTTTGTTGCTGATGCGGACCGCTATCTCAATGTGCGACTTCAGGCGAGTGAAGTACTGGTCGCGCACTTCGTAGTTCGCATAGGACATGCGCCAGTCGTACGCAGCGGTGAAGGCGTTCGTCGGGTCATAGCCTATGGTCGCCAGGTTCTCCAGAATCTTGTTCCAGATCCAGTATCCAGTGATGAAGAAGTCGGCAGCATCGAAGCCTTGAGCCGCGCGCAGCTTGATGCCTCCCGGCGGATCCATGCCGGTCTCTTTGTCCAGCATAATATGCCTCTTCCAGCCCGCCTTATCCGTGACCAGCGCTCTCATCATGCTCCAGCTGCCCCATAGCCGCTTCCGGAAGTATTGCCGCGAATGTTCTTCTGTGCTCCAGCTCTCGAGGCCGGTGGAGATGACGCCGGGGATCATGATAACGGGGTGCATAGCTTTGACGCCCTGCGAGCGCGCATGCATGCCGACGGCGAAGGAATCGTAGGCGACGGCTTCGCGCTCATGTCTCTACACGGCGCAGGAGGTAAGTATGGGGTTCATTGAGCATCGCAAAGGGAGCCGGGCCAAAGAAAAGCAAGTACTATACAGACAAAGTCATGTTAGGCATCTGGAGGCTTACTTGGAAATCCCGGACATCCGAGATCAGGCCTGCGGGCAGCAAGTCGGCAATGGCCTCGAGATTCATATCGGTCAGGGCCGACAGGTCGATCATCTCGTTGTTCTGGGCAAACATGGCGGCGCAGACGATGCCAAACAGGCCGCCCAGGCCGAAGACCCACGCGTTCCATCTCTTGCTGCCTCTGAGCGCGGGCTTCTTGGAGGTGAGTTTGTGGAGTTTCGTGGCCGGGATGACGCGGTACTGCTCGGCCTGCGCAGGGTCCGGGGTTGGTTCGCGCGAGATGTCGGTCGAGGACGTGTCGCCGCCAGCCAGACGACGGCGTAGAAAGGACATTATTTTTTCTTGGGGGGAGGAGGAACAGTGCGAAGGAAGGAATCTGGCGGGTGTTTTTGTGATATAGCTCCCGCGCCTAAGCATGCCCTCCGAACTTCCCCTCGTCATTGCTTTGCTTCGTTGGCCAGAGCTTGCATCCAGGGAAATCTCGCGCCTGTTTCGCCCACGACGACGACTCCAATCTCCCTCATTCGGGCTGTGCGCGCAACTGCAATGCCGCCCAAGTCCAAAGCCAAGAAGGCGGCCAAGAAGGAGCCGGAGCTCAAGTACATCCAATATGACGGCCAGAAGGAGGAGCACTACCTCCCCGCCATCCGGCAGCTCATCTCCAAGGACCTGTCGGAGCCGTACAGCATCTACGTGTACCGCTACTTCCTCTACCAATGGGGCGACCTCTGCTACATGGTAAACCACCTCCGCGGCGACGCACGACCAGCGCGCAAGCCAAACTAACGCGCGCGCCCGTCCAGGCCCTAGACGACAAGTCGAACCTGATCGGTGTCGTCGTGTCCAAACTCGAGCCGCACCGCAGCGGCACCTTCCGCGGGTACATTGCCATGCTGGCGGTGCAAGAGGAGTACCGCGGCCGCGGCATCGCCAGCAAGCTCGTCAAGATGGCCATCGACGCCATGGCCGGCCGCGACGCCGACGAGGTCGTCCTCGAGACCGAAATCACAAACACCGCTTCCATGCGCCTCTACGAGCGCCTCGGCTTCCTCCGCAGCAAGCGCCTCCACCGCTACTATCTCAATGGGAATACCGCGTTTCGCTTGGTGCTGTACTTGAAAGAGGGCGCGGGCTTGAAACGCCCCTTGGAGCCTGGAATGGGCGGCGTGCCTCCGCTGCATGCTTCGGAGCAGTTCTATTGATGTCGTCGTGGTTTGGCATGGCAAAAGAGCTGGTTGTTTTCTTGCTGGCATGCATCTGAAATATCTCGGAGCTGAAGCAAGAGGCAAAACGCGTACAGTATGCTCCAGATACCCCTAAACGGTCACTCCGACCCGATACCAAAGTCCACAATGGGAAGCCAATAGTGTATAGACGTACATAAGGCCTCGGACCAAGTTGATGTAGGTTGATCAAAGGCCTTGAAACAGACAGCATGTGGTGTGTACAGCGGAAGAGCACATTTGCGGCTCTAGCCTGACGGTCTCGTCAACGCAATGCCTTACAGACGTCCTTGTGGGCCTTAGCCTGCGGGGCATTGTTAAACGTGAGCTCAGAGCCAACTCAGTATGGCACCTTCGTAGGATCAAGAAGATTACATATTCAATGAGTACAGAGCATTGTCGATACTCGAAAATGTACTGAAAGCTATCTAGGCTTGAACATGGACTACATACACGCGTTCTATCTTTTCTTTATTCGAGTCTTCTACATCTCTATGTACGTCTGTGCATCATCATCAACAATCTCCCTTTCCTTTTCCCTTTCCACAAAATACCTATATACACCCCAACAAACAACCTCAGTCTCCAACTTTCCTCTATCGCTCATCTCCCACCCCCTCCCCGCCCCAGCACCATCCCAGACGCAGGCAACGCCTCCCGCGCCGCGCCTTCACCCGCCTGTGGCCTCGCCCGCCACACGCGATGCGCCAGCCGCTCATGAAAGACGGCATCAGCCCCCGTCGCAAAAACCGCCGAACAGAGCGCGCAACGATATTGCAGCAGGGGCGGCGGGCCCAGCACTGGCACTCGGGACTCCGTCGCCACACCCGCCTTAAATGCCACGCCCCCCGGCCCCCCAACCCACAGCGCCATATCCAAGCCCTCAGCAAAATGCGCCGCGACATGCTCGACGCGAGCCGGCCAATCGCGCAAGGGCGCCAAGCCGCAGAAGCCGCAGGCCAGCACGAGCGGCGCGCCGCGCTCGACGCGGCGGCACCAGGCGCCGACGTTTGCGGCTGCGGCGGGTGCGTGCCGGTGCACTTGGCCGAGGTGCTGTATTAGCTTGTCTTTGCGCGTGAAGGTGCGGGCGGAGAGCGGGGCGGCGAGGCAGGGCGCGACGTTGTGGGTGGCGAGGTGCGCGGCGGAGGGGTTGGGGGCGTTGCAGAAGACGCAGTGGACGTCGTTGGTGACGGCGCTGGTGGTGGTGGTGGTGGTGGTGGAAGAGGGGCAGGGGCTGCGCGTCGCGGGCCCGTCGGGCATGCACACCCATTCTTTCTGCGGGAGATGCACCGATTCTTCGTGGCGCCGCCAGTCGTACTTCTGCGCAAAGTCGCGCACGCAGAACGTGCACTGGTAGATGCGATGGGGGTCTGCGCGCGGGCGGGCGACGCTGATGTTGCTGCTACTGCCACTGCTGCTCGCGCCGCCGGTGCTGGGCCCGCCGCCATGGAAGGAGAAGACGCGGTGGCGTTTGCGGCCGCGGCGGGGGGCGTAGTTGGCGGCCGAGTCGAGGCTTGCGTGCGACGAGTTCGAGCCCGAGTGGCTGCTGAATGCGGCCTCGGAGTGCTGCTCCTCTGCATGCACGTGGCGGGAGAGTTTGTGCGAGGACGTGTGAGAAGGAGATATCGAGGCCGCCGGGTGCTGCAGCAGTATGTCCTCCGAGAACCCTTCTTCCTCTGGAGAGCTCGACAGGTACCGCTCCATGGGATCCTGTTCTACCGGCGATGGAGCCTGAGTGGACATTGCGGAAAGAGTCTGAATGGTTACAGGTACGGGCTGCTTCCCTCTCCGAACGTTTGCTTTTTCCTTTTTGCTTGGACTGCCCTCTTCGCCTCCCGACGTTGCCGAGTCTCGGGAAGGCGTGCTATGGTACATCGAAAGCTTCCTCGCTCTGGCGTTTGCAAAGAACGTGCGAACCTGTCGTCCTGTCAATCCGGTGGCCTTTGAGAGATTTAAAACTTCCTCCTTGTCCACATAAGGGTCTTCTCGGTGGTCATCGAACCATTTTTGGAGCACTGCCTTGGCTTGGGGAGGGATGCGCTGTCGTCCTCTTTGTGTCTCTGGACTCGCTTGTTCATATTCCTCAGTGGCGGCAGGCGACTGTCCTAAGGGAGGAGTGCTGAAGATGTAATTGAAGCCATGGTCTGGAGGCACTGGCGTAGCGTTCGGTTCTTGGGCGTCTGGCAAGGGCGTTGGTATGTATCCGCCATACGGGCCGTTCTGGAGCCCAAAATTTCCTTGGAGAAATTGCGGTTCTGGCCAACCGGCGCCGGATGGAGTTTGTAATGTCCCGTAGGAAGGGAAAGCTTGTTGTGTCCCAGATGATGCCCACCTTGGAATGTGAGTAACAGGGCTGATCTATCGGGTAGTAAACGCATCCAACTTACCAGGTCATCGTGCCGCCATAGTCCCAAGAGGGCGGATTTTGATTTTGCTCAACCCCCGGCATGGCATACCATTGGTTGAACGAAGCGACGCCCTGATCTTGGAACCCATATTGCTCCGCTGCCTCCTCTTGCTTCCCACGGCCATGTCGTTCATTTGGCTCCATGTTCGTTCAAAGAAAGACGTTGCTTCAGCTATTACTCTATGACACACCCATTAATTGTCTTTATATTTGGCACACGATCGACCCAAACGGACCTAGTGCGGAGCTCCTTACGGCCAAGCTGCTTACACATTGCGCCCTGTTTATCAGCTTCAGCTAAGCGGGGCATAATGACAGTTCGGCGGTCGTGCTTCTAGCAGCATCGGGATCAGCAGCCCTCCCTGGGGCAATGGGCACGTAGCATCAGTCCTACAGCCATGGCCCGCATTATGGAGCATACATGCATGCGCGAGAAGGTGCCGGAGAAGGCGAGAGACGAGAAGAAGGACTGACAAAAAACGAATGGCTGATTACGTGACTCAAGCAAGAAGGCGGCTTGCATGGGCCTAGGTAGAGTCATGTCATGGCTTTCCTGGTGTAAGAGGGTAGTAAAAATAGCCTGAATGGGTCGCCGGATCTCCAGGAATATACGTCAGCGCAGGATCGAGTCGGCCGTGGAAGCGTGTGCACCGAGTAAAGCCTCCTCGGTACGAGCCAATAGATACGTCGAGGATTCGCGCAGGCATCTTAAGAAGATGGGCCTGCATATGCAACCCGGCGCTCCGGACCCGGGTGCAACGGCCAGCGGTGAAGAAATCTACGCTACGAATCTGTCAGCAGCTCCATTGCCCCAGGTACAGTGTGTGCGACAGTCAAGTCAGCCCGGAAGTCGCACCTTTGGTCGCCCGACGTGCTTTCTTTCTCAGCCTTGCCGACCTACACCACGCGACGATCTCCCGACTGACATCATCATCATCAGCATGATCCAGAGTCCATCCATATCACATCCTCCTCCTCCGGACCTCCGTCGCGCTGCATGGTATAAATAAAAAATCGCACCGCATAAAGTGCCACACGAGGCTGGAAGTGGTCCTCTGTTCCCGCATGGTAGCAGCGCTGCGTTCACGTCTTTCCATCGAAGCTACCCTCCCTTGTCATCCAACACGAGTAGGTGCCCAACTTACCTAGCGAGTACGACCACACCTCCAACCGGACGAAACAGGCCCACCTTCCGGTGTCTGCCGCCTAGGTGTACAAAGATGGAGCCTCATCGATACGGACACCACGCTTCGTCTTCGGATACGATCACCAGGGCCTGTGACGCTGACTGTCCACATGGTCGTCCGCTCATACGTACACCTAGCTGCAGGTACGAAGGTAGAAGTACCCGATGCCGTGGAAACGGAATGTCTACCTAACCACTTGCATGCATATGCCGCGAGATCTGCAATGTTGCCTGAATCGTTTTCATCTCATTTGATATGGAGTAAGAGTCACCTCGTGTATGGGCAAGAATTCCAAATTTAAACGCATACAACGGTCCATAAAGAGACAATATCAATATTTAATGTATCAGTATGATCGCTTCTTCATTTGCTTCGGAAGCAAGTCAAGATCATGATTACAAACTGGTGTGGGGAAATAAGAAGTTTGGAGGTTGTTTTCGTATCTTTTCCGAGTATTTATAGCACCCAAAGCCACGGATTCCATGACTGAATAGTTTACTTCACGGTCACAGAACAACTTTCTTTCCTTTGACTTAAATCAGTGTTTAACATATGGAAATTCCGTATTGGATTCAGTCGGCTGCCATGGCAGCCAACTTTGAGGCCGAGACTGGCAAGCGCCGCCTTTACCATGCACTTCCGCGGCCGCAAGATGGTCATGGAAAGACATCTATACCACCTATAACACCTCCGTATCCTACAGAGAAACTATGCACAGACCAGACAATTGCAGCATTTCGCTTATGCTTGCTATACGACTGGTTAATCTCATTTTTCGCTCCTTGATATCCTCCGAACCCCGCACACAAACATCCCTTACATCTTCCAGCCCACATTTTCCACCGTCTAGTAGTGAATGGCCTTGTCGTAGGCAGCCATGGCCGCCTCCTTGAAGGCCTCGGACAGAGTCGGGTGGGCGTGGCTGACGCGCGCAATGTCCTCCGCGCTGGCGCCGTACTCAACAGCAAGACCCGCCTCCGCAATCATCTCACCGGCGTTGGGGCCGACAATGTGGACACCAAGGATGCGGTCAGTCTCGGCATCGGTGATGAACTTGACCATACCCTCGGTGTCGAGGTTGGTCTTGGCACGGGAGTTGGCCGAGAAGGGGAAGCTGCCGATCTTGTACTTGATACCGGCGGCCTTGACCTCAGCCTCGCTCTGGCCAACCCACGCAACCTCGGGGTGCGTGTACATGACAGAGGGAATGCAGCCGTAGTTGACGTGGCCGTAGTTCTTGGTGATGTACTCAATGGCAGCGACGGCCTCCTCTTCGGCCTTGTGCGCCAGCATGGGACCGAAAGTGCAGTCACCAATGACGCGGATGTGAGGAAGCTTGGTGCGGTACTCCTGGTCAATGACAAGGCGGCCCTTCTCGTCGGTCTCGAGACCAATGTTCTCAACACCAAGGCCGGCGGTGTAGGGACGGCGACCAATGGCAACCAGGACAACGTCGGCGTCCAGCTGAAGTCCATTAGTTAGCGGCAGAGCTTCAAGGTAGTCAGAGCAGGACTTACGGTCTCCTCCTTGCCACCCTTAGCAGCCTCAACGTTAAGCTTGACACCCTCGCCCGCGGCATCACCGCTAGCAACCTTGGTGTTAAGCTTGAACTTGATGCCCTGCTTCTCAAGAACCTTCTTGGTCATCTTGGAGATCTCGGCGTCCATGCCGGGGCCACCGATCTGGCCCAGGAACTCGACAACGGTGACCTCAGCGCCCAGACGGGACCAGACGGAGCCCTATGCAATAATTAGCATGCAGTCGCATTGCCGTGACGAGCAGTGGACCATACCATCTCGAGGCCAATGATACCGCCACCAATGACAACCATCTTCTTGGGGACCTGCTTCAGCGCAATGGCGCCAGTGCTGGTAATGACCTTCTCCTCGTCGATGGTCAGGCCGGGGAAGGGAGTGGCCTCGGAACCAGTCGCAATGATGATGTTCTTGCCGCGCACCGAGGTCTCGCCGCCCTCAATGAGGTTGACCTTGACAGTGTGCTCGTCCGCAAACGCGCCGGTACCCTTGATGTACTCGACGTTGTTCTTCTTGAAAAGGAACTCAATGCCCTTGGTGAGACCGGAAACCGACGTCTCCTTGGCCTTCATCATCTGCTCGAGGTTGAGCTTGACATCGCCGACCTCGATACCGCGGTTCTTGGTGTCGTGCAAGATCTGGTGGTACAGGTGCGAGTTGTTGAGCAGCGACTTGGAGGGGATGCAGCCGACGTTCAGACAGGTGCCACCGAGGGAGCCACGCTTCTCGATGCAAGCGACCTTCAGGCCAGCCTGACCGGCCTTGATGGCAGCGACGTATCCAGCGACACCACCGCCAATGATGACGAGATCCTTCTCCGGAGCTTCGGTGGCATATCCTCTTCTTGACCGGTCAACGAGGAAGAACGTTGAGCTGGTGGAGCGGAAGGCGCTGGAGGGGGCGCCGAGAGGGCGGAGGAGCGACCTCGAGGTCGTCTTGGGTATCATCTGTCTGAACATGGCGGGCAAAGGAAGGGAATGGATTGGGGGAAGGGCGGAGTGGAGAAGGGAAGCTGCTCTGAGGTTGCTGACGATATCTGCTGGGAGCCGAAAACGCTCGCGGAGCACCGGGCGGCGACGGTAAAACGCGGGATACAAGGCTTGGCAAAAATGGAGCCGAACAACGCTGTAGGCGGTTAAGTCCGACGTCTAACACTGCATAAGCGGTCGTGTATTCGCTGCTTACTTGTTCTCAGCCCATGATGTTTAAACACTTATGTTCTTGGATGCATTGGGTCGCTTGCTCCAGTGGTTGCTGGTAGTAAATGGCGCCCCTGGCTCTCTGCTCCAGCTCCAGGCTCCCCGAGCTCTCATGCCTCTCTCCTAGGTACTAGGAGTACGAGTAAGCACTGTAAATGGCCGGAGGAACTAGAAGCCGCAGAGTCCGGCGAGAAACATAGTCAGCAGCAAGAGGCGTAATGAAGGGAAGCCCAAAATGGTATTCGTTACTGTCTCAGGCTAGCTTAAGCTGGAGGTTTACAAAGCCTGTGCTACGATTCGGTCATCACGACTTGCACCAAACGAAGCTCCATTTGTACATGAATCGCTACGCTATTCCTCCTCCTCGATCCTCTGCGTGGCAAGCACTGTAAGAGCATCGATAGCCACCCGGCAGCCCCACCGAACGGTCTCCCTCTCGGACTTGCTTCCCCCGACATCCCCCTTACTCACAACCTTGTCCAAGAAGTACTGCAATCCGCGAGCCATTTGTGGTGCATCTTTCGTCCTCATGACAACGTCCATCAAAGCTTTCTCGTCCCTGTGGTTCTTGGTTTGTTTTTGTGACCGCAGGATGATTGTCGCGAGCAGTACTTCCACAAAGGCTTCAGTTTTGGGCTGAAGATAAGCAAAGTTCAATGTCTGGGCGCATTAATCAGTATAAATCCGACAAGTAAACCAGGGCTGCATACCTTGAGCACCGTGATGGGCAATCCGCCTTCGGCAATCAACGTTCCAAACATTTTGGCGAGGTTGACAATCTTCCTTGTTGTCAAAGCCTCCTCGCCCTCTTCCTCAAAATCTGCATCGTCGGCATCGTCCTTCTCGCCCATGCGTTTGAACAAGTCCCAAAGACTGAATTGGAAAGCCATTCTTAGCTTTTTCTCCGAGCATAGTCGACGAGCGATTATAGTGTAATAAGGATTGTAGCTCTGTTCGGCGCCTCCGCAGTGGATCAAGACTCGAGGTATCTCCAGCTCTTGAGCCTTCTTTAACCTGAGCTTCAACAGCCGTAAATGTGCATCTTTGTAATCAGACGCCGACATGATCGTGATGAAAATGGCGCGTCTGATGTCCGTGTTCATGCGTTGTTCCTTGGCGAGCTGCAGCAGGTCGGTCGTTCCACTCTCAATTATCTCCTCCGCATCTACACTTTCCCTGTCCTTCTTACTCTTGTGATGCGTCTCTTCCGTTGATTGCTTGCCCTGGGCTTCGTTCTTCCAGCTCGCTCCGACGAGCCACCACTTGCCCTTTTTCTCCGTGTCACGGAGGTCTTGAAGACCAATTCGCAGTGGCTCGCTTCCCTTGAGGTTCCTTGTGTTGAGCGTGCCCAGGGTTTTCTTCATACGAATAGTATGCTCTGAAGTTATGGCTGAGGCGACAGCGCCAGTTTTCATGCGGTTGTTTTTCAAATTGTTGATCGTCTCGATCATAAATTTTGTACGCACGGAAAGGTTGGCTTCGCCCGTTTTGGCTACCGACTTCTGCAGCAAAATGACGATATCCTTTAGGGATGTCGGATCATCCTGTCGGAGCTGCGATCCAGACACTAGACAAAGTTAGCACGGTACGCAATTTAGCATCGGCATTGCTCACTCTTAATAATGCGGAGAAGTAACTCGGTGTTGAGCTCGGATAGTTCGTCGAGAAACAAGCGGATGTAATCAAACACCAGGTTGCTACCGACAACCTGAAAGTTATACATCTCTGCAACCAAAGACATGACATTGGAAGTGACCTTGCTACCAGCTTCAACGGCACCACGATCATTGTATGCATTGTCAAAATCTGCAACCACGCGCTCAATCAACTGCGCACCAAAGTCCGTGCCGACGACCTTGTAGACTGCTGCAATGAAACCGGCGTGCAGGATGAGAAAGGTATCTTGCAAGCTCGTGCGATCGCAGATGAGTCCCATGAGGAGGTCAAGCAGAGTCGATGTGACATATTGCCGCGCGTTATTTTGGTATAACTGTTCGATGTCCTTGAGGATTGTGAGAAGGTTTGCCTCCGAGAGACGGTTGAGGAGACCTTGCGTCTGTCTCCGTAACCGCGTCATGGCTTCTGCGTCGGATGACGGCGGACCTCGCATCGAAGGCGGAATGTACTTTGCGGCCGGTGCCGGGTTCGCTGCGACTGGTGCAACATAAGGATTTTCTCGTACTCTCGGTGCCTCTTCCTCGTCGGATGCATCCTCGTCGCCTTCGTCATCCTCGTCATCAAAGTCTTCCGAACCGTCCAGATCCTCATCCCCGCCTTCGCCTTCCGAAAATCCAGAGAAACCGTCTTCTTCCCCATCAATATCATCCGCGTCCTCAGACTCGTCTTCGAGGTCCCCGAGCTCTACATCAGAGCCCAACGACTCATCATCGTCGTCCTCTAGCCCCTCATTATCGCTGTCTTCGTCACTCTTTAGCTCCTCTTCCACCGGCATACCGCCAGCTTTCCTTCTCTTCCTCTCCAGCCATGCCTCGTCCTCCGCATTCTTCCTCTTCCTCTTCCCCGTCACCGCATAGTCTAGCTCATCATCCAACCCTTCCAACAAGTCATCCAGCCCATCGTCCTCGAATGCCTTGGGCAGCTTCTTCTTGTTTTTAATACCCAGCTTCTTCTCCAATGCTGCAATCTCTGCGTCATCATTGGCAAGTCTGTCCTTAACTGCTCTCGACACGGCCGGCGCCGGCGACGGCGAGAGCGAGCGTTTCAGCTTGCTTGCTTTCTTTTCCTTTTTCTTGGCTTCCTTCTCCTTCGATTTTGTGTTTTTCGAATCCGGCTCCTCAGATGGACCCGTGCGCTTCAATATCGACTTTGCTGGCTTCGCATCCGGGTCGTGTCTCGGAGCCTTCGTGGGCGGCGGAGAAAAGGCTTCGTCCTCGTCGTCTTCACTTTCTGAGTCATCTTGGGGCTGAGGACGGTTTATGTTCTTAGGGTGGCGCCGCTGGGTTGGCTGCTGGGACTTCTTTTGCTGCCTCTCCAACTTGCGGCGCTCTTTGCGGCCCGCTGGTCCTCCGCGGTTGCGGCCATTGCGTTGGAAGCCTCCGGAGCCTTTTGAATGAATTTAGCGAGGAGGTAACGTAGAGGAAAAGGCGGACATACCTCCGAGCTGGTCGAGCAGCTCGCGCGGCAACTTTGGCCCTCCGTAACTCTGCTGGCGCATGGCGGTTCTCTTGCTCAGAAAAATGTCGGAGAGTCGGCGATGCGACGGACGAGACGCGGGCCCTGCACTCCCGCACTCCGCGCTCGACCCGGCTCGTGGAACAACTTTGCCCCGGGCGGCATCGCGCGTCGGCCAAACCTCCCCTGTGATCTGGCCCTACGTAACTTGACTTATGCACTCAAAGTCATGTCGAAACCCTCTTTGAGCCGCCAGTCCAGTGACTTGCAGGATGCTGCTCTTGGAGGAGGTGCACCTCGATCCAGCGCCCTTTCAAGTCGTATCTCCAGCGTCTTATCAGCATCTTATGCTGACTTAGAGATTCGCGATGCGCTGGAGACGCTTGATGCCCGGGGTATTCGCAACACGCAGGAGACCCGCCGCAATCTGATGCTGGATGCGCAACGGGAGGTCATTCAATGCAATGGAGAGATTGTGCAGGATTTTGGTCGCGTCGCGGAGGTTGTTTTCAAACTCTTTTCCTGTGTTTACGTACTGACTGTAGATATAGCAATTGCGCCGCGTTGGGACTGCTATTCAGGCATTGAATAAGTGCTGTGCAGATATGCGGGCCCAGATTACTGCGGCAAACGGCGAAACAAAGCCAATGCTCGACGAGACGTCTGCCTTGATAAATAAAAAGGCCGAGACGGAAAAGAAGCAGCACCTTTTGGATGCGCTCAAATCCCACTTCATCATTTCGGACGAGGATCTTGTTACTTTGACCTCCACAGTTGAACCTGTAAATGATGAGTTTTTCCAGCTTTTGACGAGAGTGAAGAAGATTCACCACGACAGCCAGCTGCTGCTCGGAACCGAAGACCAGCGGCTGGGTCTGGAAATCTTGGAGCAGAGCTCGAAACAACTGAGCTCAGCGTTCCAAAAGCTGTATCGCTGGGTCCAACGCGAATTCAAGACTTTAGACCTGGAAAACCCGCAAATCAATGCCTCCATAAGGCGATCACTGCGAGTTCTTGCGGAGAGACCTACCCTCTTCCAAAGCTGTCTAGACTTTTTTGCAGAGGCTAGGGAGCATACCTTGTCAGACTCCTTTTATACGGCTCTGACGGGATCCTCCGATCCGAACTCAACTGCCAAGCCGATAGAATTTTATGCCCACGACCCTCTGCGGTATGTGGGTGATATGCTGGCTTGGGTCCACTCAACCACTGTTTCTGAGCGTGAAGCTCTCGAGGTGTTGTTCATTTCCGAGGGAGACGAAATCGCCAAGAGTATTCAACAAGGCTTAGAAAGTGAGCCGTGGCTACGAGGCGAAGAAGGTGAGGAGGTGTTTGACGGTAAAAAAGCGCTACACCAGCTTGTAAGCCGCGACCTGACTGGCGTTGCACGGTTACTTCGACAAAGAACGGAGCAAGTCATTCAAAGTCACGAAGACGCGGTACTGGCTTACAAGATCGCGAATCTGCTTGGATTTTACCACAACACCTTTTCAAAGCTTGTTGGCACAGAATCTCCTATATTGGATGTTCTACTTTCCTTGGAAGAATCTGCCTTAAGACAGTTTCGCGCTAATATGCGGGATCATGTTGCTGCTGTCCAAAGCGATTTGGCAGTGGCACCGGCGGATCTATCATCTCCAGACTTCCTGGAGGAGGCCCTCGAGATGCTCAAAGCGTTACTCAAGAGTTATGACTCTTCCATGGCGGCTCTAGACAACCGCGAAACTGGTTTTCAACCGGTCCTTGTCGAGGCTCTCGATCCCTTCCTCAATGGCTGCGAGAATCTTCACAAACGACTACAAGAGCCAGACAATGATGTCTTTGCCATCAACTGTTTGTTGGAGGCAAAATCAGTCTTGTCGCCATTCTCTTTTGTCCAGGAGAGGGTTGAGGAAATGAACGATACCATTGACGAGCACGCCTCTAATCTGATTGCTTCTCAACACCGACACCTTCTGCACACTTCAGGCTTATATCCCCTCAAGGCCGTCCTGTCTGAGCTGTCTGAATCCCCGGAGGACCTCAAGTCGATACCGGAGCTAGGGCCCTTCAAACCTGAAACGTTGGTTACTACAGGGCAGCTGCTCGATGACTTTTTGCCTTCCGCTTTGATGGATGCAGGAGACAACATTAAAAGGCTGCGGAGTACGAAAATGGCACAGGAGATCACAGAGGCAGCGGCGGGGAAGTTCTGCGAAGACTTTGAGTTTGTCGAAAGTAGGATTCTGGCTGCTGATGAGCTGCGGATGATGGAAATTGGTGCAGAGGAACAGCCCGCTCCGACCTTGAGAGAGCTATTCCCTCGCACCAGTGGCGAAATCAGAGTACTCCTGAGCTAGTCGAGGATCATGAATAGATATTACCATTCGCTCTGTTTGCAACAGTAATTCTCAGTTGTTGCTGTGACTGTCTGCCTCGCTCTTTCTCAACTCAAATGCTGCAGTATTCTGCAGCCGGCTCTGCACAGACTCCTCCCAACCCGACCGATTAAATTCCCGTACCTATCTCGTCTCATTATGCTCCGGCCTTCTTCTTCTCCCACTCCTCCGGGGTATGGCATTTGGGAGTCCAAGCGTGAATGGCCGCAATCTGCTCCTTTAACGCAGCATTCACAAGACGATGGCGGGCGAGGGTCGTTTTCTTCGCGAACTCGGGAGAAACTATGATGGCTTCGAACATCTGGCCGCAGCCACCTGGTAGGGAGGTTAGCAACCGCAAGGCAACGTCATTGGTGTCGCGACGGTGCATACCCGACATATCCACAATCTCGACATGAGTAGCTCCGAGCTTCTGTTCCAAGGTCGACTTGAGCGATTCGGGGGTGACGCCGCTAGAAGCCTGCGCCCGGCTGGCTTCGACGTCGGTTCTGGCGCTCATAACTGGCAGCAGGTTCGTTGACGGTGGAGGGGTTGCTCGACGCAGTGGACGGCGCGCGACAAAAAGTGCCCCGCCAGTGTCCGCCGACCGCTGACGTGACCAGCAAAGATCCGCGGTAGGGGTGCTACACCGGCTTTACCCTTTTCGGTTAGCTGACACTTGTAGCTCAAGACTTCCCGGCCCTGAGCTTCGAGCTGCCGTTTGCATTCTTGTCAGTTTGCTTCATGTTCTCTGCAACTCTGCGTCGGTCTGTCAAGATGAGCGCAAACATTTCTTCTGCCCCCTTCTCTAGGGCCGTGGTGAATGCTATGCGGAAGCTGTATACCTGCCCCTCCAACTGCGCACCATATCCTCCGGCTAATGTTATGGTATAGCTATCCAGAAGCGCTTGCCGATAAGAGCTGGGACAACACTGGGCGTACGTAGAAAACCAAACTCGTTGTTGGCTTTGTTATCTAATTAAATGCTGTTTAGTCCTGCTCGAAGCGCCTTTCGACTCGCAACGGCGACAGAAGAATTCAGTCTTGCTCTGCGTTGACCTGACCAAAGCTGTTGCCGATGAAGCCATTGAGCGGAAAGACTCGATTGTGGTCGCTTACCGTGCGTTTCCCTTCATCAATCTATCTTTCCTGATTCTCTAACTGAAGCTCAAGCGTAGACCCGATCATCTTTCGGGGACTCAAGGCTATTACTCTCGCCAACAGCCAGCAGCAGTCTCTACTCAGATTGGCCGCTCAAGGCATCAGCGTACGGCGTACCTCGTTAACTGATTGCAGCTATAATACTGACAATCAAAATAGGTCTACTGTCCTCACACCGCTGTAGATGCTGCTCCAGGTGGCTTGGGCGATTGGCTTGCGGATATTGTCACAGGCACCGCAGTAGACGAAAGCAATCAGCCGCAAGCTGGTACCCCGCAGCCAAATGCGCATGAGGAAAACCCGTTTGCTGAGACGAAGCGCCCCGTTTATCGCTTGCAGCACCTTTCCTCACAGAGATTGACCTTAGCGAAGCTTGACGAACTCAAACAGTAAGTCCACTCCACTCGACACCGTAACCTGTGTCACATGTTAATGTTTAGCAGACACGCCGTCTCTCATACTCGTGAAGCCATCAGCCCCGTTACCACTGTCCCTGATATTCAAGGTGCCGGCATGGGCCGTGTTGTTCGCTTTAACGAGCCACAATCCCTGACTTCTATCATTGAGCGTGTCGGCACCGGCCTGGGCAATCCCAAAGGTTTTCCCATTGCTATTCCTCAGGATAAAACCTTGGAAGACATCACCATCAAAAGCATTGGAATTTGCGCCGGCAGCGGTGGATCGCTTTTCGCTGGGCTTGATGTTGATTTGCTTTTCACCGGTGAATTGTCGCATCACGAGGCCCTGGCTGCAATTGAGAAGGGGCAGGTTGTCATCACGCTATTCCACTCCAACACCGAGAGGGGCTTCTTGCACAGCGTGCTTCAAGAGCAGCTCTCTGCGGCGGTCGAAAAGGAATGGGAGGCATTGAGAAAGGAGGAGAAGGGGAAGCAAGGCTCAGCTGAGGAGGCACTTAATGATGAGACGGTGACGATAGACGTCAGCGAGAGGGACAGAGATCCTTACGGCATCATCATCCACGAGCAGTGAGCTCTTCCAAAGTAAAAACATGCACGCTCCGAATATATGTAGTTAGAAGAAGCATCGTGTGGTGGTGGTGAGTGCAAGGGGCCAAGGGCAGCGTCGGAGATCTCGCTTATCGGGGCCGGCTTATCGACACACTGCCGACGGCGCGGTGGCCCCAAAATTCGCGAGAAGCGACAAACACTCGAACTACGCCCCCAGCCGACGACCACCGACGACGCCCTCGCCGACCAACGAACCCTCAATCTCTCCACGAAGAGCGCCAACCGCAAAGCATCAAAATGGAATCCGCCAAGGTCCCCGTCAAGCTTGTCAAGGTCACCCGCGTGCTCGGCCGCACCGGTAAGGATTTTGCCCTTTGAAGCAGCACCAGGCCAGCGTGACTGTTCTCTTGCCTCAGCCTGAAGCCGGAACGCCGACGGCGTCACCGCTCTCGCGAAGCTGAGACTGCGCTCTCTGTGACCTTCTGCCTGCGGGATGCGATGGGGAATTTGTTGGGCTGACGCTGGTGAAAATTCCAGGCTCCCGCGGTGGTGTTACCCAGGTCCGCGTTGAGTTCATGGACGACACTGTAAGTTCATCTCGCCCAGCCAAAAACCGCACTGTCCCTATAGAGAGCGAATCCGCTGACAAAATACTTCGCAGACCCGTTCCATCATCCGTAACGTCAAGGGTCCCGGTATGCCATGACCCCCGCCTCCATGCGCTTCCATCCCATCCCCCCGAACATGAAAGAACCGATCGAATACTAACGCAAGCACCGCCACAGTCCGCGAGAACGACATCCTGTGCCTTCTGGAGTCTGAGCGTGAGGCGAGGAGGCTGCGCTAAGCGATGGGTGTGGGTGTTGTTGGTCATCAATAGGAAAGGAAAGCCGGGGATACGAAAAATTCGATGCGGACATCATCAGTGTTCTAAGCAGGCTGTGGCTGTCACGACACGACTTCCTTCCTCTTTTCGCGATGTTTGCTGGGAACGCTTTCGAAACGTTTTAAAAGAGAAATGAACTTCGGAATCCCGGCCTGAAACGCTTTTTCTTTTTCCCTTGTCGCCCCTGTCGCGAATTTTTCCTTATCTCTTGTTCTTTGTCGCTCTCCCGACGGCCGCGCCTCCTGCCCGCTTCGACCCCGCCAGAGTTCGCACGCACAACACCCCTCCGGCGACGCGGATCGCGGGACACGGCCACGCGGAGTTACGATACCAGGAGCGAATTGGAAGCACTTCCAGACAACTGAGCCCGAATTGGTCCTTGGAGGACGATTTTCCGCACCATTGTGAACTATCGCCCAGGTCCGCGACCCGCGTCCAGAAGGAGCCCCCACGAAGCACCCCTACTTTCATCAGTGTGACTCTTCTCGCATTTTCAAATCCCGCCCATTCCAGTCAATCGCGCATCGCAAGCTGCTGTCCATCGTCTCGTTATCATGATTCTGAAACTTGAACCACTCCAAATGTCTCAACGCATTTCGACATAATTATATTTTTCATTTCTTCTGACATATCCTACCTAATGTCATTGCCGCATACGCAGCTTCTAGGAACCAGACCCCGCCATCTATGCAAACAACCGAGCTGCCGTGCTTTACCAACCAATCATCATCAAAAAAAAAAAAAAAAAAAAAAAAAAAAACCTACTTAACTTTTTATCAAGCCTCGTCCTCGACAAGGGCATGCTTCCGCGGCTCGAGCAGCAAGTTGCCCGACGGGCCCGTCTTGCCGAACCCATCGGCACGGCTATGGATGCGGCGGCCACGCAGCCACGTCTCCTCGACGACGCCCGTCAGCGTCTGGCCCTCGTAAGGGGAGCACTTGTTGCGGAAGAGCATGGAGTCGTGCTGGACGACAAAGGCAGCCGTGTCATCAAAGACGGCGACATCGCCATCACACCCGACGGCCAGGTCGCCCTTGACACCCTCGAGGCCAACCTGGCGCGCCGTGTTGCGGCAGCACCAGCGCGCAACGTCCTCGGGCGTGACGCCGCGCTTCTGGCCCTCAGTCCAGAGGATGCTGAGGCCCAGACCGACGCTGCTGATGCCGCCCCAAGCGGAGAAGAAGTCGCCGTCGGCGCCGTCGGTGTGGTGAGCGGGGGCGGCGCCGCCGGCGGCCAGCGCGGCCGGCAACAGCTTCAGGTTGGGCGTGCACGGCGAGTGGTCGCTGACGACGGTCTTGAGCACCGAGTCGTCGGGCCGCTGCAGCTCTGCCCACAGCCCGTCCTGGTTGCTCTGCGCGCGGATCGGCGGGCAGCACTTGTGGCGCGTGTCGCCCTCGGCGACGGCCTCGGCCGCGAGCGAGAGGTAGTGGAAGCAGGTTTCGGCGGAGACGTTGACGCCGCGGGCGCGGGCCTCGCGCAGCAGGGGCACGGCCTCTACAGCCGACAGATGCACTATGTGCAGGGCCAGCTTGGGCGCCAGGTGCGCGAGCGACAGGATCTCGGCGATGGCGTACGTCTCGAACGACGGCGGCCGCGAGTCCAAAAACGTCTGGTAGCTGGTCAGCGCGCCAGAGGGCTGCAGCGGCGGCTCCGAGCTCTGCACGTCGTCGCCCACCGACTCGGTGATGGGCGGGATCATCTCCGCGTGGAACATGACGGTCGTAGGCTCGTCGGCCAGCTCGGCCAGCACTTTTTCAATGTCGGACGATGCGACGGCGGGGAATTCTTCGACCTGCAGGCACGGCACACACGAGGTCACATGTCAGCGTTTGCTTGCTTGTTGATGTTGGAGTTGGTGTTGTTGCTGGTGCTGCTGCAGCTACTGCTAGCGCTGACTGTGCAGACAGATAACAACAGATAAACAAGAGCCGCAAAGATAGTACTCACGCCACTCTCGATTAAGAAGCCCTTGAATCCGCGGACACCCGCCTGGACAAGCCCCTTGAGCTCCTTATCATTGCCCGGAACAATGCCGCCATAGAAGCCGACGTCAACCCAGCACTTGCCCTGGGCGGCATCGACCTTAATCGTAAGGTTCTCGACGGTGGTAGTGGGCGGGATAGCGTTCAGCGGCATATCGACGACAGTCGTGACGCCACCAAAGGCCGCGGCGCGCGTGCCGGTCCAGAAGCCCTCCCACTCGGTGCGGCCGGGCTCGTTGAGATGGACGTGGGCGTCGACGAGCCCGGGCAGCAGGATCTTGGGCGAGTGGTCGACGTAGGGCGTGCCGGGCGGGAAGTCGGACGCGGGCAGCACCGAATGGAAGATCGAGGTGATTTTGCCCGTCACGGTCGAGATGACAATGGTTGCTTCGGTGAGGCGGCCCGACACGACGGCGCGCGAGGACGCCAGCACCGTGATGTTGGGCGTTTGGGACGACGTCGTGATGACGGGCACCATGGACGAGTCGGTGGCGTGCGGTGCCATTGTGGGCTGTTGCTTCCGCTGCTGGTACTGGTGTGGTGGTGGTGTGGTTGTTGCTGTGCGTGTGCCTCTTAAGGGGCCGGCGGCGGCGACGGCGGTGGGACGGCTGATGAGAGAGCGCTCTCAAAGCACCCTACTCCTGGTGGTGGCGGCGGCCGGACAGATAGTAGATACGGGGTAAATATGCAGGGCTGCGGGCTGCAGCGCGGGCGCAATGATAAGCACGCAGGAGAGAGATAAGAGACAAGAGGGTGTGTGCGGGTGGGAGAATCAAGACACGGGGGGGTTCAAAGAGAGACCAGACGGCCAAACAAAGGGCTCTAGAGAGAGGGCTTCTTTTTTTGTTTTGTAACAGCAGCAGCAGCAGCAGGCGAAGTGAAGGATAGAGAGAAAGAAGGGGGGGGG